TATAGTTTTGCGATGATCAGGAGCAATATACGCTCGGTTCTTGTAAGACAATATCCCTGAATCTACTTTCCAATCACTTAAAGCGGATTTCATGGGGGGAAGACAGACACCATTGAGGGCGTCTACGGCAGTGGCGAATAGTGGGTCGTTAAGTGCATCTGAGCTGGCAAGGGTAGCGCGAAGGTCTTCATCAATGAGTCGGACAAACATGGAATCGGGAAGTAGGATGGTGTTATTGTTATTGGAGGATCCGGTATCATGGTCTGATCGCTGAGAGAGGGCGTCAGGTACAGCTAATTTAGAACCAGGAACGTGATGTAGCTCCAGATCAAAGTCAGTCAGAAGCATCTGCCATCGTGCTTGTCGACGAGATAAATGTTCAGCTTTCTTAAAGTAGAGCAAGTTCATGTGATCTGTGAAAACTATAATCGGGGAGGGGTGTCCTTCAAGATAATGTCGCCATTCGGTTAGTGCACGAATTATGGCAAGGAGTTCTTGGTCAAAAATTGGATAATTTCGTTTGGCTGGATTGAATGATTGCGATAGATAGGCGCAGGGGTGATAGACACTGTTTTCGTCAGTTTGTAATAGAACTCCTGCTGTTGCCACTAAAGAAGTGTCTGTGGCAATAGCGAATTGTTTTAAGGGGTCTGGGTTGCGGAGTACAGGATGGGTGGTAAAACAGGTTTTCAACTTGTCGAACGTTTCCTGATGTTGAGTGTTCCAAGAGAAAATGGTATCCTTCTTGGTCAGATCGATAAGGGGACGAGCGATGTCCGAGTAGTGAGCGACAAATGATCAGTAGAAATTGCAGAATCCTAAAAATGACCGAACTTCTTTAACAGAAGTAGGAACGGGCCATTCTTTGATGCCGTTGGTTTTTGCTTTGTCCATTTCTACGGATCCTGGTTTAATGATCATGCCAAGAAATTCGACTTCTTGAGAGTCGAACGTGCACTTTTCTGGTTTCAGAAATAGCTTTTCCGCTCTAATCTTTGTTAAGATCCGCCTCGTTCGTTTGTGATGTTCTTCAAGTGTTTTTGAAAAGATAAGGATGTCGTCCATGTATATTACCAGCCATCCTTCGTTGATTTCCTGACGGAATTCATTATCCATAAATGCTTGAAAGGTGGCAGGTGAGTTGCATAGCCCGAAGAACATTACACTTGGTTCAAATAATCCGTGCTCCGTGGTAAACACGGCTTTCCATCGATCATCCGGGTGGATACGGATGTTGTTATATCCTGATCTAATATCCATTTTCATGAAGAAGTTTGCCCTGTGTAGTTGTTCGATAAGAGTTGCCGGAAGTGGAAGGGGATAAGAGTTCTTTATCGTTTGATCATTAATGCCTCGATAATCTTGACAGGGACGAAGCTCTCCACTTTCCTTTCCTACAAAAAAGAACCCACTGGCTTGTGGGGATTTCGATGGAGTGATAAAACCTTTTCCAAATTTTCGTCAATAAATTTCTTTACCGCAAGCCTTTCTTTTGGTGAGAGAGGGTATACTTTAGACGTTCTTGGAAGGAACCCAGGTTTTGTTTCTATGCGATGGTCTATTCCTGGTCGTTCCGGGGGAAGTTGTTTTAGTCCATCTTTGGCAAATACATCCACATACTCATGGAGATAAGCGGGCACGAGTTCTTCGAAGGGTTTCTTCTGTTTTTCTTTTTCTTCCATTGCAAACTCTTGCGCCTTGTTGCAAACTTTAAGAGGGGTGATGATCGGAATTTGTTCTGAAAAGGATGTTCCATCCTTTGTGAGAGGAGTGTCGAGGGAAATTTCTTGTATAATTCGAACAAATTCTCCATCAGCACCGTATTCAACCAAGAATTCCCCGTCATCTAGCTTATAGGTAGAGACGTCTTGTACCGGTGGAGCGCACCAAACGTCTTCCTGAGTGTCAAAAAGATCGTCATCCTCCATTGGTAGCAACAGCGGTACATCCTCGGGGATTTCCTCGATGGAAGCAGAGAATTTGGATGATTGTTTCTTTAGTTTGGAATTTGTCCACTTTCTTTGTTCGGGGGGGGTGCTAAGTTTTCGAATTTTTTCCGAGATTTCGATAGACTTTGGGGTACAAGGAAGTGAGAGAGTTCGTTCTGCCCAGTCGATAGAGGGATTCATCTTTTGGAGCCACGGAATTCCCAAGAGAATTTGGTCTCGTGTTCCTAAATTGATAATGTTGAATTTTCCTATCATGGTTCGTTCATCAATTTTGATGATAAGGGTGCAGTACCGATTTACTGGTCCGCTGCTGAAATAGCTTCCGTCTGCGGTTCGGATATTGAATGGTTTTTTCAGTTTTCGGGTTCTTATCCCGAGCTTTTTCACAAAGCTTTCGGAGATATAGGTTCCAGAAGTGCCAGAATCGATTACCGCGCTTGTTTCGACATTTTCCTGTTTTCGAGATATGAGAGTAATGGGAATGCGAAGTTCTTTTTTGTCATTGACAGCTCGTATCAAACGTACAGGTTCTATTGGAGATTCCACCGTCGATATGTTTCTCCGTTTCAAAAATCCTCTTGAATGCGCCTAGTTTCTTCTTCCTCTTCTTCTACTTTGCGGACAAAGGGAGGTCCCTTTTTCTTCTGCGGACATTCCCGAGCACGGTGTCCGATCTGGTGGCAAGTGAAGCACTTTCCAACACGCATGTGTTCTTGGCGACTTTCATCCGTGAGTCGATCAATCACCATAGCATCGTGATCCCTTGTGGGTACAAATCTTTGATCCCCAAATCTTTTCTTCTTCTGTTGTATAGGGAAGCGGGATCTAATGGATTGTAACTGTGTGTGGCAGTTATTGATGTCGACTACTGCGGCGATGTAGTCATCGAAGTTCTTTGGGACGTTTCCAGCATTGAACATCTTGATAAGGATTCCTATATTGAGTCCTTGCTGGAAGTGAAAGATTTTGGCGGTTTCTTCTTTGACTTTTGCCTGAGCGATTAGCCTCTGATAATCGGCGATATAAGTCTGGAGATCTCCGGTTTGTTTGAGAGCTCCTAGCTTGGTCATTGCTGTTCCGGAAGGATCGATTGCGGAGAATGCTTTATTGAAAGCTTCTAAGAAGTCTTTCATGGTACCATATCCTTTCTTTTGTCCGGAGGAGTCAATGAATTGAGCGTCTTCCAGAAATTCTTCTTTCCATAATCTGGCATTTCCTTCATTCATAAATGACGTGATGAAAATGATGCGATGTTTGTCTTCTTTGTAGAGTTTATCATTGATATCCATGTAAGTGTTACAGGATAGGAGGAATGATCTAGACAGATCCCTGTCTCCATTGAATATGGGAGGGTGGTTTATCTTGTATTCGAATTCTTTGCCGCTGCTAGTGTTTGATGTCGACATATTGAGCGGGGGTACTGAAGTACCAAGGTTCAAGGCCTGTAGTCTTGGGGTGAGTGATGTCAGGTCTGCTGTTCGTGCTGGCTGTTTTGCTCAGCAGTTCTTCTTGTTTTCGGTTTGTCTTCTTTGTTCTGTTGGTATCGGACACACACAGATGTGTGGTGTCTTTCGACTTGAATCTTTTGTTATGAACTAGGATAGTTCTAACAACAACAACTCGACAGAGTTTTCGGTCGTTGAGATTCTCAGTCTCTCAGACAAGAAAGAGTTCTGTGGACTTAGTCAAAGGAGTGCTTTGACTAAGAATCGGGTTTCAGGACGACTTAAGATTGGAGGTCTTAAGCGAAGGATGTTCCAAGTAAAACCTAGTAAGATTCAAGTGAAGAATACAAGCGTAATACATGTGCTTAAATAGATCCATATGTGCGCACAGACCAAGTCATCGTGAGATAGTAAGTACAAGTTCAAGAAAGGAAGGCATATCGTAAGAATGTAAATTGTATGAGATAGCGGTTGTAACATCGAGACATTGAGGAAAAAGACAAGTCACACGATCGCATCCTCATCTACAAGCACATGCCGAATGCAAAGCCGAATACACTGTATCCTGTCGCGCTGTGATTGCATGGTTTTTTAGGCCGATTCTGCATCGAGCGTCTAGGAAATTGGTCTGGGTGAGATGAAAAGGCCATAGTATAAAACGACGACTGATTGAAATTATTTAGAAAACCTCAAGATGCGCATAAGGCGATTCAACACATAGCGTTGAGCTCGGGAGGACACAGCGAACTGTGGGATGCGACCGTGTGCGCCATAAATGTGGCATGTGACTATGCGAGTCGGCACCTCAGAATTCCAATGAAAGGTGTACGTTTTGGAAATGACATATACTTCCAGCGTCGTGTTTTCAGCAAGGTGTGTGAAGGATCATCCAGGATGATGATAGAACTTAAGGATGGGCAGTGTACAGGAAAGAGAAAACAGTCGGTACCGTCGGTTGTGGCTATGGATGATGTGCGATGGAAATACTCTCAGATTCAAAAGGAATGGGATATATGTGACCGCTTACCAGTTGGTGAGATCAACACGAATGATAAACTGATAGCGCTGGACAACCTTCTGTTGACGCAAGGAGACTTTGTTGAGGTAGGGGCAGAGATTGACTTTGTGGTGGCCAGGGACAAAACATCGTGGCCGATGCTTCACGCGTATTTATCATGCACACATGTGATGCGATTGTTGACAGTGAAAGATGCGCATAAACTAACCAAGGTAAGTTCGTGACATATCAAACTGTTGCAGAAATACTGAAGTCGGGCCTTAGCGGAGCATGCATGGTTCATCGTTGAAACGAGTACATCAAACGGAAGTTGAAGCGCCTCCCAAGAAAAAACAACATGTAATCACCACGTTTGAGAGTACAGTTTAAATACTGGTTACGAGAGGCCTGTAAAACTAAGAAAAATGATGGCTAGGCGAGGGAGTATATGTGTAATAAAACTGGCTATGACATGTCACGAATGACATGAGCGACAAATGAGATAATAGGAGCGAGATAATAGGAGCATAAATGAAAGCAATAAATAGGCAGCATGGAAATTGAAAGAGGAGCAACTTCCTCTCTTTTTGCAACTCATTCACCACTACAATGACAACAAGGAATCGCCAACAGGCCAACGTTGAAAGCGACAAGGGCAAAGACGATCAAGGTCCGCCTGCAAAGAAGATGCGCCCCACTGCCATAGTACAGAGCATCAAATTGGTCGAGAAGAACATCGATCAGGCAGAGGCTGATGTGAATAGATGTGAGGAGTCAAATGAATCCGGTGCCGTGCATATTGGGAAATCGCCAAAAGCAATGGAAGGAGACGGGTAAGTGATTCGACGCAGTCATCAATGGTGGAAATTGATGACCACCCAAGGTCAAATGAGGTGAAAGACTGTGATGGGGAAAACAGCTCACTCGCACCTGTAACTGCAATGTAAGCAGTTGCACCAGTACTCACAAGGACGTCTTACCTATTGACAGGAATAGTTCTACAGATGCCAAAAGAAAGAAGGAATCTGGTAGGAAAGGGGCGACACAGACGACTACCACTGTGAGGTCAGTGATTCCTAACCCAACGAAGCAACTGGTGGATCTGCAGGAAGTGGAGCAATATACTGAGGATATGAAAGTGTGAGCAGACGATCGCAGCATGCAACTGTGATACTGACTGGGGACAAGGCGGATTGAAAAACTATCCACATATGTGAATGCAAAGGCTGGTGTGTACGCCTTGGGTAGCTTGCTTCCAAATGCAACATGGGGACCATACAAAGCCATCAGAGACCATAGCAAAGTGGTATGCGATCCTATGACGGGAGAACCTCTGATGGTCTGGATTGTGGGTCACATTGCTAGATTATGGTTCATGAAGCAAGACCGGCCAGACAATCAAGCGTCGATCACTGTGATTCCATTGTCTCAGGCGTTGGCACAACAAAGTGCAGCAGTGCTAGTGAGATTGAGTAATCCGCAGATAAGTAAGTGTCACGCGCACGCAAACTGAATGACTCACTTACCAACTACATATTAGTTGTGGAAGGTAGGGAGGTACGCAACATACGGGCCGTCAAGTGGCAAAGCACAAAAGAGAATGGAAAGGCCAGTGAGGTGAGGGCAGCCAATTGAATAGTTGAATGGTATTGACATGTTCTCAGCCTGTGCTTTTCGATGACGTGTATGACGTGAGGAACGTCAGTTCATTGAAAAGTTACGATGAACGACCATTGTGGCAAGTGCAAGACCTCAAGAAGGGTGACCTCGTCTTGCTAGAAGCGAAAATCACAAAGTATTCGATGAAGAATGATAACGGGAAGTGGTTTTCAAGGGCGCAATATGAGATGATTGCAATCTCATTGCTGAATATGAGCGAAATCTGGGAAATCGAAGAGAAAAAACAGGAGATAGAGGGACTTAGTATCTAGAACACCAGAAATATGAGGGACAAAATGATGGAGCATGACGAGTGTATACTGACTGTCGAAATAGGAATTTACTCATGTGTGAATATGCAAATGACGAAGAAAAAACTAGCAGTGACATCATCAGTGGCCGTAAATAGCAACTTCTCGGAAAAATGATACCTGAATGATGTTTGCTTATTAAGGATGTTAAACTCCATTGTGACAATGAGAGAAGGAAAACGGAGACCCTAACTATCACCTTGATGGATTACCCATGCTGGTCGTGTACCAACACACTTTATTACGGAATTATGGAGAACATAAATTTCACCGATGCGTGGACGGTGCAACAAAGTGAAGATCAGATGGCCGAGGCGACAGGACTGGAAGCCTTTTTTCCGGATACATCAAGGATTGTCAGAGAGGACAAGGAGATGAATATCAGAAACTGAAAGAGGACTGAGTTCACCATCTTGTATGACAAAAACGGTGAGGCAACGCCCGTGGGCAATGTGCTCATATTAAAGAAATACAAAAAGAAGTACATGCCAATGGGAAAAGGAGATATGGTAGACGTGGCCAGTGTACTACAGAGGTAAGTCAATAGGTAAGAAAATAACAAGAACGATGTTAATGAAATATTGGAGCATATTCAACAGGAGAGGGAATGACAGAGAGATGGAAGCGGTGTCCGAGAGGTAGCGACGAAGGGGTGGAGTAACTGTGTATGACAGGAGATCAGGAGGGAATGGAGTGTGAATTTGGCGACTTTCATGTAACATTATGGGGTGAACAAACAAAAAAAGGGGTAATCACAAACCATCACCAGGAAACAAGATCATGACTGGGCAATCTGGAAGCGTGCCTGAAGACAACGTCCTCATGCTTGAAATGCAAAAAAACTTCGCAATCACTGAGTCATAAAGCAGCGAGAGAAGAAGTAAAACAAAGATTTCCTGACTGGAGTGTGAGCATAAAGGTGTGTAGTTTGTAACATGCGAGGTGCCGAATTCGGACAAAAGCGATTCATTCGCAGAGAATACAAAAGGTTTGACAGATTATGTCAATGCCCTGCACCATGGCAATGTTACGAGAAAAGGCAGCCAGCGATGAAGAAGTTGAAATCACAAGAGATCATGTGATGCAGACCGTCTGGCCAATTCATTGGGCACGAGGGCATACAGACACGGAGGAGCTTTACATTATAGAATCAATGCTTGAAGGCAGGGAAATTCAGGAACCACTGATGCTGTATCCACGACAACTGGACATCACAAAGTGGTACTACCAATTGTTCTATACTGCAAAGATGGAGGATCGCCGAGCACGCAACAAAATTGTGAGCGTGTTGTTCCCAAGGGTGGAAGTCAGAGGAGAGGTAGCGGTAGTGAAAAACGGCTCAGGATACAATCCAAGGGATGAAAGATGGGACATAGACAGCGTGGAGCTAGGAAAAACGCTATGGTGGTACTTGAAGAGCAAACAAGATGTGGCTAGAATAGCAAATGAATGCAGATTTATCAATTACTTAGAGCAGATGTAGGTAGGGTGCGGCTAGTCAATGATATTGGAAGATGTGAAGGATTCACCCTCGTTCAGAGCTGGTACTTCATGAACAACACTGGATGGATGTATGAGTCAGAAAAATTTTGATGAGTAGAAAGCGGCAGACCTATCAATGGCGATAGATGCAGCAAGGACATCAACACGATCCATGAGTTGAGGAGTGCCGGTGTGACTGAGCTTGATGACAAGGTATGGACAAAGGTCAGATGTAGCATGAATATGACAATCAAAAAGGACCATTAAGCGTTGAAAGTGGCCACTAGAGGTCCGGGAGAAGGTGCAAAGACCATCAACATGGTACGCATCAGGGAAATAGCGGTCAAGGAAAAGGATATCCCAGGTGGACATTTCGGGAACACTATTGACAGCCAGGGAGAGAAGGCTGTTGGGACAGTGAGGACTGACATAAAAGGTGCGGGTGTGATAATCATAAGGCATTGCGAAAAGTGGATCTGGGTGAAACACAAGGCTATATCACTGCAAGGGATTGTGCGGGCTATCAGTGTAAATTAACAAGTACAAAGAGTGAAAAACAAGATGCACTAAATAGCGGGTCCAGGGGTGCCCGGAGGGTTGTTGTATATGTAATTGAATTAGGTTACTATATAGTACCCCCGGGCCGGGCCCAGGGTCTTCTTTTCTAAGTCCGCTGTTTATTTTTCGCACGTGACTAGACTGCGTAACTTCTGCTCTGCGTCTGACGCCTCTGAGCTCACTGCTGGTATGACTATTTAATATTTACCACCAAATTATGGTATGTTTGACATCGTCTCTGTTATTTCAAATCATGCCAACATGAGCTCAGCATTAGTACTCGCAGGTTTCAACATGCTCCACTCAGGGCTAGGAACCTGGTCATTTCCAACCATAGTGAGAATGGTGTCCGAAGATAGTGTTGAGAAAGCTGCGCAGTCCAGTGCCATTCTGGGGTATCCACCCGACCAAGTATCGTCAAAGGTGGGACCCTTTTGTTTGTCCAGCTCTGCAACTAAATAAAAGCTGTGCGTCCCCCAATCCGCGAATGCCCTGACCTACTAGGACCAGTCAATCTCTAGTTATTCTAGTATCAGAACCACCTGATATTAGAATGATGGTGTCTTCTTGACCCAGTGAGTCTTTCAATCCCCGTCATGAATTCACGCAGGCATACTAATCAAACCAAATTTGCTTGTTCTGTGTAGGCTTGTTTCAATCAATGTGCTTGAATGAATTGTCACACCTGTAGTAAGCCTGTTTTTCATACGCGCTGAAATTACCTTTCCACATCTAGTATCATTTATGTCCACAGGCCTCACAGCAGAGTGATGTGTGACCTGTTAGCATTCCGAAATAGATCGGCTCTCTGAAACCATGTCAGTAGTGATATGTTTGACTGACGTTATTTAGTAAATGTTGGACCTTGCCAACTGTGGTACAAATCTTTTTTTATGTATTGTCGTCTTCATTGTCCTACTCGTCAAGCTCACAGTTTCTATGAACAGCATCCTCTGCCTTGTTTTTCTAACCCTAGTGCTCATGAATGGCGCCACCTCTCTGCGTCCCCGTTATAACCCTTAAGTTACACCAATCCCTTGCCCACCTCTGTTACAGGCATCCGTAACACCTACAGGAGCCCCAGCTCTGCCTACGCCTGCCCCCGCTCTGCTAGACTCCCCGTGCGGCGGTGCGCCGCCCGCGCCTAGAAAGACAGTGGTCTGGACCGCTGTGACCCCGCCCCTGGCGCTATGACCCCGCCCCTGGCCTAGACGGCCTTGTACCTGATCCATGGAGGCTGTACGCCTCATGGTCACCCTAGATCAGTGCATGCATACCGCATGTCGCTTCATGAAGATCCGGAGCGCTCTTGGCGCTTCCTGTACCTACGCGCAGTCGCACTTGGCGCTGCATGCTTGATCGGAGGTTAAGCCTCATGTACGCTATCTGAACCTCATGTCTTGTTATCATAGATCCTAGATATACTATAGATTACAGACTGAGCTAGAATACTCATATGTAGCACATATAAGTAGACAGATTATTGTACTTAGACTTTACTTTAATCTACTAGGTTCATCCCAGAACTTGTTCAACTAAGCCTTACCAGCTTCCTTGTCTAAGACCGCACTTCTAAGTCGCTCCCATATGACTTAGCACGTATCCACTAGCCCTGTATCTCAACGAGCGCCGTCTTACCGAGATCACCGGAGGAACCCTTGACGTTCCGTCAAGCCGAGAACCACCCTCAGCTTCAGTAGGCTCACTCGAGCCGTCGCTGAGAAGACCTATCCTAGTTCACACACACCGACCGACGGTCAGCGTAACAACCTCGCCATGAATATGCTGTCGCCGCCGGTCAAATATTTTCGGAACAGCACATCACGACCAAGCAGCATGTCTGCGTCAAGATCTAAGGTCAGTCCCCTTCGCATTTGTTGTTGACATTTTCTCCCTTGTTGTCTCTCCCTGCCAGTTAACTCTTACCGCTACCTCATGGGAGGCTCCATATTTTTTCTTCGGTGATTTCCACTGCATCCTGGATTTTTTCTTGTAGTCCCACTTCATGCATACCACCCTACTATGCTCCTGTCGAATATTGATAGTCATAATTTGTATATTGCATCTTCATCTCAGTGCTCACTCAGTCAAGCAGACACCACAAATTGAGTTGGTTCATAATTAAAATTTCATGATATGTAAATAACAAAATATTTTGAAGGAGACTACACTACACACCCAAGTTTTGTGGGAGAGGGCGGGACTAAGAATGATGAGGAAATATACTTACCAAGCGGTGGTCGAGGTCTTCACCATTGATAGGCCATGCGTTCAGGGCCATCGTGCATTAGGGGACTCGTGTTTCCCACCTGTTGGGAGCCGATCTCGATCTACCTTGTTAAGAGCCATAAGAATGATGAGGAAGTGTACTTAACAAGCGGTGGTTGTTGGAATGCTAACAGGGCACTACACACTCTTTACTGATCCGGGCCCCTTCTGAACAGCACGCACTTTGAAGCTACCGTAATAAAACTTTAGAAACAAAGTTTGTAAATAACTTTGGAACTTAGTACTTAGTACTTTCACTTGGATTCAAGCACGCGCCGTCAAACCTTGTGCTTGTACCTAAGGCCTAAGGCCTAAACCTTACGGCGCGCACCTTGGTGTAGCATCTGCAAAACCACCGAGATGAATGCTTGATATAAGCGTGTTAGTAGTTTACGGACGAACACTTACACGTACGACTTCTCGCACACTTTTTGTCGATAGGATGTATGGTTGTATATAATTAGGTACAAGGACAAGGTTATGTAAGCGGTGCTTAAGTGAACTTTTAGAATAATTGGAAAGAACCGTCACCTAAAGGTAGCGGGAATTCCCTGCAGCTGGGTTGAGCTTTACACTTACAATCAAATGGCGACCATCGCTCCAAGTTTTCACAGGCCATATATAGCATAATACAGCAGCATCGACACAGGGCGTTCGGGTGGATCAATGCCATAATATGAACTTCTGAAGTATGAATATGGCCGCATGGATTCAACGTCCAATTCTAACACCCACATACTGGTTTGTAACTGCTACAGGTCATGTCCAACGATCTGCCAGGGAACACCCCTACAGCTCCTCAACGCGGTTTTAGCATCTATCATCTGCTTTCATATTTCGGACTAGTGGTGAAGTTGCCTTTGGCATTGGTGCAATGGCCCTACCGACAAATAGCACTCATGCATCTCCATTTGTTTGAAGGCTCGTGCCCCAGTCCGCAAAGCACCGTTCCGAGTCCAGTCATCCACGACACTGATGTTCCTGAGTACACAAATTACTTCCTTCAGATTTTATTGGCTGAATTTAGAACAGCTCCATGAATGAGTCATTATCAGATTCTTCCAAGTGGACAACCACTCCGGTCAATTGTCAGCAGCATCCCGTGGGAGAACCTCAGTGCAACTCCGCTCCCAATCTTACCAGCCAAATCGTTCGTCGCAAAATATACCCCACGTTGTCGGGTACATACAGCGACGTTTGGCAATCAACGTGGTACGATGGCAAGCAAAAGTGTGATGTAAGTGAACATTACATATTAGAATCCTCACAATATAAATGACTTTTTTTAAAGGTTGCGGTCAAGTCATTGAAAATTCCATTTTCGAATGAGGATGAAAAAAGTAATAATTGTTGAGTCAGTTCTTTCATTTGTGTCCAGGAAAACCCGCTTACGCATGACTTAGAAACTGATGGGTAAAATATCATCTTGGGCACAATTACTTCACACAAATGTTCTGCCAATATATGGAATTGCATACGATTTCGGACACTTTCTGTCACTGGTGACGCCTTGGGCAAACAACGGGTCATTGAATGACTACATCGCTAATCATCATTTGTCATTGACGAGCAAGCTTGATCTCGTAAGACTTTAGCCTTTTCGATGGAAATGATGTTTCTTACTCTTGCACTTGCACGGCATTAGGCCAAACAGGTAGTAGCTGGTGTTACAGGCATCCGTAACACCTACAGGAGCCCCAGCTCTGCCTACGCCTGCCCCCGCTCTGCTAGACTCCCCGCGCGGTGGTGCGCCGCCTGCGCCTAGAAAGACAGTGGTCTGGACCGCTGTGACCCCGCCCCTGGCGCTATGACCCCGCCCCTGGCCTAGACGGCCTTGTACCTGATCCATGGAGGCTGTACGCCTCATGGTCACCCTAGATCAGCGCATGCATACCGCATGTCGCTTCATGAAGATCCGGAGCGCTCTTGGCACTTCCAGTACCTATGCGCAGCTGCCCTTGGCGCAGCATGCTTGATCAGAGGTTAAGCCTCATGTATCTTATCTGACCTCATGTCTTGTTATCATAGATCCTAGATATACTATTGATTACAGACTGAGCTAGAATACTTGTAGTACTTCCCTATAAGTAGACACAGATTATTGTACTTAGACTTTACTTTAATCTACTAGGTTCATCCCCAGAACTTGCTCAACTAAGCCTTACCAGCTTCCTTGTGTGAGACTGCACTTCTAAGTCGCCCCCTTACGACTTAGCACGTATCTGCTAGCCCTGCATCTCGACGAGCACCGTCTTACCGAGATCGCCGGAGGAACCCTTGACATTCCGTCAAGCCGAGAACCACCCTCAGCTTCAGTAGACTCACTCGAGTCGTCACTGAGAAGACCTATCCTAGTTTGCACACGCCGACCGACGGTCAGCGTAACAGCTGGCCTTGGCTATCGTAAGTTTTCTTTCATTCGTCATGGCAATGGTTTTCATTGGGTTTAAATATAGTACACGCCCATTCTATTGTGCACGGAGATATATCTGGAGTAAGATAACTGTCCCTAGGCCCTAGAAGTATAGTTCGCTGATACTTGTTCAGCTCAATATCCTGATGGACGAGGGTAGAGCACAATTATGTGACTTCGGAATCATGTCGTTGCTCGCAGAAATCCCATCTTTGCCACAGCCATCTGGAGGTATTCGCTCTGCGGTGCGATGGACCGATCCTCAGTTATTTGATGTCCAAAAAGGCGAAATCAATCCAAGTATCCCAACGGAGCAGACTGATATATATTCAACAGGCAGTGTTCTCCTACAGGTATGGTACATCATGTCCTCGTGGCATCACCTGCTTACCATATTATGACCGTAGTTGCTCACGGGATCAATACCTTACTATGACATCAAGGATAATATTCATGTCCTTGTATTGTCTTCGAGAGGCGTAAAGCCCAAATGTCCTCCAGAAACGAACGTCAGTAGTGCACAGTGGAATTTTATTCAAAGATGTTGGTCTCCTTGCGGACTTGCCAGTCATCCAACTATCGAGGAAATGGAAGAATTTCTCGAGTCTGAGCTATGGATGGCAGATATGGGTTAGCGCACTTGAATTCCGGTGCGTGCATCCACGCGTTTCATAACACACTCCCAGACAGAATATTTCATGCAGGCTGTACCGCTGCTAGCTTTTTTCAGTGTTTTATGTCTTATCTTACTAGTGGTCGTCCTACGTGCCTGATTGTGACCGGACCCTTACATCCTTGTTCCATTTGATCTTTTGGTTGTTGGTTGCATGCGAATGAAATCGCCTGTGGTTCAATAGAATAACCATGAGATTGATAATAGTCCGTGGGCCCTGCTTATTGGTATGAGGATGAAACCATGCAAACAAGTTTCATGTATTAATAAATTCATATTGTCCAGCAGGCCCATCACAGCTGATAAACGCTGACCCAGAAGGTGCTTGCATGCGAGCAGCCATCCAAAATACGTCACGCACCTACTGCAGCTCAGACGATCACTCCTGGGTCTGAGACTCGGAGGAAGACATACAATTTAGTAAGACGAAGCTCCCCCTTCCTAAACTGGGGTTCCACGTTCAAAGGTGGGGTTCTATCAGAGGTCACTGCATCACAAATCAATTGACGTCTTTAGCATCGTGTTCCACTCAGAGAGGGAAGTGAAGGGTAGGAACTCGAGGCAGATTGAGTAACGAGTTACGAGCAAAGGAGTAAGTGAGGGATTGTATCATATCAAATCAGCTGACGCCATCTGGACGCAAGCTAGCAAAAATTAACACAGCTTTATCGGCTATTTGTAAGTTCTACGTACTCTGCAGGAAAGCAACATTTAGAACAAGCTGCGGTGAAAAAATCTGGCTGCGACAGGAAGGGAGGGCACAAAGGGGTAGGTGTTTCAGCATGAAGAAGAATCCAATATCAAACACCAGGGTGTAACGCTTCAGACGCGCATTTTCAGGGGGTGGGCGTTGGGTGGGGTATAGGCTGCCAAGGGTCTTGGCTAGGCCTCGAGGTGTTCATATACACTTATACTACCTAGCGCATGTAGTGTAGACTAATGTATTAGCACCTGACCCAAAATTACCTTTGGTAGGTATCAGTTCATGATCGCTGTGGATATGCGGCCTCTAAATTGAGCCGGGGCTGGGATAACGGTCTTACGGAGATAATAATGGTCTGTGTGTGCAAGGTACAAGGGTTTCTAAACATAAGGATGATTATTATTGGTTGGGAAGAAACGGTGTTCATGAACTGGTTCAAAACAAGTGACAGATGGGCCCATATTCTCCTTTCTATTCAGACGTGCCACTGTTCTATTTCAAATTCGTAAACTTAAGTGTCTCTGTTACAGATGACACCCACTTCCCCTGTTCAATGGACAAGCTCTCCAACCTCCGATTCTCGAAGGTCACATGGCGCTATATTGGGCAATTGTGAACGGTCCGGTCACGACATGACGCGACAGATCGTGACCGAATCGAAGGGAGCCAGGTGATGACAAAGAGCCAACAACGAAAAGGCAAAATGAAAACCGGGACACCCGACACCGCGAAAAGATTGAGATATCGGCTGACATAATCGTACCGCTGTCTTCTGGATACTACCGTTCCTGCACTTCACGGATCCCTCAAGATCCCTCATATCCTTTTCTTGTTTGTACATGGACTGGTTTGGATGCTTTGTGACGAGCCGAATCTCTGAACCTTGGGCTATTTCAACATCAAGTTACGCCGGACAACTGGCATCCAATGGCCAGGGCAGCGGCTTCTTTGTTATCGTCTTCTTGCTGTCGCAACTCTGCTTCGTTCTTTAGAAACTGAATTATCAAATCATTCGAGTCTATATAACGGTGAATGCATTCCTCTCACTCCACTGTCCACGACTATGATGAGAACGAACTCAGCTGGGCTGCTGGACGTCGACCCTGGTGTTGTCGGACTCGCGCCCGTTTAGTACGCCTATGGCATACGTCGGTAGTAGTTGGTACTAAATATACCGAGTACTATTACACATTTTCAAGTACTCCGGTTTATGATAAGTATACGGGGAAGTCATCATTCTCGGCAAATTTTTTGATATTTTGTCTGATTAGTCTTCTTCCGACCTACGTCCTGCATGCAGGCGAACTAGCGACCATGCATTATTAATTTTATTCTCAGACCTGAAGTTGTAAGATACCAATGGTAAGTTCTTCTTAATACTCACCTGAGAGCGCTTGTATGTATGACAACTCATCAGCCAAGGTCGCGGTGGTTGATGGGGGAGAAACGGACGACTACCAGTTCGTTGCTTTCTTCATTATTGAGAAGTTCTAGAAACGCCTGCGCCTGACTACACGAGAATTAAATTACGAATTTGTTGCGCGTGGTGTGGGTTCATATCTCTCGGGTTGTTCCTTACGCTCATATGATTATGATATCTTTGTGGAAAATCTATACGAGCGGGAGGCTTCACGACACGCTAAACAGGTACGAATATCTCAGTATTCGTTTATGAAACTCTATTAACAAAATGTTGTACCTAAACAGGTACGAATCTACTTGTACGTCAGTACTCTACTCAAACGTTACAGTGGGATAACAACTCACATCTCAGTATTCGTTTATGAAACTGAGATGTTACGACTTTGGCTGGCTCTTCTTATACGGTGAGTGTGCCAGCAAGACTTTTGATGAAAACATATATACTTAAGAACAAAAAGATTGCCGACGTTGACACGTCGTCCATGTTCTCCGTTTGGAGACGCTCGCACTCGATGTGGTTCATTCTTTGGCCGTACTCTCCTTCTCCCCTTCGGCTCTGTCTCTCTCGGCCTTATGCTCCTCGGATACATCGGCTCTCAACACTCCCCCTCGAGCGCTATCCAAACGCATCAATGTCCGTAACCTCTGGAGTCTGGGACGTGCTAAGGGCTTGGTGAACGCGTCCGCAACATTGTCTTCGCTTGGGCAGTAGATGATCTTGAATGTGCCGTCCTTCACGTGTCCGCGCACAAAGTGGTAGCGCAGGTCAATATGTTTGGTACATGATTGAAACTTGCCTGTTGAAACTAACGCTATAGCTGCTTGATTATCGCAGAGTATGGGCGTAGGGAGGTTGTGGATGTCGTAGAGCTCGCGCATGAGGAGTTGTAGGTAAAGTACCTCCCGTGCCACGCTGGTCAAGGCGATATACTCAGCCTCTGCCGTAGATAGCGCTATAATGGGCTGTTTGCGCGCGCTCCAGGAAACGGGGCCTCCATTGAGCAGTACAATGTACCCGCTCATGGAGTGCCTATGAGGCTGGGATGCCCAATCGGCATCAACAAAGGCCTCGATGCCTCCGTCGCTGGACCCCAGCGTGAGTTCATATTTGGCGGTGCCTTTCAGGTACCGCAGGGCGCGTTTGGTAGCCTCCCAATGAGGTCTACCTGGATTCCTCATGAATTGGGATAGGGTTGCCACTGCAAAGGCAATATCCGGCCGGGTACTCGTAGCGGCATACATCAATGATCTGATTGCGCGTTGATACGGCACATCACGCATAGCTTGGACTTCGGCGTGCGTTGCGGGAGATTGTTCCATGGAGAGGACAGTGCCTGGTTCCATGGGCGTGTGGAGGATCTTTGCGTCTTCCAGGTGGAACCGTTCGAGGATTGTGTCGACATACGCCTTTTGGGATAGCATCAAGGTGCGTGCTATTCGGTTTCTCATCACCTTAAGGCCTAGTAACCAGCTCAGTTCCCCTAGGTCAGTAATTTCGAAGTGCGTGCACAGCTCGGACTTGAAACGATGGATATGGGAGATATGGTTGGCGGTGACAGCCATGTCATCGACTGACACGGTGATGACGACGTGTTCGTTCAAGGTGTGTTTAAAATAGACAGCTTGGTCTACCTTCGATCGACTGAACCCCATTTCGTTGAACGCTCCAGCCAGTTCTTGTGCCCACTCGTACCCGGCCTGCTTGAGTCCAGGTAAGCTCTGTTTCAACTTTAGCACCTTTCCTTCCTGACCATCCTTCAGATATCCCAGGGGCGCTCTCATGTAGATTTCCTCCTGCAGACTCGCATATAGGTACGCACTTTTAACATCCACCTGATGTATCTCCCAGTCACGCTGAGCCGCCATCGTTAGCACGGCACGTATAGTGCTCATATTGGCTGTGGGGGCGAAGGTTTCGAAGAAATCGACCCCATACTTCTGGCGCTGTCCATTGGCAACTAGACGCGCTCGAAGCTTCAGTTTCTCGCCGTCCGGGCCGCATTTCATGGCCAGGACGTAATGACATGGGATTATGTTTACACCTCGAGGTGCGTCTACAATATCCCACGTGCCTAGCTTCTCGAGTTGACTGATTTCGTAATCTATGGCTTCTTGCCATTCCACAGCGTCCAGGCCTTTCAGGGCTTGTTGGAGGGTTGGCTCTGGTTGTACCGCTGCCAATGCCAGGTGAATGTGCACCTCTTCATCTAAGAGGTCGATTTCTGACGCTTCTAACAGGTTTTCCATGGCGACGGCAGCCTTTTGGCCTTCGTTTAGCGCCGCGTAATATCCTGGAGGTGGTCTGGCCCTCGTTTCCCTCGTAGGAGGAGTAGATGGCTGAGGTTGCTGAGGAGTAGATGGCTGAGGTTGCTGGCCTGTAGATGGTTGAGGTTGCTGGCCGGTAGATGGTTGAGGTTGCTGGCCGGTAGATGGTTGAGGTTGCTGTTGTGGTTTGGTGGAGATGGGCTGGACGCTATTAGGTGAGTCTTTATTAATATTGCCGCTATTATGTTCGTTGACTGCAGCAGACTCCCCCTCGTCCAGCACACCATCTCTTACCTCCATCGGTGGGAAGGTAACGTTCCTTTCCACTGAGACACGCCGCTTACCCGGCCAGTACACCCGGTAACCTTTGCTTTCGGCATCCACCCCCACAAATACTGCCTCTTCCGCCTTCGCCTCCAGCTTGCCCGCCTCCAGGACATGGACAAAAACCTTGGCCCCAAACTCATGGGCCTGAGACAGGTCCGGTTTGGACTTGCGCACCAGCTCATAGGGCGTGCTACCTGGGATGGCTCTCGACGGTAGGCGGTTCTTGAGCCAGGTGGCGTAACTAACGGCCTCGGCCCACAGGTATTTTGGCATATCCTTGCCCAGGAGCATCGCTCTCGCGTGCTCGACCAGGGTGCGGTTGAGGCGTTCTGCAACGCCGTTCTGCTGAGGTGAGTCGTGGACCGTTAGTTGGCGCTCGATACCTTGCTGACGCAGGTGATTTTTGAACTCTGTGCTCAGGTATTCTCCTCCCCGATCCGAACGCACTTTCCGCAACCGGGTTCCGGGTGTCTGACGATCGAGCCAGGCCTCGTAGGCCTTGAAAGCCGTGAGTGCTTCGCTCTTGTGTTTCAGGAACTGCAGCTTCGTTTGGCGACTAAAATCATCCGTGAAACTAATATAATAGCTGCAGCCTCCCAAGCTTGTCGTCTGCGCCGGCCCCCATAGGTCCGTATGGACAAGTTCGCCATAGGTAAGTGCTCGCGTCTTCGTCTCCTTGGGGAAGGACTGCCGCGTTGACTTAGCTTTGACACAGGCTTTGCAGAACTCGGCGGCGGGCACCGGGTCAACGTCAATGCCCTCGATTAGGCCCTTCTTGACGCAGTCAAGAAGGGCCACATGCGACACGTGTCCTAGGGAGCGATGGAGTTGGTTTATGGTAGGTTTTGTCGCGGCAACGTTGGCTCTATGCTTACGCTCAGATGTCACCGAGTAAAGTCCTTGGACTTGGGGAATTTCCGCGATGGTCCTTCATTCGGGGGCAGCAGATAGTATCTTGCACATTCCCCCTTCGAACAGTACAGCCAAGCCGGCAGATGCTATCCTGTTGGTGGATATTAGGGTGAAAGCCATGGAGGGGGCATAGAGGACGTCCTTGAGCGTGACAGTTGTCCGCTTCAGGCCCAATGGTAAGTCTATCTTAACATCTCCGCATCCTGTCGCATTGACAGTAGAGCCGTTTGCAGTGTAGACCTTCTGCGGTGGGATATCGACAAAGGTCACAAATTTTGCCCTATCGGGGCAGAAATGGGATGTCGCGCCGGAGTCTACAATAGCTCCACGGCGGTCTGGAGGTACGTCCATAGATTTAGCGATGACTGCTAGATCTGACGTCGCAAAAGCGTAATTATCTTTTACCTCCGGCTCCTTGGCTGCGTTGGCACTGTGTTTCTGGGTGCGTCCTCCTTGTCTCTGTCGCTGATTCGGCCCCTGACCCTCCTTGCCTCCTCCTTTCCGCCAACAGTCACTCTTCCAGTGTCCCTTGCGATCGCAGTTCGTGCAGAGTGCGTCGGGGTTGGACTGTGGGGCTGAGCTCTGAGAGCTCCTGCTCCTCCCCGGGTTTGTTCTCACAGAGAGCGCACTGTTCGTTCCCCTTTTGTTGGGACGTCTGTCGGTGAGTAACCGATGTTCGTATTCCTCGGTGATGATCATGATGAGTTCATAGGGAGATAGAGGTGTTTTGGTGATCTTAGCGGCTGCGTTCATGGATGAGAGAAGTGGGCGGTAGGATTCGGGCAGAGACCCTAAAATTATAGCATGGAAGTCCGCATCGACGACGGTAACCCCCATTCCAGCTAGGGACTCCCGCAGGCGCAAAAGCTCAGCAAAATGCGCCTTCACGTCTCCTCCTTCTTCGCACCTCGTCTCCTGGAGCCTTCGTCTCAGATCTATCTGGACAAGTTCTGTTTTGCCTTCGTGAATTTGACATATTTCTTTCCAGATTTCGGACGCAGATCCTAACTTTTGGACTCGTAACAGGAGCCGATCCGTGATCGTGCAGAAGATCTGTTGTGTTACGAGTGAGTTCTTTTGTTGATACTCGTCAGTCTTCGCATCGAGCTCATCAATCTCCTTTTGCGTAGGCGTTGTACCATCCGGCTTCGTAACGACCCCCGTAGAGCTCACTATGAAAGGCGTAGGCTCTATAGCTCGACCATCAGTATATCTCGTGAGTCCTCGTGCACCTATTGCTGTTAATGTCCGTTCCTTGTAGGTTATCCAGTTCGAGCCGTCTTCGGCAAGCTTCGGGATGTTAAAAAGACTTGAGTTGGCGCTGGGAGCAGACGAGTCCATGGTCGAGACAGGGCTCATAACCTGTGGAGAATCTATACGAGCGGGAGGCTTCACGACACGCTAAACAGGTACGAATATCTCAGTATTCGTTTATGAAACTCTATTAACAAAATGTTGTACCTAAACAGGTACGAATCTACTTGTACGTCAGTACTCTACTCAAACGTTACAGTGGGATAACAACTCACATCTCAGTATTCGTTTATGAAACTGAGATGTTACGACTTTGGCTGGCTCTTCTTATACGGTGAGTGTGCCAGCAAGACTTTTGATGAAAACATATATACTTAAGAACAAAAAGATTGCCGACGTTGACACGTCGTCCATGTTCTCCGTTTGGAGACGCTCGCACTCGATGTGGTTCATTCTTCGGCCGTACTCTCCTTCTCCCCTTCGGCTCTGTCTCTCTCGGCCTTATGCTCCTCGGATACATCGGCTCTCAACAATCTTCTGCAGGATGTATATGGCGACTCTCTTTAATGTGGGGCCTAAGGGGAAATGGGTTGCTAGTTGTGGTCTCTCTTGGCCCAATCTTCCGGCTTGTGCACGTTCTTCACTCTAGAAAACTCATACAAAGAAAGGGGAACCTGGCCGTGAAGCACTGCTAAAAAAGGTATACGAGGACAAGGGAACAGAATTCGTGGAAATACTCGCGCTGAAGGGGTAAGTTTACATCTGCCTTGACACATTCGAAGTTGAGGAACTGATGAATTTATGATTTGTCACTGCGACTACTATTTGTTTCCTTGTTGGTTATACAGAAATGGAAGAGCCAAGCGGGAATTGAGCGATCAGTGGGTAACGAGTAAGTCTTTTGCTTCCTCAAATTGATCTTAGAATGGTGATTGCTGCAAGCAACATATCTTGCCACTCTTCTCCTCTGACGATTTCAACTGACTGTGTTATTGTAGCAATCCCAAAGATGTAGCCTGCGACACCCTGGATTAAATGCTGGAGATCACGCGAAAATCCATGACAGGTTTGCCTTAGCGCACTTGAATTCCAGTACGTACATCTGCACGTTCATAACACGTTCACGGACCGAACATTTTATACAGGTTTTTTGCTGTACCGCTAGCTTTATGCGGTGTTTTGTGTTGCTCCATGTCCTGTCTTACTAGTGGTCGTCCTACGTGCTTGATTGTGACCGGAACGTTATATCCCTGTTCCATTTGATCTTTTGGGTGTATGCGAACGAAATCGCCTGCGACTCAACGTATTACCAGTGAGTGTCACGAGATTTATAATGGCTCGCGGGCCCTGTCTATGGTGCGAGGATAAATATGCAAAGAAATTTCATGAATTAATAAATTTAATATTGTCCAGCAGGCACCACGGCTAGTGAACACCGACCAGGAAGGTGCTTGCATACGAGCAGCCATCCAAAATATGTCACGCATCTACAGCAGTTAAGACGATAAACCCTGGGCCCGAGGCGAAAACTGAGTGGAGGAATTCTATCAAATCGAATCAGCATCACGCGGCGATTCACGCCGTCCGGACGCACGCACAAGCTAAGAAAAATCACCACGACTTTCGGATATTCGTGCTATACCTTGTTTCCTTTATCTCGTACACTACTGTACACCTCGTAGAGTACCGCGGCGGTAACAGTTTCCGCGGTATATGGACATGCTTGAGTGTATATATATACATAGAACATTGAGCTGCTCATTAGTCAGCATCGAGTCGCTCTGAGGATAGCTATGTACCAAATATAACTCTTTGGTGACCCACAGAATTCCTTTTTACTCCTCTCATGCTGTTCTATCGCATAACACAATGATCAGCGCCAGCTCGCTTGAGCTGGCTACCATCACTTCAAATTTTCGACTGCCCACGCATCGGCCCGAGTCGCAGTAGTTATATCAATGACTACCACCGCCGACAAGCTGAACTGGAAGCAGGCCATCTGGGTTGATCTTCTAGGTTCTTTGCCGCTCAGTGACACATTCAACTTACTGCGGTGCATTCCATATCTCTCCTTCAAGCTTGTCTCCCGCCGAGAGGCCTCTAGCGCTCCTCACAGTACCCGGCACCGACCACTCAGTCCTGTGCAATGAATGAACTCTAAAGCACACGTGTTTGATACTATCATGAACACCAGTCTGCTTACCCTTATGAGACTATATGGGGTGATTATCGACTAAGGTCAACCAGGCACTAGTAAACGCGAGAATGTGGAAAGGAGCGGGTTTGGAGCGGGTAGCGAAGTACTCGGCCGATAGCGACATATGTCGAGTAGGCTGCGCATCCTACAGGTAAGTCAGTTTGTCACATTATTAATATCGTGTCCCCAATACACGGAGAGAATTATTAATGGGACGTTTAATCGGTTTTGGGCACCGTAAGTCCAAGCCTGGGAATGGGTGCTCGTCATTATCGTCCCTGTCTTCCTCAACTGATTCACGTTCGAGCTTACGGTGGGTAATTGTTGAGTATGTGTGCTAACGCTGAACTGCAACAGGACAGTCTGAGCACTACTTTGGTCTCGTCCAGGTCGTTCTGATCATAGTTATAGTCAGGAGCTAGATGTCAGTGGCACTGTATCATGGAATAAATACAACATGTGTTGCGACTGCAAGGACACAAGAAAATGTGGTGTTCGAGATCAACTCGTTTGTATCACTAGCAGGAATAGCTAACTCTGTATGTCATACTCTCCCTTTATATAGTCCAGAACTTCATCAACCGAAGGCCGCATCTCGACTTGCGTCGACCAACATTGTTCAATGTAGCACCAGTGATCATCGGCAATTGCAGGCGATACGGGTCGTATTGACAGAATGCCTTTAGATTTGGCCACAATGACAAGAGACTCTGTCTCCATGTCAAAGTACGGGGGGCGGCCAGATAGCACCTAATAAAATATTTGGAATCATTCATTCGCTGAAGATAAGAGGGGTCTCGGCGTTACCTGCATCATGATGCAACCAAATGAATAGATGTCACTCGCTTTATTTGGCTTGCTAACACATTCGTCGGGCTTTTCGGTATCAAGCGGTATAATTTCTGGAGCAGCCCAACGAGTTGCGCCTGAGCTGTGAGATGCGAAGAAAGATGTCTCATGATCCGCCAGCAGGCACGACAGACCAAAGTCCGCAAGTAGAGCATTCCCGTTTTCATCGATCAGAACATTAGGCTGAGATTTCATGAGCAACGCGGACTGACCGGTGAAAAAATAGTGACATACAGGCATAAGGTCTCCATGTACAATATCTTTAGAATGCACTGATTCATCGTGCATCGTCAAAATGAGGTCACATAGCAACTAAATTCACTCACGATACTGCAGACCTAATACGATTTGGAGGAGCTGTATTTCAACTGATCTGAGGGTGCGTTTATAAGACATAGATAAGAAATACTCACAAGAAGAAAGAGACGACGCATTTCAGGTGGCGACTGCTCACGCCGCATTGTGCCCAGATATTGATGGAGAGAACCGTTTTTCATCCATGGACACACTAGCGCTGGGATAATTTCATATTTTTCCGTAGTGCCATACAAAGGCACTATGTGCGAATGTTCCAGCTGTCTCCAGACAAAGACTTCCTGACGTAATTTCTGTATAGAAAGTGATGTTAAATGCCACATACATCGACTACACGAGAGCTAACCTTGATCAATTTATTTAGGTCTTCTGGTTTCCTTGACGGCACTCTGAAAGCCTTGACTGCGACTTTTTGCGGGAGTATCTATTAGGATTGAGCTAATCTTTTGGAAGGAAATCAATTAATAAACGAACTTTGGTACCGTTTCGGAGGAAGGAACTTGTCAATTTGCATTTCCAGACGTTGCCGAATCCGCCAAAATTGCGGGGGAACTCATCGATGCGTGAAATATAAGCCGTAAGATCCTCAGGTTCATCGTGGTATTTTTTGAAGTCAACATATCTGGAAATGTCATAGCTCAAAGCACTGTCTGTTTTGGGGAGAAGTATACGTACGGTTTTAGGAAAGTTTGCGTCAGTGGTGAACGAAGATCCCCCTCGTAGTGAGGGTCATCATATGCAAGGTCCTCGAAACTGGAAAATGACCCAGAAGGCGAGACAATACAGGGCGATTCAGAGTCAGTGCTACTCGTTGTAAGACTCGGGACAGTTTTTGATTCGTCAGAATCATTGCCCTAATGGTACACAAAATTCGGTCAATGTCTTCTGGGCGCCCATTGACAAGTAAGCACTTACTGAAGTGGCACTCCCGCTGGTGAAGCGTGAGATAGACTGCGAGCAAATAATGCGCAGTTTCTTCCAGTCAGTTCCTAATCATTCGTCATCAGCTTTGATCCACCAGGTAGAACACTACTTGCCATTAGATTTTGAATTCTCCGCAACTGGATGTGACATGATGCTGGGGCAGCAACGAAGAGAAGACTTTCGAGAATAGGAAGTGTCAGGAGCTACAGCAAGTGGAGAGCGAACTCACATTTATTAGACTGGAAGCATCCTTGCAAGTTTCACAGTAGTAAACCATGAGTATGAACTTGCCATCACATATCAGCATGAGCACTAATTTGCGAGTCTTCTGACCTGCCAGAACCTGCGTTCTTGGCCGTGATCTCTCCAAAACATCAGGTGGATGATCACCATATTCACGGCGGCTGAGCCCACATTAATGAATTCACCGTGGCAGGCAACCGTAGGGTTGAGGTAGGTGGCAGACCCTTGTAATATGATCAAGTGGTTTAACCGCAATCATGTGTTGACGCGAGCGCTCACAACGCTGTTAACTCGATAAGAAGAGTGATGGTTTCTCATATCACAAGAACAGCTCAGACGAACCTTTCGGGAGTACAACTCGGTGCTGTGTATTGGCCGACCAGTGCTTCTCCGCGAACAACGGTAGCGTAGTACCTACTGGATGTGAATACTTGTCATGTACGCAGCAAACAGGTTTGAATGCCTCTTCTATGCTGTGAAGTCCAAGTCAGTGCTCGCGAATTCAAGTCTGGTAGTTGTGACATACCCTCAGGCTGGCCATACTAGTACACAATGGCCTATCGTTCAAGATATTTGGATGTTCGCGGGACAAGTGCTGGTAGCTGCTGAACTTTACTCTGCAGATTGAGTTTGTGTATCCTTCGATTATTCCTGCCACTGATCACCGCTGTTCTAAGAATGGCATTCGAAATCGAATACTCCAATAGAGCGGATAGTAGCAAGGCATTGCTGGCGGCTTCTTTTCAAAGTCCGCACCTCGCGGCGGTGAACGTGTACTTCGGCATTTTCGTAGGTGACCGGTTAACCCCATGTCAGATTCGCGATGTGATGCCACTGAGTTGCACAGCTTGTCGATGGTGCACTGGTGGTTGGCTCGGGTGAGTCTTTTAATACCGTTATGAATACTGATCAAACCAAAATTTGTTCTGTGTACCAAGGTTTGTATCAATGTAAGTACTCGAATGAATCGTCACCGCGAGACCTGTAGGAGTCGGGTTGGCTTTCCGAATACTAAGCGTTCAAATGAATTGCGACCTCCACGATCAATCTTCCATAGACCTCGAGGCCCGAGATTTCCGCACTAGAATTACTACATGAACTTTAGAACAAGGTTTTCCATGCATCTCAATGCCCGAATCGATTGGCTGCCAGTTGAGCCAACTGGAAGCTTCAGTGGATCGCCTAACGCCCACTGCCCTGGGAATTTTACAAGCTGTATGAGGTGATAGTATGGATGTACTTTACATCAAATTGCCTCGTCCACCGCAGCCGGGCTGGCTTTTGGGGATGGTAAAAACTTTTACAGGCCATACTTAACATGGCACACACAGGTGGGTCTTCGGATTGATGCATGTCATGATGGTTCTCGGAAGAACTGTGACTTTGTGAACTCAGAAACATAATTAAAAACAGCATTCATGTTGCATTTATAGCATGCTGTCGAAGGTATGAATATCGCCTGCATTCAGCGTCTATTTGGAACATCCATATCTCGTGCTTGCCTCAATAACCAGAGGTCATGTCCAACAAAACGTTGGACCACGCCCCTCAACAGGGCTCTGGCGTATCTGACCTGCTTTCATATTTTGGGCTAGTGGTGAAGTTACCCTTGACGTTCATTCGATGGTCATACCGAGAAATGGCACCAAAAACTCTCCATTCGTCTTCTGAAGGCTTGTGCCCAAATCCGCAAGGCGCCGTTCCGAATCCAATCATCTCAGACTCTTGGACCGTCCTGAGAAAAGGTCACCACATTGATATTCCTGAGTACACACATCGCTTCTCTCAGTGTTCATTGGCTGAATTCTGTATTAGCTTGATGAATCCATCATCAGATTCTTCCAGGTGTACACCAACCACTCCCTCCAATTCGCAGGGGCATCCTGCGGGAGAGTCTCAGTGCAGCTCTGCCCTTGATCTCACCAGGAAAATTGTTCGGCGCGAAATATACCCAACTCTGTCGGGTACGTACAGTGACGTTTGGCGGTCAACGTGGTGCCATGACAAGCAAAAGCGTAATGTGAGTGAAATTTACATATTAGAATCCTCGAAATACAAATTGAACCTTGTCAAGGTTGCGGTCAAGTCAGTGAAAATTCCATTTTTGAATGAGGATGAGAAAAGTAATAATCGTCAAGTTCGTCCTTTCGTTTGTGTTCAAGAAAATCCGCTTAGTACGCATGACTTAGAAACTAATGGATAAAGTATCATCTTGGGCGCAACTACTTCACAGGAACGTTTTGCCACTATATGGAATTGCGCACGGTTTTGGGCACTTTCCGTCACTAGTGACGCCTTGGGTGAACGAGGGGTCGTTGAATGACTACATCGCTAATCATCATTTGTCACTGGGAGGCAAGTTGGATCTCGTAAGACTTTAGCCATTTCGGTGGAAACGTGTTTCTTACTCGTGCACTGGCATGGCCTTAGGCCAAACAGGTAGTAGCTGGGCTTGGTTATCGTAAGTTTTCTTTCATTCGTCATGGCAATGGTTTTCGTTGATTTCAAATGTAGTACACGCTCATTCTATTGTACACGGAGATATATCTGGAGTAAGATAACTGTCCCTAGAAGTATGGTTCGCTAATACTTGTCTAGCTCAATATCCTGGTGGACCATGAAGGTAGAGCACAATTATGTGACTTCGGAATCATGTCGTTGCTCGCAGAAATTCCATCTTCGCCACAGCCATCTGGGGGTATCCGCTCTGCGGTGCGATGGACCGATCCTCAGTTATTCGATGTCCAAAAAGGCGAAATCAATCTAAGCATCCCAACGGAGCAGACTGATATCTATTCAATAGGCAGTGTTCTCCTACAGGTATGGTACATCCTGTCCTCGTGGCATCACCCGCTTACCATATTGCGACCGTAGTTGCTCACGGGATCAATACCTTACTACGATATCAAGGATAACATCCGTGTCCTTATATTATCTTCGAGAGGCGTAAAACCCAAATGTCCTCCGGAAACGAACCTCACTAGTGCACAGTGGAATTTTATTCAAAGATGTTGGTCTCCTCGCGGACTTGCCAGTCGTCCAACTATCGAGGAAATAGAAGAATTTCTCGAGTCTGAGCTACGGATGGCAGGTATGGGTTAGCGCACTTGAATTCCAGTACGTGTATCTGCACGTTCATCACACGCTCGCAGACAGAATATTTCATACAGGGTGTGGTTTGCTGTACCGCTAGCTTTATTCGGTGTTTTATGTTGCTGCATGTCTTATCTTACTAGTGGTCGTCCTACGTGCCTGATTGTGACCGGAACCTTACATCCATGTTCTATCTGATCTTTTGGTTATTGGTTGCATGCGAATGAAATCGCCTGCGGTTCAATGGAATAACCACGAGATTGATAATAGTCAGTGGGCCCCGCTTATGGTACGAGGACAAAACCGTGCAACGATGTTTCATGAATTAATAGATTTTATATTGTTCAGCAGGCATCACGGCCCATAAACGCCGACTCAGAAGGCGCTTGTATACGAGCAGCCATCCAGAATACGTCATGCACCTACTGCAGCTCAGACGATCAATACTGGGTCCGCCGAGAGGAAGACATGAATGAAATTGAGAACCTAGTAAGACGAAGCTCCCCCTTCCTGAAATGACAAATACCTGGGGTTCCACGTTCAAAGGTAGGGGTTCTGGGTATCGTAGAGGCCATTCAAGTTGCCTTACAAATGGACAAAAAAATCAATTGACGTCTTTAGCATCGTGTTTCTCCCAGAGAGGGAAGTGAGGGGTGTCGACGGAAGGAGTAGGGCTTGTATCATATCAAATCAGCATGACGCCATCCCGACGCAAGCGCAAGCTAACATAACTTTATCGGCTATTTGTAAGTGCTACGTACTCTATGGGAAAGCAACTTTTAGATCGAGCTGCGGTGAAATGAAATTGTGGCTGTGACATGAAGGGAGGGCACAGAGGGGCAGGCATTTAAGCGCGGAGAAGAATCAAACAACAGTATGTTCAAGATATCGACATGTCTCCGAAGCCATTCCAAGGGTTGTATGCATACCAGGAAACCTTGGGTCGGGCTCCCAAGGCTTGTATGCATACCAGCGACACGGAGGTATGTATAGCTACTTTTCTATGATAGGCAGGGTACCGGGTTGTATCGAAGTTTAATTTCTGCCAGGGTGTGGCGCTTTAGACGCGCATTTTCAGGGGGTGGGCGGGTAGGGGCCAGTCTAGGGAGGGTCTTGCCTGGGCCTCGAGGTGTTCATATACTTTGCATGTACTTATACTACCTAGCGCATGTAGTGTAGTAGCACCTAACGCAAAATCATCCACCTCTATTACCTTCGGTCTGAGGGTATCAGTTCCTGTTCCAATGTCTACCCCGGAATTTAAATACAGAAAACCATCCATATTTTCCTTTTTATCCGCCAAGCAGAGACGTGCCACTGCTCTAACTCAAATTCGTAAACTTGTCTCTGTTACAGATGGTAACACCCCTTCCGGATCCCCCGTTGGATGGGATATCACAGCTGCAGAGCTCTCCAAACTCCTGCAAACACGTAATATCGAGGGTCGCACGGCGCCATATTGGGCAATTGTGAATCACCGGCAAGACGTACGCTCGGCATTTGCTAAGTTATTCGAAGTTGATAACTTCAAATTTTCGCCCGAATGCTTTTCCGACCTACGTCTTGCATGCATGCGAACTAGCAACGATCCATTATTCTCGCAGTGGAAATTGCAAAATAGTATCAATGGTAAGTTCCTTTTAATACCCACCTAAGAGTGCTTGTATTGATGTACGACAACTCATCAGCCAAGGACGAGCCTTTAAGACTGTTTCTGGGCTGTCAACCAGATAAGGTTACGGTGAAAGATGGGGGAGACAACTACCAGTTCGTTGCTTCCTTCGTTATTGAGAAGTTCCAGAAACGCCTGTGCACTACACGAGAATTAAATTATGAGTTTGTTGCACGTGGTATAGGTTCATGTCTTTCAGGTTGTTCCTTACGCTCACACAATCATGCCATCTCCTGCAGGACGTATTTGGCGATTCTCCTTTAATGTGGGGCCTAAGGAGAAATGGGTCGCTAGCTGTGGTCTTTCTTCGCCCAGTCTTCCAGCTTGTGCACGTTCTTCACTCCGGCTAGAAACTCATACAAAGGAAGGGAAACCTGGCCGTGAAACACCCAAAAAGGTACACGAGGATAAGGGAATCATGGAAATACAAGCGGCGAAGGGGTAAGTTTAAATCTGCCTTGACACATTCGAAGTTGAGGTACTGACGAATTTATGATTTGTATGCGACTATTCTTTGTTTCCCTGTTGGCTATGCAGAAAGACGGGCAATGCAGATGGAAAAGCCAAGCGGGCCACCTATTGGGACTCGGAGTTGAGCGATCAGTGGGTAACATACGAGTAAGTCTTTTGCTTCCTCAACTTGACCCTTATCTTGGAATGGTGATTGCTGCAAGCAACATATCTTGCCACTCTTCTCCTCTGACGATTTCAACTGACTGTGTTGTAGCAATCCCAACGATCTAGCCTGCGATGACACCCTATATGCAACGCTGGAGATCACATTCGAAAATCCTCCGCTCGTTGTGACAGGTTCGCCTTAGCGCACTTGAATTCCAATACGTACATATGCACGTTCATAACACACTCAGAGACCGAACATTTCATACAGGTTGTTTTTTGTTGTACCGCGAGCTTCATTCGGTGTTTTGCGCTGCTCCATGTCTTGTCTTACTAGTGGTCGTCCTATGTACTTGATTGTGACCGGAACATTGTGTCCCTGTTCTATTTGATCTTTTGGTTGTATGCGAACGAAATCACCTGCGGTTCAACGGAATACCAGTGAGTGTCACGAGATTTATAATAGCTCGCGGGCCCTGCCTATGGTGCGAGCATAGATATGCAAAGAAATTTCATGGATTAATAAATTTAATATTGTCCAGCAGGCACCACGGCTAGTAAACACCGACCAAGAAGGTGCTTGCATGCGAGCAGCCATCCAAATACGTTACCTATCTACAGCGGTTAAGACGATAAACCCTGGGCTCGAGGCGAAAACTGAGTGACGAGGGGAGGGGGGATTCTATCATATCAAATCAGCATCACGCCATCATCCGACGCAAGGGTAAGAAAATCAACACGACTATACATATTTCCCTTATCTCGTACACTTCTCCACAGGACAGCTCGTAGAGCACCGCGGCTTAACCTTGTGACAGTTCCGCGGTGTATGGGGTGTATTTAGAACATTAGTCAGCGCCAAGTTGTTGGGCGATGCCAGCTTGCAGCAAATATACTCTTTCACCCGAACCTAGATTCACAGAATCACTTTTTGCTTTTCTCATGCTGTCCTATCGCGTAACCCAATGATGAGCGCTGAGGATTAGCTCGCTTGAGCCGGCTACCATCACTTCAGATTTTCGACTACCCACGCTCATACGGTACTCTAGTATTTCGGGATGGTGTCGGCCTGAGTCGCAGTAATTATATCAACGACTACCACCGCCGACAAGCTGAACTGGAAGCAGGCCATCTGGGTTGATCTTCTAGGTTCTTTGCCGCTCAGTGACGCGTTCAACTTACTGCGGTGCATTCCACATCTCTCCTTCAAGTTTGTCTTCCGTCGAGAAGCCTCTAGCGCTCCTCACAGTACCCGGCGCCGATCACTCAGTCCTGTGTAATGAATGCACTCTAAAGCACGCGTGTTCGACACTATCATGGACACAAACTTGAACAGTCTGCTTACCCTTATGAGACTGTATGGAGTGACTATCGACTAAGGTCAACGAGGCACTAGATATATCGGATCAACGCGAGAACGAGAAGGAAATGGGAAAAAGCGGGTAGTGAAGTATTCGGCTGATGGTGACATGTGTCGAATAGGCTGCAATCTCTACAGATAAGTCAGTCTGTCATATTAATATTGTGTCCCCGATATACGGAGAAAATTGCTGATGGGACGTGTAATCGGTTTTGGGCACCGTAAGTCCAAGCCTGGGAATGGACGCTCGTCATCATTGTCCCTGTTTTCTGATTCACGTTCGAGCTTACGGTGCGTAATTGTTGAGTATGTGTGCTAACGCTAAACTGCAACAGGACAGTCTGAGTACTACTCTGCTCTCATCAAGGTCCATCTGATCATAGTTTTCATCTTTCCAGGATCATCTACGACTGGGGTGGAGTAAAATGTCATCCTAGACCCGTAAGTAATGCATAGTGTTCGTCAGCAGCACAGGAAGGGGCTGTCGAATTCTCAGAATGGTCAAGCTTTCATCGGTGGCTTTCAAATTTTCAGTCAGACTTTCATCAACGCCTTTTATTCTTTCGGTGGTGTTGAGCTGGTGGCAGTAACCGCGGGAGAGTCCGTTTGACCGCATCAAACTATCCCTCGGGCTATCAGGGCTACTTTCCTCCGGATAGTCCTTTGACCATCCTAACAATTGGACTCAGTATCAACTGGAAAAACCCTACGCGCAGCGGACGGTGAGTGATGAATCTGGAGTGGAATTCACCGCTCATCTCTTCGACCTACTATCAGACTCGGATGTGACAGTATCTACACTGACTGTGGTGTTCCAGCGTGCTAGGTTTGGCACCGTTGCACACATCGTGAACACCGTCCTCTTGACAGCGGTTCTGATCAGGCCTCTCGCGTCTTTGTGGGTAACCAGCCGAGGCGTTTTGTGCCTGCGCTCGTGAGTCTGTGCTATCGCCTTAATCGAGATGGAAATAGCCATTAAAGCATGTATGGTGCAATCAGAGAAGCACGGACGGTGGTACTTCATACCCAAAAAACGATGAGGTAGATATGTGTAGATGCGGATGTCTAAGTACAGGTAGATACAAATCTTAGAAATTCAAGATGACAAGATTTCGTAACACACAGAATCTTCGTAACGATCAAAAAATAAGACATCGATTGCGTAGTCACAACCGTACGAATGTAAAGATTCACTCTGCAGTCCCAAATGCATCATAAATGATGTATCCTGGTCATTCCGTGAGCCAATAAATGCCATAACGAACTATTTTTCTTCGATTGTCACCTCTAGCTTTGCATGTAGGATGTTACCGCAGTCTACATCTGTGGGATCGCTACGACAAAACAGTCAGTTGAATTCGTCAAAGGAGAACAGTAGCAATATGTCGCTCGCCACAATCACGGTTCCAAGACAAGGATCAAGTCGAGGCAGCAAAAGACTTACTCGTATGTCACCAAATGATCGCCTAACTTCCAATTGCTCCAAAAGTACTTTTCGCCGTCTACATCGCCGGTGTATCTGCATAGCCAACGGGGGAACAAAGGATCGCATAGGAATCATAGATTGGTATCAGTACCTTGGCTTCGGATGTGTCAAGGCAGATTTGAACTCACCCCATCGGTACGTGTGTTCTGAGTTCACATTTCCTGTTCACACCCTCAAACACCCTTTTAGGCGGCGTTTCACGGCCAGATTCCCCTTTCGTTGTACGAGTTTCTAACAGAAGTGAATAACATACTGTAGAAACTGGAAGACTAGGCGAAGAGAGGCCAAAGCCAGCGATCCATTTCCCCTTACTCCCCATTTCAAAGCAGAACGACCATATACGTCCTGCAGCATATGGCATGATTATGAGCGTAAGGAACAGCCTGGAAAATAAGATATACCTCGCGCAACAAAATCATAATTCAACCTTCGTGTAGTGCACAGACGTTTTTGGAACATCCTGATATGGAAGGAAACAACGAACTGGTTGTCATCCAGTTCTGCCACATTATGCACCTCAATCTCATCTTGTGGACAGCCAAGAAATTGTCTTAAAGACTCGTCTTGGGCTAATCAATACGTCATACATCAATGCAAACGCTCTCGGATGCGCATTAAGGACTCACCATCAGTATTCTGAAAATTCAGTTTCCAGAACAATGCATGGTCGCTAGTTCGCATGCACGCAAGACGTAGGTCGGAAGAACATTTGGAGGAAAATTTGGAGATGAATGATTTAAACGTCCAGAATACCTCTTGCCGGTGATTCACAATTGCCCAATATAGCGCCGTGTGACCCTCGATATTGGGTGTTTGCAGAAGGTCGGAGAGCTGAGAAACTGTGAGCTCATGAGCACATGCATCGGCAATCGATTCAATGGAGGAAGGGGTGACATCTGTAGCGGAGACAAGATCACGAATGCGAGATAGAACGGTGGCATGTCTCTCCCTGACTGATAGAAAGGAGAATATGGATGGTCGTCTGCATTTGATTCGGATGTTAGAAATTGTGTCGTACGATGGGGGCGAGCTAGCAATGGACTTGCTATCATCGATGACTTCGGATTTTGTAGCCATGATGGCGAAGTGAGTGATGCGAAAGGGGTCTTTCGTTGAGGTGATACAATAGAATGGGGGCGTTGTGCCAAGCATCCCACGCGACCCCATAGGGTAAGTAGACTGTTGGTAACAGTTGGTAACAGTTGGTTGTCCATGATAGTATGTGCGTGCTTCAGAGTATATCCATTGCACAAGACTGAGCGGTCCGTGTCGAGTACTGTGAAGAGCGCTAGAGACCTCCCGACGATAGACAAACTTGAAGGAGAAAGATTAAATGCATCGTAACAAGTTGTCACGGTGCGACAAACGGGATCAACCCAACGGCTTAGGTAGCAAAAAAATCCCTGCCTGGCAAGAGTCATGCAAGTATTAGTAAGCGCTAGTCTACGATCGCAGTCGGGTCGGAGTGTGAAATTTTGAAAACTGTGTCGTAGACGCCTACGACACGTCCAGTAATTTATCAGAATACTATACTACTTGACGATATCATTCGTCTATATCGAACCCAAAACACGCGAAAGTTACGGCGCTGTCTTACTTCTGTTCTACCAATTTTCTAGGAATATTGAAACTTGTACATCACCCCATGCCAGCAGTGCACCTGAACTTCTTCGTTTCTCTGTATCTTTGATTGTCAAAGTCGCAGAGACAGCTGACGACTATGTAACAGATTCGATCACAATTAGCCAGTATTGCGCCTTTTCTGAATCACTCCGTCAAGTCTGCGTTGTTGGAACATTCATGACTACCATAGGCACGGGGCACCATGGAACGTACACTAGTACTGTCACTTGTTATGTTCTGAAATCGCACTCACAGAACACATCCTTGGCAGACTCGTCAAAGTGATTATCAAACATGCCCTTCTCTAACGTTTTTAACGCATGTGCATCTTCGTATCGTAATGATAGAGCACCCCTAACGTGATTTGTGAACTCATCTTTTCTTCTTGCAACTTCAGCTAAACGAAGCTACTAATATATAGCGCCGCTCACCTTCGAGTTCGAACATCACGAGAATGCATGACAGATCCTAACGTTGAGCTTTTCCATCGAGTACCGTCTTCAACAAGACCTGGAAGTTCCGCAACTTGAAGTTCGTGCTATGCCTATTCATGACCTCACTCAACTTTATAACGCAGTGCCAGGGATGTCTTACGAACCCATTATGAGGCGTGACAATCCTTCATGCCGCTGCAGTCTACCTGCTGGTTCGCTGTCATGATACCCGATTAGGCTGCTGTATCGTCCCATTAGTTGAAGCAATTGTTACAGCAAGAGAAGGAACTCGAAGTTCATACAAACCATTGGACACCTAATCGAAATTATAGCAGAAGAAAACCTTCTGACTGCTCGGAACCATGATTACCGCCTCAATATTCCGATCTAGGCTCTTATGACACGTCCGTATGTGATTGAAGGTATAAAAACTTCGCGACTCTCTGACATCTGGTAATCATTCCTCTCGATCACAGTCATGCAGCTCTCACTTGTTTTCAAGACGCTCCTTTCCTTTATCGCCATTGCAGCAGCATATCCCACGCCATCGGTGATGAAACTTTCTTGTGAGGAATTATACGTCACTCTAGTTGATGGGTGTGGAGCTGATATACAATGCAGCTATGGCTAAGCGTTCGGGGGAGCTTGGCTCTAACCTCGTTGGTTATTTGGACACTAGGTCCCCTAATGATCTTAGTCAACCTAGCGTCCCCGGCGGCCCTCCCAATAGTGACGTTAACTACGTGAACACTCGGGCCCCCAACGACCTTAGTCAACCTAGCGTACCCAGTGGACCTCTCAATAGTGACGTCAGCTACTTGAACACTCGGGCCCCCGACAATAGTCACTCCAGCAATCCTTCCAGCAATCCTTCCACCACTCCTTCCACCACTCCTAGTAGTTCTAACGACGCCAGTCACGCCAGCAACTCTGCTAATAGCGACGCTGAATACTTAAACACTCGGGCTCCCGGCGACGATGATAGTCACTCCAGCAATTCTGCCAATGATGACGTTAAGCACTTGAGCGTTCGGGCTCCGGACGATAACACTAGTCATTCTAGCAATTCTGCCAGTGATGACGCCAAGTACTTGAGCGCTCGGGCCCCCGACGATACCACTAGTCACTCCAGCAATTCTGCCAGTGATGACGCCAAGTACTTGAGCGTTCGGACCCCCGACGATACCACTAGTCATGACAGCAATTCTGCTAGTGATGACGCTAAGTACTCGAGCGTTCGGACCCCCGACGATAGCAGTAGTCACTCTAGCAATTCTGCCAACGACGACGCTGAGTACTTGAGCGTCCGGGCCCCCGACGTCAGTAACACCAGCAGTACTTCTAATACTGCTAACTCCTCCAATGGCAATGGCGATCAGAGCGATGGCGATGAAGATTAAATCGTGAATCGCGAGGAGTAAACGTATATCCAAGAGAGGTACTGTCTGCCTTTGTTTTCTATTACTGTTCCAATAGTGACTCGTTGTTTTTCGCAGAGCAAAAGAGGGTTCGTGACTCCCGAGGAATGATACAACGCGGTCGACATCATGATCCATCTGTCCTATATATATATATATATATATTATATCCACAATACCCGTTTCTGCCCACGTCATTCTACCTCTCGACCTGTTCTAATAGACCTCCCAGTACGATACTATTTCCACTCAGTTTTTCAAACTAAGACTGAGTGAGCATACTTACTACCACGTCCGCATGTACCTGACAATACGGGGTCCCCTTTTTCTACTTATAGCGGTTGAAATAGTTTAGTCTGTCCAGAGGCTAGACGATGTGCATTACTCCTTGCATTGGCTGTATGTATGTTTTTATTATGTTAATATGATGAGCGTCGCGCATATGGTAGTCGAGGGGGTACAGAAGCACGTCGAGCTCGCACGGACGTATAGCAATTCGGTACTGATCGATATATAGTAGTACATGGTTAGTGAGACAGCGAGAAACAAATACAACAATCTGTCAAATTATGAGCCAATCAAACAGTGACCGATTCAGAAGAAAGCTCCGCTTTTCCCGTCAACGCAGCTATGTTATGCACGAGCTGTTCGACCTGTGTCACAAGTGCACTAAGTCGGCGATCCTGTTCTACGAAGCGAGATTCCACCATCGCAGCCAACTTATCGTCTCGTAAGGAAAGCGAAGTAGTCTCGTCGACGTTAGCCAAAGGTTCGTCTGATGCTCCGATGCCTGTATCTTGAACCCGGTCTTTAATCTTGACCAGCCAGTGTTTGTAAGGGTGGTGATCTGTAACCACGTCAAACACATCGTGAAATGCACAATCACTGCATAGGGCAATGGGGGAATTGTTTTCTGTGATAATTGTTAAGCTTTGTGCCCCGTCAGACGTATGAAAACTGACCTCCGCAAGTAAAGCATACATAAAAAATGCCTTTCATGAATCATCTTAACGCCGCATTCATCACAAGAGTAGGCATCCTCATTCGCGGCTGAGGTTCCAAGTATCCTCTCGAGTGCTACTCCCGTGTTCCCATTTAGTTTCTCATCACCTTCCCGCAAATCGACACAGGTGGAAGAATCATCTGCTCGAGTGGCTTCTGTCGGATGCGGAAGTTCAGGTCCATCTGATTGCGTTTGGCATATGTCTTCCGACGGTGTTGTGATGGGCAAGATAGTAGATAGGAAATTCCTGGCATACCATCGAACCCGACCGCAGCGACCATAAGGGAGCACCATGCGGAAAACAAGCAAGTTGCGCGTCGCCTTGTGGTCCGATGGATATTTGTGTTTTGAAACCGGCAAAGATTCGCATTCTAAACACAAATCATATCCGTCTAGATATGATCAGTCGTATGGCGCACCATAGATATTTTGATCGCACTCACCATCCTCGCAGTCTATACAACGGTGATATACATCAGTAATAAGGGCGTGACATGCATCGCAGCAACACCTGAACACCAGATAAGTAGATGGTTAGAGAATGATAGCTAACAGAAGCTGGACTTACTCAAACAATCGTTTGCGCATCTCAAGTTCAGCTAATGAACTCCAGCGTTGAACATCTGATTCAGGCAGCCCTTTGGACAGGGATTTGAACCTTTGTTGTTCCTCGCGATAGATAAGATGGCGTTTCGAAAGGGTACGACTTTCTCGTGCTGTGGAGCTTATTCATGCACCACAAACGGATATATTCGTCCTTGACATCTTCAGGCTGCTGCCTTGGGTAGATGCGACGAGCTTCACAGGTCTTTCTAACAATTCCTGGTCCTCTGTCAGACTGAAGAGACCGAGTTTCAACGCGGTCGTATCAATCTCCAGCTCAGTGTCGTCAAGCCCAAAATTATGGGCTTCGCAATATTCAGCGTCGTCTGGGGTTAGTTCTGGGCTGTACCAAAAGTTGTACTATTGCGGGGTGTCAGGGACCGGAAATGAATACACTTGCTGTCTCCACGCACCAAGCCCTGTGCATACCACGTGAACCTCGCTTTTGGATCAGTTCCCTGATGGCGAAACGATTCTGCTGTAGTAGAAGGAAAAGCGCATCACAATCGTGAGTCTGGGAGCATACCTGCCAGTTCTTCAACACGCAGATCCACCGCTTCCAATATATTGGCTATGGTTTGAGTTTCACATTCAAGCTCTCTATCCACCAGAATGACTGTCCTGGCGAGTTTCATGATTTGTAAGTGCCTCTTCATAACGAGGTAAAGCACTGGCAGCAAGAACTGAACAAGCATTCATGTGAGCATTCAGCACAAGCGTTGAGTGAACGATGACTCACATCTTCGATGCGACCGGATCCGAAAAGTTTGAAGGACTCTTTGGAGTCGATTTCATACTTTACAGTGTCAAGTCTTTTCACCAAGTCCTTCTCCTGAACGTTGCGACATCCATCAGCCAATTGCGCGAGATCTACGTCCGAGTCTTCCGGCCTAAGCTCTGCATGAGCCGTTTTATGCCTGTTTACATGTGTAAATATCTGCATTCAAAGGTGAGAAAAGCGCCAAACCATGGATAACATCTGAATCCAAGTACAAGGCGATACACCTCCTGTTTACTGGAAGTACGTCTGCTTGCGCATGAACCATGCTGTTCAAGACTTGTTCAATTCGTGCATGGTAATATTGGCTATCCACTCTCCAACCTTTGCTGATGTAAACACTCCAAGTTTCGACCTGACGACAATGACTTAAATACTCACCTGGAGCCCAGTATGCAAGTGCTTGAAGTAGACTCAAGCCCGGAAGTATCGCGGAAGTAAAGGCATTAACTTCCCTTACGCTGACCAAGCCATTTGCGTCGTCGTCGAAGATTTCGGATAAACTTGAAATGTAGAAAACTGACAGATATTTCAAGCACCACTCGTCTGCAGGGTCGATTGGAGGAGACTCAGCACGATGTACACTTGATATCACTTGTGGGCGTGGAGCTTCGCGATGCAGCTGGGAGAAACGGTGCGTGAAATAATCATGGAGTTCTGCGATGAAGTATAGCGTCTTGACACTTGTTGACCATTTCTTGAAGATGATAAGTATGCGCTTCGACCACGACTGCACAAAGACATACCATCTCTTTCCAGATAAATTGGAGGTGCTGGTGAAATTGACCGAGTTAGTGATGCATAAGGTCGAGTTTCTTAATCCTTACTGGATCCTTGACCCGTCTAAATCCTTGATGGCATCTTTGATGTCGGCTGTCTGTTTATCAAGCTTGAACATGAAGAGTGCGCGATTCTCTTCGAAAGAAGTGATCATGCGCGGTGAAATGGATCCACGTTTCGAAAGCGAAGACAAATTAGCAGAGCTAGTGAAATTCGCCAAGCAACAAGAAGCACCTCCACAGAATCAAGCGCACTCTGATACTCCATCCAAAGATATCAACAAACCTCCTTCACAAACCCCATCGGCAAACAAATCGGTCGCGGAGCAGTACCGCCTTGATGCCTCGATGCTTCACGAATTGCGCACTCCTTTAGTCAGCTTGCTCGCAAATCTCTTTTCGCGTTCACTTTCAAAGTATTGGTCCATTCTACTGCGAAATTTCTCTCCTTTCGTGATCTTCGCTTCGCGTTCACTTAGCATCTGGGTGAGTTCTTCCAGTTTTTTGATCGCAGTGTCGACTCCCAACGCCGTCCTGATGGTTAAGGCGTCCCGAAGTTCCTGCATACACCGGGAAAAGTTCCCGCTAATCGTGAGGAACGTACTTGCCCAATGGGATGATCTAAAGAATTTCACTAAAAATGCAGTTCTCAATCCGGCGAGAAAGTCAAGAGCTCGAGGTCAACTAACCGATGAATTTCGACTTGTAGTATTTGTCGATGGCATTTCCGCAATTCTCGACATTTGTCTTGATCTTATCCAAGACACCATCCAGTCGGCCCCGAATAGTGCCGCGAGGTCCTACAATGTCAGGGTCTCTAGTGTCGTTAAGTCTATCAGCGAATCGAATCAGCGAAAATCGTATTGGATGGGCATCAACCAACGAACTGAAGAAGCATATTCATCGTATCAAATGCCTTTGCAAGCGTCAAACAAACTGTACAATCGTTCTCTCTTCGTCTTATTTCAAAATCCACGACAGCCTTGAAAGCGATTATAGCCACTTCGAGTTATCTTAGCTGATGTGGTATTTGTTGTCGACAAGTCGAATACTCACCACTAACAAAGGGATGGATCTGTTGTAGAGTATTCAGGGCGTTCATCACCTTCTTTGCCTCTCCAAAAAAGCCGCCCATATTCTTCTTCATCAGGTCCGTAACCATCTGGTCAGCTGCGGACTGCTGAATGACTGTAGCATTTTGATTGTATAATGTGCGCGCTGATCCAACTTCTTGAGTGGTCTTGATGACCAAGTCCTCTATGCGAGGACACGATAATCTGATTATTAAATGGGTGGATGGAGTGACGACGACGAACCTGCCCGGTCCACATTGGTGAGCATTCTAGCCGACGTCGATTTAGAACTTGTTAAGGCATCATCCAATGCCTTCTGTGCCTGTTCCGTGGTAATATCGGACATGACTTGCTCTTGATGAACCTCGGAGGTTCTGTAGAAGAAAGAGGTTGTTGAGCAACAAAAGAGGGTAAGTGAATCAAAAGCGGACGATCGAACAACGAGCTTACGAGTAGGTTTATATCCATAGAATTTGACATTTGTAAGCGCCGAATCGCGTGCTCCATCACAAATAAGCCTTATTCTGCATCATCAAGGAGCGACTGAACGTAAGACGTCTGACACACACACAGTACTACATGTGTACGATCACGAGGGAGTCAGACTGATCCCATCATCAGCATACCCTGCAAAATAGTCTCCCCTAGATGAATGAGGATAGTTACAGAAGATTATTGGTACTATGCAAATTTGATCGGGTGCTAGTGCTTGGGGCTTCGTGCAACTCACCTAAACTTTTGCGTCAGAGTGAGTCCTTCGGGGTCATAGGCCCTATGTCGTCATTTGCATCCTTTCCTTTGTACATATGTGGTTGATGTGGTGCCGTTGTATTTATATGATTTGGATACTTACTCCAAGCGCCATCTTGCAGGATGGCGCAAGTAAGTATAAAAGGAAAACTGCAATGGGAGGTTAGTAAATGAAGATTAGATCAATTGAACTTGCGAGTATTTTTCTGATTGCGGTGATTTAGCCAAATTTTTCACGACCCGGGTTACTCATTTCTACTGGTCCTTCCATGGTACTGACAGTGTCGCATCAGGTGCGGCTCTCCTTTTGTCGCGGAGTGAGGACGTTACATGTGATTATTTGGGTGATAGGGAATAGTATAGGAACACACCTAAGTTCTACCAAGTCTACCCTGGAAGACCACAGGTAAAGGGATGAAAATAGTCGTTTTTTCTTCGCTACATGTGATAAGTCTTCTGCAAGGTACATCGCTGTATCGATAGACAGCCGCAGGCTCTGCGAGGTTCCCAAAAGAATAAGAACTGGATAGTAGGTATGGGTCGAAATCTGTGCACAGTGGTTGGAGGTGCGGAGTGAACATAATGGACCATCAGTTCAGTGGAAGGAAAACGAATGGTACATCAGCGCAAATGTATGTTGATGTGTGCTTGCTTATAGCCGTATTACTACTTAACTTACTGGCTTAACTGGGACGATTGTGATGGAGTAGCAGAAGGTAAGGACTATATTTTGTTTCCCGATGACTTTCAAAGACGAAGACGGCTGACATAAAGTTAACAGGTACACTGTACACATATTGAATTATGTAATCTGGGTTCAGTCCGAGTCCAGTGCGACACAATCGGCATTCGTGTCCAACATCATGTGAAGTCTCAAGATCTCAAGGTTAACGCGTTAAATGGTTCCTTCGACTGCCTTACGTTTCCCAAAGTTCCCTAGCGCCCACCCGGTGCGGCAATGTTTAGCGCCTGAAGCCAATACAGCAGCGAACTTTGTAGACGATGAAGTTGGACTGAGGAAAAGAGGTAGAAGTTATTAATATTCAAGCGTTCGCATTGGCATCCAGGCCGGTTCTAACACTCCTCAGGCCTAGGCCTCAACGTTCAACACACTGTCCTTCGCATTACCATTTCAACTATGGTGCTTATATACTGACTAGCTTTTATATATATACACAGTTGTTCCTCCCTCATCTCGTCCATTCTTCACATTCTACGCTACCAACACTCAGGCTGTTGTGTTTCCTCCCCCCTTCCGAGATTATGTCACTCACCCGGAACTACTCCCGTCTACCCATTACCCACATTCGCAGTCACAACATCTTCGGCAGCTGCGAGATGAATCTCATCAGGCCGTGCAGCTTCCCTATCAACAAACTAACTGCAAATACCACGACCATGACTGTGGGCTACTATGGCGGGCTGTACCATTCACAGCTCTGGAGGGTTGTTCATATGCGCATCTGGTCTTAATGTCTGTCCTGTCCCGTCATATTACTGGCTTCCTAACGAGAACTCCAAACTCACAAATGCACCGCTAGATTATCATCTCACGAAATTCGATACCAAGTCTTTATAAAGATGTTCGTGCTCACACTCCTGACGTCTACGAGTCTTCAGTTTGAATTATGGAACGTGATGCCCTACCAACGATCCCCGACTGTACTAACGAGCGCCGACGATCCTAAGCTTAGCATGACCTCGGACTACTTATACAACTCTAGAAATCATGAATTCCTGCATTTTGAACCAGTTCTCGCAATACAGAACCTCGCACGAGCCTGACAGTCTACTTTCCCGCAGGAACGACTATTCCCACCTGTGTGCATGCCCCAATGCGGATCTCGTACTTCGCACCGGACCACTCAATCACGCCAGAAAGTGTCCGTCGTTGGATGAGTAAGTTAAACCTTCAATTGCGCGAATTCACTTCCCTTGGATCATTCATTGATACGACCATCAGCTCAAGCACCTGCTCTCAAATGATACACTGCGCTGGAAGAATAAGTTACCATACTTCATTTCAGGAGGGTTATCCTCACTTTTGATTGCGTCGATCCGATTGGCGACTCCTGTCAGTGTAATGTCGCGCATCGAAGGACGTACTTACACAAATACATATCTTGCGAAACCAAGGTCGATCTCTGCATTTGCGCGCGCCTGGCTAAGGGCTCAGATATACTAAATGAATGATGTCAAGATATACTATGTATTTTGAACAGTTGCTTTCAAAATGACAGTATCCTAGGTCAAACCATGATTCGTGGACCGCCACCTTGTCCCGCTGATGATCATCGAGTCATAATTCACTGTGAATTTCTCCTACTGCTAGTACTAATACACTTCTCCTTTTCGAACAGTCCTGATTTGAACGCGGATTTCTCTTTATACCGAAACTGGAGCTCCTGAACACCATTACTCTTCGCTCTTTGGTTCCACAAACATGCCAGCGCCGTAATACCTTGCCTCGCCACCGATCTCTGCCTCATTACCAAGGTGCGCCCCGTTTGGCAACGAAAGCTGCAGAATTGCAGAGACCCGTGGAAGATAAAACGAAGCGTTCTCAAACACTCTGCCCCACTGCCTCTTAGCACGAGAAGGCTCTTCATTCTCCTCAGACGATTGATACTTGTGTGCAAAGAACTCCTCTAGACAGTCGTCATCATTACCATCTTCGATAGCGCGGATAAGAACAGGATGGAGGACGACGTTGAAATGATTCTCGAGAGCATTGAAAAGTGCTGAGTCGGTTCCCTTGAGGTATTTCTTCTTCACGCTTGCCTTGCGGTAGAGATGAGTGAGCGGGAAAGCGACGACAGTAGTGCCTCCGTTGTGCAATTCTCTGATTTCATCAACGACAGCCTGCACCAACTTCTGGTCCAAGTTGGGATAAGTGTTGATGTGGGATTCAATGTGCTGGTGACGAAGAAAGGCCTGTTCCATGGGAGTATAACTAGGTGGTGTAGCCCCATATTCAGACGGTTGCTCGACGACTTCGACGTCATACTGGAGCACCAGACGTGTGCCCTTGGTCACGGGCATGACTTTGTGCTCTGTGTCTGTATAAAATGCGACCACAACTGGCTGGAGCTCTTCGCCGGACTTTCTCAGATGCTTTGTTGGATGCATGTTGACAATTGTCTCGACGCCTTGATGCCTCAACATAAGCTCTCCTCCCTCCCATTCCGTGTTAAGTGCGACGAGCACCGTTCCATGGTGAGCATCGCTATGCGTCGAGTCACGATGCCAGTCGAAATGACCTCCTTCGCCGTATATGGCGAGCTTGTATAACTTGAGAGAAACGTTTTTCCCGACGAACATGCTGGTCTGGAGTTCAGCCTCGACTCTGTTCACAAACTGTTCATATTGTGATTCCTTCCCCCGAAAACTGAAAGCGAGCTCGTCCGCTTTGAGCTCTGTTCCGTTCCTGTAAGTTGGGTCCAAGACAGTCTCTGCTCCCCTGCCGAACGGCGAAGGGGTGGCGTGCTTTTGTAATACGCCGACGTCAGGGTTCATCCACGTCCCCGCGTCTTCTCCCTTGACGAGCAGCTTAAATGTGGCTGTCCCTACCGGGCTTTGGAAGGACACGAACGGACTGCAGGCAAGATCGTCGAGTGCACGTGTGAGCTTGGTGTCTCTTTGCACTTTGTATGCTACATCAGAGTTGGAAAAAGAGTCGATGTGTTCCCCGATGCGCTCGAAGACGGAGAGCTCATGCTCTGGCTCTGAGTTTGAGGAAACTGATGAGGCGTCTGAGTCCATTTTCGCTGATGTGGTTATCGATGGAAGAAATGGTTTAAATCGCGAGCTCCTATGCCTGATTATTACATAAAATGATCGAAACACTTGTCCAGGGACTGGACCGGTGGCCGTCGTCTAGACGTTAGCTAGGCATGATGGTACATCTGTAAATGCTTCTTTTATCGTGGCCAGCATGGATTGAACAGGCAGGCCTGGCCCCGATTAACAGCTGCTTGTGAGCAAATACTAGAACTGAATCCACTATCGAGTCCACTTAGAGCCAGCTAGCCAAGCGCCTATAACGTTTAGGGGTATACGAACCGTATCACCTTCAAGTTGCTTGCGGGACTAACTGCCAATAATAAACAATCATAAATATCAATAAACGTTCAATGTGGCGGTGTGTGACATTACCGATCCAGTTTACAATTTTTGAACCAAGTCGCAACAGCTCGATTCTACCCTGGATAAATTAACAATATTGAAAGAGATCATAGCTGCAGTAGGTGACGACAACTTGAATAGAGCTGAAAAACGCAAGCGCAGTGACTTAGTGGCTACCGTGCAAGATTCGACGGACACCCATTTGCCAATCCGAACAACAAGGCAGCGCAATCTCACGATGCGGCGCATTTATCGTTGTGTTCGCAAATTCGAAAACGCGCTAAATCAGCTCACTGTCGATGAAATCGTCTCCTCAGAATTTGTGTTGCCAACTTGCTAGTTGAGTGTTAGAATGTCTTTGTAATATGCCTGGGTTCAGCCGTTGCATAGATGGATGGCTACTGGTGTGTCCGCTCGCTATTACATTTGTTTTATCATCAATGAACTCTTGTCCAAGTCTGTCATATATAAGACGATGCCTTCGGGTTGCGCGACACCCTGCTCAATGTATCATGTATGCAAAAGTACTTGCAGTCAGTCTTTCTCGACAGTGCCAGGTGTTTGTAATCTGAAGCTGGGATGTTTGAGTAGACCGTCATGTCTGATAACTGGTCTGGTTGGTTTCTCTTTGTCACAGCGGCTTTCATCAACTAAAATGCAGCACACGCTCATTTGCTATATACAGAGATGTAACTGGAGTTCAACGGAGCAGAGTGATACGATCCTGCAGTATGCAGCTGCCACAGGTATGGCGTGCCATCATATTGATCAAGGTGTCTCCCGCTTACCATATTGCAACTCTACACTATCAGGGATAACATTCAAGTTTGTGTCCTGTTGTATTCGGGGCATAGAGCCCAGGTGCACTCAAAAATGGTTGTTGCCAGTGTGCATTAGCGTTTTATTCGATGATATCGGTACAACGTCACAAGGCCCGGGGAAACCAACAAACGTCTTTATTTCACATGTATGAGGGATTTATAGCAATTCGGTACTGATTGATCTATACTAATACAAGTCTACAAGGTCACCGAGACAATGTTTGCCTCACCGCTAACGTTATTTGTGAACGAAGCTACTAATAAGTGCCGCTCACCTTCCAGTTCGAACATTACGAGAGCGTATGACAGATTCTGATATTGGGCCTTTTCATCGAGTACCATCTTCAACAAGAGCATCTGGAAGTTCCAGAACTTGACTCAGTTCGTACCACGCCTATCTGTGACCTCACCTAACTTTATAACACAGTACTAGAGACGCCTCATGAACTCATGATGAGGCATGACAAGCCTTCATGCCGCTGCAGTCTACTGGTTCGCCGTCATGATATCCGATTAGGCTGTTGTATCGTCCCGTTAGGACCTAGTCGAAGTAACTGTTACAGCAAGAGAAGGAACTTGAAGTTCATACCAGCCGCTGGAGACCGAACCGAAATGATAGCATAGAAGAACTTCTGACTATTCGGAACCACGTTATCGTCCTAATACTTGACTTGGGCCCTTACGATACGTCCGTATGTGGTCAAAGGTATAAGAACTTCGCGACTTTCTGACATCTGATGACTATTCCTCTCGATTACAGTCATGCAGCCCTCACTTGTCTTGAAAACACTCCTTTCCTTTATCGCTATTGCGGCAGCATATCCCACACCATCGGGGATGAAACTTTCTTGTGAGGACTTATGCATCACTCTTGTTGATGGGTGTGGAACTGATATGCAAAACAGCTTTGGCTAAGCGTGAGGGGCTTGGCTCTAACCTTGTTGGTTATTTGGACACTAGGACCTCTAACGATGTTAGTCGACCGAGCGTGCCTAGCGGCCCTCCAAACAGCAACATTGACTACTTGGACACTCGGGCCTCCAACGATATCAGCATGCCCAGCATGCCCAGCGGCCCTCCCAATAGCGACGTTGACTACTTGAACACTCGGGCCCCCGACAAGAGTCACACCAGCAATCCTTCCAACACTTCCAACACTCCTTCTAGCACTTCTAGTAATCCTAACGACACTAGTCACTCCAGTCACTCCAGCAACTCTGCCAGTAGCGACGCTGAGTACTTGAGCGTCCGAGTCCCTGGCGATGACACTAGTCACCCTAGCGATACTTCTAACACTTCTAACCCTGCTAACACTGCCAATGGCAATGGCGATGAGAGCGATGGCGACGAGGATGTTAAAATGTGAATTGTGGGGAGTAACCGGACGAAGAGGGTTCGCGACTCTTGAGGGCTGAAAGATGATACAACGGGTCAGCATCACGATCCATCCTATATATCTATTTTATATCCCCAATCATTCTTGATACCTCCGCCCACGTCATTCTACCTCTCAACCTGTTCTAGTAAACTTCCAAGTACGATATTGTTTCCCCTCAGTCTTGTGAACCAAGACTGAGGTCAGCAATACCAAGTACTTACTTACTGCCGCATCTGGTGCATATATTTACCTGACAATACAAGGTCCCCTCTTTTTATGCTTATCATGTGGTTGTAGTAGTTTAGAGACGATGTACATTTCTCTATGCATTAGTTGCATGCCTCTGTTTCTATGATGCCGATATGATGAACGTCATGAACGTATATATATGGTGGTTGAGCGCTAGCCTTTGTATAGCGTCTGTCTTGCTTTTTGTAAAAGCAAATGAACATCTATTCTTTTATTTTCGTGTAAAAAGGACAGACGTTAAATGGCACCGCTGCGTGAATCACCTACACAAGAACACCTAGACGACGTCACTTTCCCAGTTTCATACTCTTCCGCACAATGAAGGCCAACAAACATGTTTATTGCACATGTACGAATGGTGTATATATAATACTTTGATACTGACTGATCTATACTAGTACAAGGTCGCCGAGGCAGCAAGAATCAAATACAACAACAGTCTGCCAATTTATGAGCCAATCAATCAGTGACGGATTCAGAGGGAAGCTCTGCTTTTCCCGTCAATGTAGCCATACCATGCACAAGGTATTCAACCTGCGTGACAAGTGTACTAAGCCGGAGATCCTGTTCTACGAAGCGAGATTCCACCATTGCAGCCAGCTTATCGACTCGTAAGGAAAGCGAAGTAATCTTGTCCACATTATCCAGAGGTTCGTCTGATGTTCCGATTCCTATATCTTGAACCCGATCTTTAATCTTGATCAGCCAGTGTTTGTAAGGGTGGTGCTCTGTGACTACGTTAAACACATCGTGAAATGCACAATCACTGCATAGGGCAATGGGGGAATTGTGTTCTGTGATAATTGTTAAGCTTTGTGCCCCGTCAGACGTATGGAAATCTGACCTCCGCAGGTAAGGCATACATAAAATATGCCCTTCATTTTAACGCCACACTCAGCACAAGCATAGGCATCCCCATTCGCGACTGCAGTTACAGGTACCCTCCCGGATGCTACTCCCATGTTCCCATTTAGCTTCTCATCACCGTCGCGCAAATCGACAGAGGCAGAAGAATCATCTACTCGAGTGGCTTCTGTCGGATGTGGAAGTTCAGGACCACCTAATTGCGTTTGGGTTTCGTCTTTTCGTGCAGTCAATGGTGCTTCTAGTGGTACTGCAGCGGGCACGCAAGTGGATAAGAAATTCCTGGCATACCATCGGACTCTGCTGTAGCGACCATAAGGTATCGACATGCGGAAAACAAGCATGTTGTGCGTTGACGTGTGGTCAGATGGATATTTATGATCTGAGACCGGCTGAGATTCGCAATCTGGACACACATCATAGTCATCTATGTAAGAACATTAGCCGTCTTGCACGAATGAAATGTCTCTGTGACCCTCACGGCGCTCGCAGTCTATACAACGGTGAAGGACATCGCCGATAAGGTAATGGCATGCATCGCACTGAGGCTGAAAATCGGAAAGGCAGATATTTAGAGAATGATAAATAGACAGAAGATGGACTCACTCGAATATTCGTCTGCGTATCTGAAGCTCAGCAAATGAATCCCAGCGCTCGACGTCTGTGGATGGTAGCTCCTGGGACAAGATATCGAACCTCTCTTTGTCTGTCAACGATAGGTAAGGCGGGACATCGTAAGGGTAGCTCCACATATTGGCCAAGTTAGACAGGTCATTCATGCACCGCAAACGGATGTATTCATCCATGGTGCCTTCAGGCTGCTGAACAGGACTAGATGCGACGAGCTTGACAGGTCTTCCTATCCCTTCACTGTCCTCTGCCAGACTGAAAGGGCCGAGCTTCAATGCTGTTGAATCGATCTCGATCTCCAGCTTGTTGTCATCAAGCCCAAAGTAATGATTTTCCCAGTATTCAGTGTCATCTGTGGCCAATTCTGGACTGTACCAAAAGTTGTACTATTACGAGGTATTAGACCGAATTGATACAAAGTTGCTGTCTCCACATACCAAGCCATGCGCATACCATGTGAATCTTGCTTTTGGATCATTACCCTGCTGACGAAACGATTCTGTGATGGTGGAAGGAGATAGCTCATCATGACATAGCTTAGAAACGCACCTGCCAGTTCGTCCACGCGCAGAGACACCCCTTCCAAGATATTTCGTATCGTTTGAGTTGCAGTTTCAAACTCTCTCTCGACCAGAATCACTGTACTGGCAAGTTTCATGATCTGTAAATGCCTCCTAATTACGAGGTAAAGTAAAGGCAGCAAGAACTGAACAAGCACAGTGACGCGTGTGAGCATTCAGCGCAATCACTGAGTCAATAACCCACATTTTCGATGCGACCAGATCCAAAAAGTTTGATGGAATCTTTGGAGTCGATTTCATACTTGACGATATTGAGCTTGTCCGCCAATGTCGCCTCTTGAGCCTCGCGACGCCGAGCAGTCAATTGCGCGAGATCCAAGTCCGAATCCTCCAAACCAAGCTCTGCAAGAGAACGGACGAGCCTTTTGACATCTGTCTGCTGTGTAAATGTCCTCGTCAAAAGATGGGCAGAGCGACGCACCATCGATGTCACGTGAGTTCAAGTATCTGGCGATACACCTCCTGTTTTCTGGAAGTACATCTGCTTGTGCATAAATCATGCTGTTCAAGACCTGTTCAATTCGTACATGATAGCATTGGCTATCCACCCTCCAGCCTTCACTGACGTAAGCACTGGCTCAACCTGACGATAAAACTTCTTACCTGCAGCCCAGTATGCAAGTGCTTGCGGCAGAGTCCAGCCCAAAGGCATTGCGGATGTAAAAGCATTCACCTCCCTTATACTGACCAAGCCATTCGCATCGCCGTCGAAGCCTTCGGATAAATTTGGAACGTAGAAGACAGACAGATATTTTAAGCACCATTTGTCTGCAGGGTCGACATTAGGGAGTTTTTGGTACGAAGGATCGGCTACTGGAAGCTCGCGGTCTTCTCCTTCTGAATCGGACATGACGGAGACGGTGGGAGTTGGAGACGGGACTCGCAGTACCAATGGCGAAACATCCGATGGTGCTTCTGGGAGTGGAGCATCGTGACGGAGGCGGGAGAAACGGTTCACGTAATAATCATGGAGTTCCGCAATGAAGTACAATGTCTTGACGCTTGTTATCCATTTCTTGGTGATGATAAGTATTCGCTTCGATGATGCCTGCACAAAGACATACCATCTCTTTCCAGATATATCGGAGGTGCTGATGAAATTGAACGAGTTAATGATGCATAAGGTTGAGTTTTTCAATCCTTACTGGATCCTTGACCCGTCGAAATCTGCTGTTGAAGGCCCACATAATGCGCGTTTCGGAATCCTTGATGGCATCTTTGATGTCGGATGTCTGTGCATCAAGCTTGAACATGAAGAGCGCGCGATTCTCGTCGAGTAAGTTGTGTAACGGAGTATGCAGTTCGTGAAGCAGCGATGCATCAAGATGGGACTGCTTGCCGACCGATCCATTCGCAGAAGCGGTCTTTGAAGTAGGCTTGTTGACATCTTTGGTAGGAACATCGGCACGTGCTTTATTCTGCGGACGCTCTTCCTGTTTCTCGGCGATTTTCAGTAGCTCGCCCAGTTTGTCTTCGCTTTCTAAACATTTCTCTCTTCCACCACGCGCTTGCACTTCTTTCTCGAATCTTGCTTCGCGATCGGTTTGCATCGCGATCAGCTGGTCTAGCTTATCAATGGCAATATCGACTCTCAATGTCGTCCTGATATTTAAGGCGAGCTGAAGGTCCTGCATGCGCTGGAAAAAGCTGTTGCAAACTCTCAGGAACTCGCTCGCCCAATGGGAGGATCTGAAGAATTTCACTGGGAATGTTGTTCTCTATATGAAACGACCAAGAATATGAGGAAAACTAACCCATGAACTTTGACTTGTAGTATTTGTCAATGGCATTTCCGCAATCTTGGATATCTTGCTTGATGCCATCCAGGATACGATCCAATCGCCCCCGAATGTTGCCATGAGGCCCCACTATGGCAGTATCTCTGGTGTCCTTAAGTCTATCATAGAATCGAGTCAGTAAAAATCGTTCAAAGCTAGTGTCGGATCACGAACTGGAGGAGCATGGTCATCATGTCAGATGCTTGAGCTAACATCAGTCCAACTCTACGATCGTTTTCCCTTCTTGTTAGTTCAAGATTCACGACAGCCTTGAAAGCGAGTATAGCCACTGGAATTTATCCAAATATTAGCTGAGGTAGAAACATCGACAAGTGATAACACACCACCGACAAACGGGTGAACCTGTTGCAGGACATCCAAGGCCTCCATCACCTTCTTTGCCTCTCCCAAAAAATCACCCATATTCTTCTTTGATAGGTCCGCGACCATCGCATCAGATGCAGAGTTGATAGTTGCATTCTGATTATAGAAATTGTACACCGATCCAACTTCTTGAGCGGTCTGGACGACGCAGTCCTCTGGAGAATATCATAGTAATCTGAATAACACCCTCACTTACCCGGATGAATTGTGAATGACGAACCTGCCTGATCCCACTTGTCGAGCTTTCTAGCGAAGGTCGAGTTTAAACTCGAGGTGGCATCATCCAATGCCTTCTGCGTTCGTTCAATTGTAATGTCAGATATGACTTTTTCTGTGTGAGTCATGGAGACTGCGCAGCAGGGAAAGCGCTCGTGAAGAACTTAAGGGAAGAGACCAAGGTGATAATTACTATGTCAGGATGAGCTGAGCTGGCTTACCAGTCGATTTATCCCCATAGGGCTTGCGACTTGTCAGTAGCAAGTGACCGTGTTGCCGGGGTGCGGTGCTGAACTGCCCGAACCGGTTTGAGATAGGTTCGGGTGCAGGTTCGGGTAGTCAAACGAGTTGGAATCCCTGCTGAATCACTGACGTCTAAGGCGGTTATAAGTCATAGTATCACTGAAAAGAGAATTGAGCTCCGCTCATTTCATGGACGCGACATAGTCATGGTAGACTACGAGATCGATCAAACTCACCTGCCGCTGTATGACCTGGTATGACTTCAATATCAAACATTGATTGCAGATATCAAAATAAAACAGAATCCATCCGAAACCTCATATGACTCGATATGTCCAAAGTCACTCGCCAAATGATCATGATGAGAACGAGGGTAAGATACAACGCAAACGAGAGAGATCGAACAAGACTGTGACAAGCACACGACAAGAGTGAAATCGAGAACCAATTGGAGAGAGAAGAGAGTCTATATTTATATACTGCAATAAACAGCGGAAAATGTTAACGTGTTAACGTTGAGACGCGGTGCTCTACAAGCTGTCCTAGGTAATAGTGTACGGGATAAAGGTATGCCAATAAAGTCTGTTTTGAAGTGTTGATGTTTCGATGTTGTACTCCCTCCGTCATCGATCATCCCTCCTCCGACAAGTACTCGTCATTCAACCTGCCCCCTACCCTTTGCCGTCTTCTTCCTTTTCCCACTCACGGGCCCTCCTCTTCTCCCTATCCTCTACTTCCTCTATTCACCTTTCAATGATGTCTTGAATCTTCCCCATTATTTCTCCGAGTCTGTCTTCCCTTGAACGCATCGCACTATCCCAAAAATCTAACCATTGCCATCCGATGATCTCTTTCTCCATACCTGCGATTTCGCTGGGTTCGAGGCGGCGAGATACTTCGCACAAGTGAATACGTTGACGGGTGAATAGAGGAATCGATTGGAGAGGAAGACAACAAAGGCAAGTACTCGAGTGCGTGATCAACTCGCTGCCCCCAACGGCTCTCGCAATAACCCGTCTCAAATTATGTAGACTATATCTTCACGAAAAGCATGTTCATAGATAATCTTAACGTGAATGATCATACATACCAGATATCTCTCACCCGCTTGCCGTTCAACTCGCTGCCAACCAATCCAAAAAACTGGCTTGAGTGTCATCTCCAGTGTCGCATGCAAAGCGCTGTCGCAGTCTACATAGATGGGATTACTACAGCAGCACCATCAGTTAGATTCGTCAAAGGAGAAGAGTCGAAGATATGTCCGATCACTGCTCAAAACACATCCGGATTGCAACACAGATCAAGTTGAGGAGATGAAAGACTTACTCGTGCATCAACCAATCGCCCAACAACCACCGTATCAGGTCTGTGTGACCAACCTGAATGATAGTATGGGAATCGTAAATCCATCAGTGCCTTTGCCTTCAAATGAATCGGAACATCAGCCATCTGACACAAGCGTCTCTGGATTTTGGACAAGCTGGAGAACGAGGCGAAGAACGACCAAACGCGATGATCCATTTCCACTCGGGGCCCATAGAAAAGCGCAGCCACCATATACGTCCTTCACTGGCAGGTCATGAGATGAGCGTCAGGAGCAAACCGAGAAGGATAGAAAACACACCCCGCAACAAACTCAGAGGTCAGTTTTTGTGTGCTGTACAGGCGTCTCTAGAACATCTTGATCCGCAAAGAAACAACACAGACCATGTACAGCTCAGGTATCGAAACACTGATGACTAGATGTAAGAAGAACCGAGGGATGCAACAACTCAACTTACTCAAGGTCGCCTTCAAACGTGTGATTTTCGATCCAGCACTTGGAAGCCAGTAAGTTCAGCATATGACTTGCAAGACGAATATCATCTATGCCCAGTCACAAGTACTAGTATGCAGCTAAGATCAATCTGCATACCACGAATACCGTGTACATGTTGCAGCATAATACACGACTGGGTTCACAACGAGCACAATGAGGGAAAAGTTACAATGCGAAGGAAAAGAGCAGCAGAACAACCAGTATGAGATAACAACGAAATAGATAATCAGATAGTAGAAAGAAAGAGAAAAAAGAACAACGCACACTACACCACCATTCTGATAGTACGATATACTCGCCCTCAAAACAAGCATCACCTGCGGTATGCCACACTCACCCGTCTCCAACTCCCTTCACTACCACTGTCGGAACCCTCCTCGTCAAAATCAGTAAACGGATTATGCAAATGCGCACTTCCGCTTCGTGAAGCCACCCCATCCGGATCTAATGCCTCGCCAAACACTATGAACTCGTGCTCACTCATCAAGGGAGATAGTGCGCTCGCAGCACCGGAGAGGGATGCAGACGGGGGGAGGTGCACCTCACTAATACGAACAGGCGGAGAGGTTAAGTCAAGTGGAGAGCCGGAGCGGCTATTGCTCCCAAGGCTCAGTATGTCTGTGCTTGGGGAGGAGAAGGTAGTGTGTGATGAAGGTGGCGAGAGCATGACAGGGGGAGTGGGCGGAGCAGGATAACGTTCTGATAGTGACTCCATGATGCTAGTGTTTGTGCTCATATCCTCGTGCATCCTCGCATTGGCGCCGCTGTTGATATTAAAGTTAACATGCTCGCCAACAGCGTCAATATTCACACACCTGCCCTGCATACCCACGCTGATGTGCGAGCTTGAGCTCGAGTGCTGCAGAGAAGACCTGCTCGATGGTACGTGAGAGCGCATGGGCGTGCGCACAACCGGAGAGATTGGGAGGGTAGAGTAGGCAGGATTTGTACGGGGAGTGGAACCGGAGTGGGAGCAGCTGGGCGTGCGGGTCGAAACAGAGAGGGCCTCCGCGAATGGGGAGGAGACATTGGAAATGAAATGGGTGGGTGTGAGAAGAGTGTGCGTGAGCGACGAGAAAGACTGTTCATATTTGATCAAAAGGTAAGATAGACGATGGAAGACAGACATACCTCGTCCATTGTGCTAGATATACTCCCTTCGTCTGTGTCAGGAATTACTCCGCCTCTCCGCCTCATACCCGTGCCTGGGGTGGTGCGATGGACCTGGTTCCGCCATTCATCGAGGTTGAACCCTTGTAGTTCGACAGAATCTTCTTCTCCCGCAGGGGTCCTTCTCTTCAGATCAACACCACTAGGCCCTGGGTCTCCATGCCCAGACCCTTGGGTTGATTGCAAAGGAATAGGACCTCTGCGTCGAGCACGACGGTCGGCGAGGAAGTTCTCTGCCCAACGCTCAATAGCAGGGGCAATGTGGGGTTCAAAGACGAACTGTAGAGTAGATTAGAGGGTTAAAAACGTTGAAGTCGGAATGGGGAGTTTTTGATAGATTTAAAATCACCTCGTGGAAAGCAATGACAGCAGCAACACCTGCGATAGCCGCAACAACGCACACCGCTACTGGCGCTGGCATTATGGTTGATTTTATCAATAACTGACTGCTTCAGTCGAGACTTGGAGCTCTGCTGATATAATTCTAGTTGGATGGATGTGCGGGATGCCTTGGATAATGTTTGTCGGTAGCGTAGAGGATAAGGAGGGGAAACGAGCTGTCAGCCTGTCACTCGCCTCGCGGATTTATCCTCACACTCTTGGACTCAGCCTCTCCTGCCATCCATAACCCTCTTCTCGGTCACCTTGCTGTTGTACACGTTATGATTGAAAACAGCTGAAAAAAGATACCTGCGACGTAATACTCCTGTGGTTCCTTCATATACCGCATCTTTGTGATTCAGGTCTACGTCAGCGTTCAGCCGCCGGAGATTAGAACTCGAGACTTGCGTGCAGTACTATCGTAAACGAACAGCCTCAAGTCGGTAAAATGATACGCACGTGACGCTGCATCAACTCCGATTTAGCTTGAACTTTGATTCGAACTTCGAAGCGGTACTACTGCAGTGCGTGGCACTACATAGTGGGGTGGTGTGGACTACGTGCAGTGTAAGTATGGCGGCTGAACATAGACGTTGCAAACATGTATCCTCACTGCTGGCGTGCATCTTGTGTAGAATTGCACCTACGCTCCTTTTCAGATTAATCATGCCCACCGGCGTTGTACTGTGCGATATTTTTGGTGAGTTCGAGTCGTCTCCGGTTTCAAGTGCGCTTACGTCATTAACAAGGTTGCGCAGTTTTGTACATTAACGCTGGTTTGACGTTCCGTCTATGTCGGCTCGATCTATTGCTGTGGTAGACCAAATTTCAAAGCCTCGCTATGGATGCAGAACGAGTTTTAGATTCTAGCTGGTAACTTCCAAAGCGTGCGCATATCTTGCTTTGTCGGCAGGTCGAGCTGTCCCCCGATAACGTACAAGTGAGTAGTGCTTGGTCTATTTCTTTTCAAGGTAATTGATTACTCAACGGCCATGATATCTGGGGGATGCACTTCGAGTTATTTTCAACTGTTTTTTTTTCGTCAGAAAGATATTTTGATATAACCATCGTTTCCTTCATGGAATATCATCCATATTTTTGAAACACCCTTGGAAGGTGACCATAGGCATGTCGCCACATACCATAAAATTTATAACACTGCTTATTGCGGGCTGTTCACCTTCCATTGCTTTGGTTCTTCCACTCTCATCCCCGTTCCTCCATTGCTAAAGGGTTTGTGGCAGTAGGATGATTGCTAGGTGGCGTCATGCCTGCTCGAGGCTAGCATCGGCACCTAGTTGCTAACGCTTACAAAAATCTCAGTGACATTGATTACACTGACAGGCTGACATTTTTCCACATCAGTACCACTGTCGCAATTATGTGCTTTGAGGTCTCACATGCCGTGCTACCAGTCTTTCCTCCAAGCAGCATAAAGTTCAGGTATGCGCAGTCGGTTTTCTTTGACGTATTGTGTCTTTGACCGCCACCCAAGGACCTACAGTCAGTTTGTTGCATTTCGTGCCGCAGCCCACGTCACTCATGCTGTTTTGCCGGCTACGATTTTGGCCGCTACTCAATTTTTGGGCGACCCCATGGAGGTATACACGTCTTCACATTTCGCCACCTCTCCCAAGCGATCACCTTTTATTGGGTTATTTCTCCAACGTATGGATGTCGTCCTAGGCCGCCACCGAGAGCATCCAAGGTATAAATTCAGCGCGATGGTAAGTAATCCCTTCACTTCACAAAGCATTAGACTAAGCCATCCGCCATCCTTTTCCTTTTCATCCCAAAAATCTCATCTTACAAATATCGCAATGTGTCTCACAAAAATGTGTCTCGAACATTGCACGAGGTGTGGATGGGACAGGCGGACAGGATTATCCCAGAGCGAGGCGTGCAATGCACGGGAGCTTTGCAACATTGCAATCAATAGCCACTCGGAGCACAATCTCATTCGACGTTCACGCAATGATATTGCGGCATACAACAGGACCTGTCTCGACAGAAGTGGCACGGTAGATTTCGTTTGGAACATTGTGAACTCGTGTAGTCATTGCCCGCGGTGAGGACTGCGTCGATTTCCAATATTGGAACAAGAAGCAGCCTCTTGTCGACAGTTAACATTTTGTACTTTTATTTGATGCGTATTGATTAGGACGTCTGCATGATTTCATTCATCGGGAGAGCTCGATCATTCTCTACATATTTAACTCTTAAATCTAATAAATACTTTTTATATCTTAACATTCTTCCGGCGCGACAGATTGGAAACTCATTGTCGATTCAGAGTCTAGACGCGGATTATGGAATTTTTGAAATAAGCATTGACTCCAATGCGATCACGTGAAGATCCCACTGATAGTGTCTAAGACCGTGGCAGTGCTCGAAGAGTCGGCTCACCTTACTTTTCTCTTCCACTGTCTCAGCAGCTGTCTTCATGTGCGATGCATATACTATTTTTCAACTCACTCACCACTTCATCTTTGAAATTTGAGTCAGTGTAATATGAACTTTCCAAGCCCGAGGTTCTCTGCATGCTGGCCCATTATGCTCAGAAGGTGTATCTCTTCGTCGGTCACAGTCTCTGGTTTTTTTCTACGTTAATATCTCCTCAGGATCGCTCGACATTCTTTAGCTGGTCTCTGGGCCGAGCTGGAGAATATGGAACCGAATCATCTTGGTGGGTTTTCGAGCGTTACGCATCCCGGTGCAAGTTCCGGGACACGGGCTCGGAAGCAAGCATGTGGAGTTTATTCATGCCATGTCGGACCTTTCTTCATGGTCGTTGTCAGTGCCAATCCTTCGAGTCCTTTGCTGCCAAGAATATTCTCGGGATCTCAAATCGTGTACGTGTTACCTCCTGGGTCTCAACCTCATCTGTCTCCGCCTAGCTTCACCCAAGCCAGAACTTTGGACGGACATCATGTGTTCAGTGTTTTCAGGTCTCAGCAGGCATTCACCACGACTGGACATTCTCGGGCTACATGTGACATCTCCTGAAGTCGCTGGGCTTGCTCTTTGTGAGCTTTAGCATCTGCAAAGCGTATGGCTCGCCTGTTCACGAGTCGTATATCACGGTCCCTACACCATGTGAAGGCAGCAACCTTCGACTTAGTAAATCGTCCCTTAACAAAGTCATAATCCGTTCTGGCCTCAGTCTATCAGAAAAATTGTCGAAGGCTGGGTCCACTGCAAGTCGTTGTGGTTCTTGTACGGTAATCCCGAAATAGCGCTCAATGTAGAACGCGCCCTGCGCAAGTTGGACAACCATTCATATCACAGCCGTCTGGACTATGCATCCCGCCTTCGTACATTGACCGCCTTCGTGCGCTTCTCATGTCTCAAGCAGGTTCTTTCATCATTTTGTATGTTGTGGTTGGATGGCGATGTACCCGGCACCGTCGTCAAGTCATGGTCACGCCTCAAGCGCACACAATTCAGGATTATGTTTCGGGGCCTTGTCACCTTACTATCATGCCCCAATATCGAGAGCCTTGGTTTGGTATTTGACGCTACGAATGTAGGTCCGCCTCCAGCTGGGAGACCCGAAGGTGTTTGCCACATAGATATAACCAAGTTCTCTGTCAGGTGCTGTCCGATCGAACAACTACTGCGCGTTGCGCTTGTACTTTCTCAGATCTTGCTGTGCTCGGTAAAACTTGAGGCTGAGCCATGAACCTAGGGTGCCAACCGGGAGGCACGAAGGACCAAGCGGAACAAGCTGTGAAGCTGTATTGGAGCTTATGCCTTGATCGAACAGCCGGCTTTATATTCTTAACGTTTAGTGTCATCATACTGTACAAAACAAGAAGTGTCTTGTTGGGTGTTGTCCTAGGTAACCATACTTCCTTGAGCAACACGCACTATCTTTGGCTGCATCTTTCCAAGGGACCTTGAACGTACTGTCGAAGGTAGTGTCTGTACGAGTGACCAGCTGAATTCAACTTCCGGTTTGGTGAAGGCGAGTATGAATAACAATGAATGCCCAGGAAGACACTCGACTGCAGATAAAAACATAGTATTCGTACAACAACTACGCCAGCACTTCATAATACATACATCCCACTAACGTTACACGCCTATCACGAATCGTCGAAGCTGTGATATATCCCATAAGTCGATCAAAAACTACAAAAAACTAAAGAACGATCTGACAATGATACCTTGAATTTATGTTCAGGCACTTCGTTCTGGTTTCCGCCCTCCCTTCGATTGACCCTCTGGACCCTCCCCAGGATCACTAATCTCAGGACCTAGTTTCTCGGTGCCACCGTAGCGCAGGTTGTTCTCTTTTGCTTGCCCAGTAGGCACGTCATACGGCTCGTCTTTGCTAACGTGTTCATAGTACTCGCTGGTCCTGACCCCCGCCTGACTCCACTGCCCTGAAGGTGGCTCGTAAGGACGTTGTACTGCCTCTGATGCGGCGTCGACGCGGTGAATAGTAGGGTCTTGTGGAGCTGTTTCGTCCACATCTTTGAAGTAACTGTCTGCACTATGGGGCTTAGGTGCGTCTGATGAAGAATACGAGAGACGGGTAGATGTGTGAAGAGAATGGTGCGAGGACAATGGGTAGCGAGAAATCGTTCTGAGGCGCAGAAATTGCATTGTTCTGAGCATTGAAATGTTGACGAACTCCGTCGTGTTGGCGTTGCAGTCAGCACCGTGACTGCGGTCCAGTCTTGAATGAATTGACATCAGTAGCCAAATTATGTAAGACTGCTTCGCTGCAATATGATAGGTCAGGAAGTTTACTGCTTCATTCTTATATCGTTCTTGATACAATTGTCCGAGTTTACCAACTATTCGGGGAGAATATGTGGTGTTTGTTGCGAGTTTCAGGCTGATATTGAATATGACTGATTGACCAGTGACATCATTCGATTCAAAGTGCCAAGCTTGATCGAAAGTTCAAGACACGAAGCGAAGCGCAAAGAAAGTATTCTACAAACAGAAGCTGTAGTTAGTGACTGACGCCTTGTAGCACCCCTAGGCCTCACAGTCCACCTTTATTGAAAAGCAATGAGCCGCGTATCAGAAGTAGAAAGAAATAACAGTACCTTGTAATATGTAGTTACTCCTCACACTGCTCGTCGCCCTGCATCGGTCCTTTTAATTAGACTCGAAAGGATCGTTGGGCATGACAGGGTCGTCAGGATCGTTGGGCGCTGAAACGTCAGGCGCCCTAACGTCCAACTGGTGAGCGAGGTCAAAGTCAAGCCCTTCGCGCTTAGCCAAAGCTGCAAAGCATATCAGTATCATTGTCACCAACTAGATTGACGCATGAATCCTCACAAGTTTGTTTCGCCTCCAAGTCTGGTGAGGGATATGCAGCAGCAATAGCGACAAAGGACATAAGTGTCCCGAAGATAAACGAGAGTTGCATAATTGTAATCGAGAAGGTGACCGCCTGTCGATGCGTCAAAGTCGCGAGGGTTTTTATACTTGCGCGGCACCTGACGAAATAATGGGGTTAGCACAATTTAGTCGGGAGAAAAAGATACGGACATATCGTAAGAACGTCAGGCCATTTTTTCCCGTTTATTGACATTGTAGGCTTTGCCTGATGCAGATGCATATATATGGTATAGTAGTAGGTGAGTCCGATTATCGAGCATACAGAAATAAATGAATATTGTCCATTGAATAGGGCTGCTCGCTTTGTGCTCGCTCAGTTCGCGAGTATAGCTGAGTTCACCTGTCAAACTTCGACATTTTTAAAAGGACCGCAACTCTGCCGACCTGTGGCAATTAATGCGTATGGTGCAACCAACACAGGCTGAACTTCAAGCACATCTTGCAGGGCAAGCCCAACTCCTCATGAGGCTTGCGACTGTGCTGGACGACAATGACGATGACCTCAGTGAACTCGCCAGTGATGATGACCTTGATTATTTGTCTGATCCCGATGCAGACTTCTTTTCATGCTGCTTGGAAGGTCCTGATCGTGAACTCGACACTATTTTCGGTGTGTAGTATAGTTTTATGAATCAAAGAATTTTCGTCAACTTTCAATTAAATCAGAGTCAGTCGAGACACCTTTGACAGGCTGGTTGCAAAACTAGCATCTTTATTTCGATTGGAACAAAACCACAACGACACGTCTTGGGTATTTTCTTTTTCGTTATGGTATGCGTGGATCTGACTCTCCGAGTGGTGATTGAATTGATTCTGTTTTCAGGTATTGTCGTCGGGTTAGCGAGGCATTCCGAGCACTAAAGGTTGAGTTCTTAGTAGTTCTGAATGCCCAACGGAAGGAGAGGTTAGTTAACTTACTCTTCACATTGCTCGTCACCCTTCATCGGTCATTCTAATTAGACTCAAAAGGATCGTTAGGCATGACAGGGTCGTCAGGATCGTTGGGCGCTGAAACGTCAGGCGCCCTAACGTTCAACTGGTGAGCGAGGTCAAAGTCAAGCCCCTCACGCTTAGCCAAAGCTGCAAAGCATATCAGTATCATTGTCACTAACTAGATTGACGCATGAATCCTCACAAGTTTGTTTCGTCCCCAAGTCTGGTGAGGGATATGCAGTAGCAATAGCGACAAAGAACATAAGCGTCCTGAAAATAGACGAGAGCTGCATGATTGTAATCCAGAAGGTGACCGCCTGTCGATGTGTCAAAGTCGTGAGGGTTTTTATACTTGCGCAGCCCTCGAAGCACCTGACGAAATGATAGGATCAGCACAGTTTAATTGAGAGAAAAATACGGACACATCGTAAGAACTTTAGTAAGTCAGGAGCATCTGGAGCCATAATCGTGGCTAAGTGTCCCATTCACGTCGTAATTTCGCGTACATGTCTACATATGGCTGTTTCGAACTTGAAGCTCCTTCTCGTGCTGTAACAACTGCTTCTGCTTACTGGGTGCTCATGCGACAACTCGACATAATCGGATCTCTTGAAGGCTGACTAACAAGTAGACTGTAGCGGCATGAATTTTCGTCAACTTTCAATTCAGTCGAGACACCTTTGACAGGCTTGTTGCAAAAGTCATGGCTACAAGGGTAGCGAAATATCTTTCAGAGGCGCAGTGATTGCATTGAAATGTTGACGTTCCGTCGTGTTGGCGTTGCGGTCAGCAGGCCCAGTCTTGAATGAGTTGACATCACTTATCTTTCACGTGGCAGTCAAATGATGTGAAACTACCTGTGCTGTTTAACGTTGGGATATACAACTATCCGCGGAGAGCACGCAGTGTTGTTGCGAGTTTTTGAACATGACCAATGACATCATCCGATTCGAAAGTTCCGATGAGTCTGGAATCTCCTTCCTAAGAACAGGATGACGCGAAACGCAAATAAAGTATTCTACAAACAGAAGCTATAGTTAGTCACTGATGACGTTGTAGCACCCTTCACGGTCCACCTCTATTGTACAGCTGAGAAGCAATAAGTCGCGTATCAGAAAGAGGTAGAAAGAAACAACAGTACCTTTCTTATAACGCATGGGTACTCCCCACACTTCTCGTCGCCACTCATCAGCCATTTTAATTAGACTCGAAAGGATCGTTAGGCTCGACAGGATCATCAGGATCGTTGGGCGCTGAAACGTGACTAACATCAGGCGCCCTAACCTTCAACTGGCGAGTGAGGTCAAAGTCGAGCCCCTCGCGCTTAGCCACAGCTGCAAAGCATATCAGTATCCCTCTCACTAATTAGATCGACGCATGAGTCCTCACATGTATCTTTTGTCCCAAAGTCTAGCGGGGAATATGCAGCAACAAGAGCGGCAAAGAACATAAGCATCCTGAAAATTAACGAGAGTTGCATGATTGTAATCGAGAAGGTGGCCACTTGTCGATGTGTCGAAGTTGTGAGGGTTTTTATACTTGCGCAGCCCTCGAAGCACCTGACGAAATGATAGGATCAGCACAGTTTAATTGAGGGGAAAAAATACGGACACATCGTAAGAAATTTAGCAAGTCAGGACATCTGGAGCCATAATCGTGGCTAAGTGTCCCATTCACGTCGTAATTTCGCGTACATGTCTAATGGCTGTTTCGAACTTGAGACCCCTTCTCGTGCTGTAACAACTGCTTCTACTTACTGGATGCTCATGCGACAATCGGATTTCCTGAAGGCTGACTAGCAAGTAGACTGTAGCGGCATCCGTTACAAAGGACCGTCACGCCCCAACATGGTTCGGTTGAAAGGCATCTCTACTTAGTATCATGTTAGAACTTCGGGACCATTTCAATGGAGTGATATGCTAATAGAAGGCATACTTCCTCATCAATTCCGGCAGCTCTGGCTGAAAAATTCAGCTTCTAGGTCGCAATTAGTAGGAAGCAGCCAATCTCGTCATCGAAGGTGGTCTGTTTCCGGAACAAAGACCGAACAATGAGGTACTTGAAGTAAGAGTCTTAGTGCCGGACTATGTTTCATGCAACGCGAAAATACCTGTAATGATTTCCAAGATTTGCGTCACACATGCGTCAATGCGTTAAAAGGTTGAAGATGCGACGTGGCCACGTGGAGGACTCTGGGAAGTGTTTGATAAGCACAATTCTAGCACTAGTGGGTGAAGTTTGAACTGACCAGAAAGTGTCCATCCGTTCCATGGGTCAATATGCATGCTGAAAACGCAGACATGACTAGGGATTGAGAAGACACAAGGGGTGGGATCTTGCCTGCTCAGCTACCATCTGTGACCTTGCCAATTGAAGATATTGGACGGTAAGTAAGAGGAACAAAGAAGTTGATAGGCTTGCGTGCGGTAATGCAAGGACACTTTCATATCAGGTAGAACCGAAACAAATCAGCGCCATAATCGATTTTATGTGTTTGGTGAGTTTGCAGGGTATACGTTGAGGGCAAACTTCCTATTATTGCCGAAAAGTGATTAAGGCGCTCGTATGACCAAAAAGGAAATTGGTTGTGGCCCCTATTTTCTTTTTTAATACTTCGACGTTCTGACTCGCCCCTCTGTAGCTATCATGACCACCAATCCTTCAGAAGATTCCGACGATAAAAAGTTTGTGGGTGCCGGTGATGCACCTCCCTCGTACGACACGACACCTCTGTCTGAATCATCATCGGCCACTCGCCAATCATTTAGCCTATCATCTTTCTTTTCCTTTTTATTCGCCGCCAGGCAGAAACGCACCGCGGTTCTATCGCGCATCCGTGATATCGTTCTCACTCCAGATTTCAACCAATCTTCCGCCGCCTCAATCATCAACGCCTGTGCTGCTGATCTTACAACTAAAGGGTTCTCCAAGCTTCTACAAAAGCCAAATATCGAGGATCACACAGCGCTATATTGGGCAATTGTGAACAACCAGCGAGAAGTTGTGGTTGCCCTCGCTGCATTCATCTCTGAATGTTCGCCTGCATGCTCTTCCGAATTGCGTCTCGCATGCATGGCAACTAGCGACCACGCATCGTTTATGCAGCTCAAATTGGCAAATATTGATGGTAAGTGACCCTACGCGAGAGTGCATTCACTTATCTACCATGCTTCGCATCAGCCAAGGGTGAGGTTTTGAGACGATCTTTAGGTTGTCCACCGGATGAGATTGAAGTCGGGATGGGTAACGACGATCAGTTTGTCGTTTCTTTCCGCATCAGGAAGTTCCAGAAACGCTTGCGCATCACGCAAAAGTTGAATTATGAATTTGTCGCAGATGGTGCGTGGTGCAGGTTTCTTGTTCTTTTCATCATGCTGATGTGATAACATCATGGCCTGCAGGACGTATATGGTTTCTCCGCTTTGATATGAGCACTGTTCAGTGGAAGTGGCACGTTCTGTATGGCATTTCTTCGCCTAGCCTTCCAGCTTGCCCGAAAGCTTCATTTCAGATAGAAGGGAAACCTGGCCGCGAACCCCTGAAGCTGCCGCCGGGTGATGAATTCATCGAGACAATTGTGCCACAAGAGTAAGTTTGTAGTGTATTTGCTCTGACTCATTTGAAGGAACTGATGGATTTATGATTCCTGTGGGATATCATTTGTTCTCATGTCGGCTTCACAGACCTGATTGCCATGAAAAACATGGCGGGGTAGCTGGAAAGTCTTACATCAACCATTGGTGGCCATTGGGCGATTGGGTGATGCACGAGTAAGTCTTTAGCTTCCTTAGCTCGCTCCATGTTATGTGATGTATTTGCAGCAATCGTACTAACAACATATAATATGACTCTTCTCCTTTGCCGAATTTAACTAACTGTGTCATAGCAGTAATCCCGTCTATGTGGACCGTGATGGCACCCTACATGCAACACTGAGTGTGACGTGCAAAACTGGGTACTAGTAGTGTACTTACTTCCTACATCGATAACAAATGAATGGGCAGTTCTTGTTGAGCTATACGAGCACAATTATGATTTGAAATTTGGATTTCAATGTATATGGAGTGTTTGAGGGCACAGAAAAGTTACCGCGAGGTGATGCAAGTACCTGAACAATTATGTACGAGCTAGCGCGTAATCAAGGGGGGGACTCGATGAGGGATGAGAGGATGCAACCTATTTCTAATTGCGCTGATTGTACCTTCTAGTGTACCTTAGCCACGATGTCAATTCAAACAGAGTCCTATTTAAGCCACTCGCAAAAGCGATACTAGTTCTTTAATAGCACACGGAAGGAATAGTAAGCAAGTGCACGGCGTGGTTGACGTTGTAGCTGTACTCGAAATCATACCATCATACCATCATCATCCTCAACTTTCTTTCGCACTGTCCGACACCATTACCGACAAAGCGTCCGACACCATCTCCCATCTTCGTCCATACTCTCCCTTGTACCATGACCTCCAGAGACGAAGCCGCGGCGCCATCATGTGCAGGAACCGTGGGATAGACATCATCAGGTCTGGCGCCGTCGATGGGCGCAAGGGGCCCACGCATGCAATAGGCGACTTCCCCCCGATGTGTAGTTGAGACAGCTGCGTATTGGGTTGCAGACCCCCTTGATCGTTGTCGAGGTCGTTCTTTGGAAGCGTTCTTCCAAGTGCATCGAGCTCCGCATTCACGCAGACCAAGGCCCGGCGCAACTCGCGGCAGCACCTTACAAGGAAGTTTAAGGCATATAGGGATATAGGCGTATTGCGCGCCCTTAGGTCAAAGACGGTGAGATATGGGCATGTGCGAGCAAGCGTGATGATGTCCGTATCGGTGAGTGTGATGGTTGAAGTGTAGCCGTTTGGGATGAGAACAAGGGTCTTGAGCTCTGCGAGGGCGATGGGGTGCACAAGGAGGGGATGAAAATCAAAGACTGCTAATGTGCAAGAAAACCAATCACACAGCTCTTCGATAATGAGGTGCTCTAGCTTCGTACATGTGAGACTGCTGAGGAGTTCGGACCAGGTGCTGGATGAGTTGCACTCTTTTGCGTTGATATGGATTGTTTTGAGGTTGGGGCATTCAAGAGAATACGTATTAGAATCCATTCGGAGCATTCGGAAGGCGCGCAGGAAAGATGTGAAAATTCCCAGATTGTTGCACGAGATATTTAAGTGAGTGAGTGCCTGAAACATCTGTGGCGTGTGGAGTGGTACAGAGGGGATGCTGTCGGAACCCAGCTGGAGAGTGAGCCATCGGAGGCGTGGCCATGTAGCAATAACATCGAGCAAGCTACTCGAGATATTGCAATATTGAAACGGAAACTTTGTGAGACCCTCATGATAAGTGAGCAACAACAACTCGATTTCCGACTGAGTTGCGACGTAATTGCCCATAAGCTCGAAAGCTTTGAGGTGAGGGGCAGTAATATGGAGGTCAGGGATGATGGCCTGGCGAAATGATGTTTCTGCGATGCTAATGGAAAGGGTCTCGAGAGTAAGTAGGAGGAGTCTGAGAACTGGGATGGAGGTGATGCGCCCATCGTACCATGTAAGCGAGCGCAGGTTGGGAAATATCAGGGTGTCTTTGGGCGCACTTGCAAGGAGGGTTGCATATACAGTCCCGTGGTGGTCGTATTGCATAAAGAGAAACTTGACGCGTGCGGCGTAGGGAATCGAAGAGTTGAACTGTTCAGATGTAAGCACCAGGGACGCTGTGCCCGAGAAAACCAATTCCGAGTGAGGCAGGGACTTGATAAGAGGCCGGATGCTGCACAGGTGAGAATAAAGGAGATCTAATGCTATATCACGGAATGCGTGGCATGTGAGTGCGAGACAGAAGACAGAGCGTCGATCGTGATGATCGCAAGACGGTAAGATATAAGGGATTGGGTGAAAGATGGAAACACTTCTTTCGAGAGCCACTTTCATAGAATTGAAGACAAAATCAAATATCACTTCGAGGATCTCAGGCAGCAGAAGACAGCGGTGCATGTCGAATGCTTGTAGTCTGAAAGGCAAAGTGAGATTCGGAAAAATGATTACTTATGTACTTACTACGTCGCATGTGCAGGTTGCAATGGAAATGGTTCCCAATTTACGATCCAATTCGACTGTGTGGATATGGTGATGTGAGAGAGGCAACGAACTTCACTTGTGTGTGGATGCGGATTGTTCAACATCTGGTATAGGGGCTCATAGGCAATGCTCAAGTAAGATATGACGTTGGTTGGTAAGCTCCAGACGCAAGTCGCTTACTGGGTGATCTCGTCCTTCTTTCCGATGAGTTGTTGGTGGATATTTTTTGATGCCGTCCATAACTTTCCAGGTCCGAGATTTCCTGCAAAGCTGCATCCAACTGCTCCTGGCGTTGTTTGATGATGGCGCTGATACCATGCCGGTCTGCGAACTCGATGACAGAGCGGATAATATATGCAGTAGTACGGAGTTTTGAGGTCTACCATAGGGATCCAGTCATCGTCAATAACATGGCATCAATATATCAGAACAAGCATACTACATAGTCGAAAGAAATAAGTTAATTAGTTACCGGCTTGATAGATGACCAAAATTCCACCATCCACCGTTAACTCGAGCCACCAACTGTTAGCCCGCAACCTGCTCGGCTACCTATCACGACCGCGGACCTTGTCTCGAGTTCGAATGATGAACCTCAAGGTAGATGTTCAGACTCGGATGATGAAGAGAGGAATTAGCTTGATGATGGCCCGGGTGATATCACGGTCCATGTGGATTTAGCTGGCACAAAAAGCAACGAGTTCCATGTGGGTAAGCAAGTATTCTATATATCTCCTCGATATTCAGACCACAGCTGCTCGTGGAGGTCCATCGACACCAACTGATCAAGCTGTGACTTCGTCCTCCACACCGGTGGATGATGAGTGGGAAAAATAGTCATAGGCGGTGCAAATGAGATTAGCTGTTGAACCACCTCCGAGATATACAACTCGTGGGGGCAATGTTGAAATTGTATTGGGAACCATAGAGTGGATGACGTAATGTTACAAAATCGAGCACTATATACAACCCCCTGTCGTTTCTAACCTCTGTATCGTAAGTCCGCTATCATCAACTACTATACTACTATGTACTATTTGAAACCAAATTGGGGAGTTTGGTCTGTTAATAATGAGGGTACATCGCTATTTTAAGCAAAGGAAGAAGGGTGACATATTCTGCTAGCTCTTCTTTCTTTCTTATCACAAAACCATCAAAGGTCAGGCGCTCTAGGGGACACTGTGACCGTTCCAAAAGCTCCTTGAACTCTTCGTGAGGCCATCGTCCTATATTGCAAACCTTGACCTCCCGTAGATTGGGGAGTGTCACGGCATCGAATAGCTCGAAAATTCTGCTCGCGTTCTCGCGCGTGTCGACATCCGAGGCCTCGTCTAGGTGCAAAGATTGAAGTTTGGTGTGCTCCAATATTTCTGAGGTCTCGATCTCCCCCGTGAAGTTTCCTATCATCGTCAAGGACGAGAGGTTGGGACATAGACGGAGCAAGCAGGGGATCAAGTTTAATTCCTCTACCATGATCTCAAGACTTGTGAGACTGGCCCATGCAAGAGGATTGAAGCCAGATAACTCCCTCTTGGTAAGCCACACGTTCGTCAACTTCAGACTGTGCACGTTGGGAGGCAATTGTGCGACAGAATTCGCGATGGCTTCTGCAGTACCGTAATTGTGCACGCTCAGCTCCTGAAGTCCGCCGAAGTCCGCTGCCACCACTGGGCAGGAGTCAACCCCGGGGAATAACTCGATAGACAGATTCGAGATTTGATGGACATATGGTTGGAGCAGGCTTCGTGGCACCGTCCAGTCTTCGTCACGAATCTCGAGTGTCAATGACTGACGTCCTTGTGATCGCTTGAGGTAGGACTCATAGCAGAAAGCTTTCTTCTGCCAGTCACTGTCTCCGACTTCCAATCGCAGCTTGCGCCATAGACTCGGTATGTCCACAGCAACGTCCCGCCATCGTCGACATATTGTGGTCAACAGCATGGGGGCTAGACTCGGATCTGGTCCAGGCGTCCATTCTTCGTCTTCTGGCATGCAGTACAGAAAGATTTGACAGAGGAGTTCCGTGGGAAGGCGACAAATAGTCGAATGAAGTGCATTGTGAGAATTGTTGGACTGCATAATACGATGCATATTAACGCGAAGGAGGTTGAGATATTGAAGATGGAAATGAAAAGTTGGAAGTTCTGTCAACCGTCGCGTCCCTATTTAAATTATAACGCTTTGCCAACGACAAACCCACCTTGCTATTGTAATTGCCCATGGCGGGTCTTCAGCAAAAGACCAGCCATTCATCTAGAGACTTTACATTGTTGCAAAGTGAACCATCGCGAGGGTCCGTGGAATCAATGCGAGGGTCATCTCGCTCACCGGTGGCCTCGGCACACCCCAAGACCTTTTCTTCTCATGTGGACGACAACCGAAGGCTATAGAATTTGTCGAGTTGTGTGCCCTATTGTAGTATTGAATTGTGAGTTTTTGGTTTGATAAGTATGGTACTCACAGAAATCAGGCTTTGATTCTCCTTGGCAATTCAACACCCTCCTACCATACGCACTGAAGGGTCGTTTCCCTTTTCGTCGATCATGTCTCTTCTACATTCTTGTCAACAAATTTTGATACTGACATACCTGCACCTCGACAGAGTCACGCTCTTGTTCAAGTTGCAAACAGTATGCCATCCTTAATTTCTTGTTCCAATGTTGAGGCGAGCTAGAACACGGACCGAATGTCAAATGTCTCTGAGGCGGCCTGAGCTCCGAGTATACGTTGAACGGTGCTCCTTCAGAAGAACAAGCATACAGTGGTGAGCTCATCCGGATTGCTGACGAGCAGAAGTTGGAACATAGGTGCAGCAGGCAGAGGACTGCACCCGGGCGATGTATGGGGATCTCGACAATTGTCAAGTTTAGCCCATACAGGCTCGCAAGAAGGCAGGAGCTTGAGCTCAAAATAGGACTCTCCGGCGCAGAGTGGGCGACAGTCGCGAGAAACATTTTTCAGTAATCGGCTTATCGATGATTAGCCAGAGTGCTGTAAGGTCTTTTAACAAGGGTCAAATTTGTCAGAAACCACGCGATAATGGATAGAGAACGATGAGAGGCATCGTAGCTCGATCACAGTTGAGGTAAAGCAACAGGTGAGTGCCAACAAGAGCAGACGTCCTCGTGATCGCTTGAGCCATACATCCGACTCAAGGCGGAAACGAAGTTCCTGCTGTCTTCTGAAGTCGAATGGCACATCATTCCTGCACCACAAACTGGGGGTTCTAACAGCAACCCCCCTCCATCGTCAACATATTCTGGTCAACAGGATGCCAGCTTCGATGCGGGCGACAAGCACTCGTCTTCCGGGAGACAGTGAACGAAAATGTGGGATAAAGCTTCAGCGGTAGCGCGTGTTATCACCGCTAGCTCTTTGTGAGCCTTCCCAGTTCTCTGCGAACGCATGGCTGTTAGATTTTGCTTTTTGGATATACAGAGTTCCCATGGATACCATCGAACAGGCAAGTATAAGGAATGTACTCGCAGCCTTCCATGGACCTCTATTCATTGTTTTAAGCAAAGAATGCGCGAGAGTGAGTGTGCAACTGGATCGAGTCCACTTAAATTGCAAGCTGAAAGAGGTGAAAATTTTCAGCGCATTGGAAGAGAGATATACTCGCAAGGCACCTGTGGGACTACATATTATGTTGTACTAAAGCGCAAACAGGCACTAAACCAGTGCAAAAGCTCTAAGGTGAACGTCACGTTTAAGATTAGGTAGTTAATAACAGCGAATGTACAAACGGAGGCTGTAACACCACTCACCTAAATCATACAGAAGTACCATCTTCCCACTCCTCCATAGTAACATCTCCACCTGGGGTACTCCGTCCAGTCGCATCCATCATCCCCCCCAGTCTACTCCCGTTCAGAGAGCCTAGTACCGGCTCCTTACCCAACCGGACACGGCCATACGTCTCGTCCCACCGCACAGCACTTTTAAAGAAGCGTCGTCCTCGTGGTGGGCCCCTCCCAATGTCAGGGTCAACATTGACGACACGATTTGAAAGGATACTCATGCGCTTCCGTCGGCGATATGAAGATCCGTCAGAGTCGTATCGCTCATCATCTGATTCGTCGGAGCCCCCTGGCTCCTGCAATTTGTACACGAACCGGGAATGTTCTGCAGAGTGTCAGACTTACTCTATTAAGCTGTGATGACAGGTTGACGCTTACGAGCAAGCCGACGATCTAGATCATCGGTGCCACCGTCTTCATCGGCATCTTCTTCAGCGACATCTAATCCAAGGTGCCGCCCCAGACTTTCCCTTGGTACCTCATGCATCCCGACACTGGGTGCACAAGGCAATTGTGAGAGCTGCTGCAGTGCAGTCGCGCGCACTTTGTCCAAACTTCCATCCCGTACATTCAAGTCATCCATATTGTTCTCTGGTACCTCGAGCCTGTAACGCGGCCCAAACCACTCAAAGTACTCATTCCATGGCAGATTGGGGTCAATGTCGTCCTGAATGCCGAGAGCACATGCAGTCTCGTACGTCCAAGTCCGCGCAACGTTCTTCACTGTATATCCTCCGCCTCCAAGAAGGATGAGTGGGACATTGAATGCGCGCAGATACTGGACGCAGTGAGCATGTCCATTCATAGTCAGATTGAAGCATCCAAGTTTGTCCCCTGCAAGAGAGTCCGCTCCACACTGTAAGATGACTGCACCAGGTCGATAAATTTCCATGATCTTATTTATAATCTGATGCGATGTTAGCGGAAGTAGATGAATACTTGACGAGTACTCGCCGGTTCAAACACCCTCTTAAAAGCCTCATCCGTGATTCCGTCCTTCAAGGGGATATTCACTGTATAATTCCTCCCCTTTCCTCTTCCTCGATCCTCCTGGGTACCGGTGCCAGGAAAATATTCCCCAAATTTGTGGAATGAGCAGGTCATGACGCGGTCTGTGGTGTAAAATGCTTCCTCTACGCCATCTCCGTGGTGACAGTCGATATCGATGTACAGAACGCGGGGGTATGTCCTCAGGAGCTCCAATATACCCAGTACAATGTCATTAATATAACAGAAGCCTGATGCCTCCCGTTTCTTCGCGTGATGGAGACCACCTGCCCAATTGATAGATATATCTGCGGCTCCTGAAGATATTCGTTGTGCGGCAGCTGAGAAATGTCAATGCAGAACGCGCAGTAAAGGGACATGGTCGTACATATTGAGCCTCCGGCTGATATTGAACAGAACTCGAATACACCTTCAAATGCAGGGTTGTCCTCGCCCATCAGAACTGCGGAGGCATATCATGGGTAACAAGTGCGTCAAAGAGGAATCGCTGGTACTCACAACGGGTGCCATGATAAGTTAACTCTTCTGCGGTCTCTGGCGTCACGCGATTTAGAAAATGTATGTACTCGTCCGTATGAAAAGCTGTCATGGCTTCAGGAGTAGCGCGTTTGGGACGCTACGCATGTGCTGTTTTCTTAACAGAAGAATACATGGTTCAGGGGATAAGGCATACCAGAACATGCATTTTGTCGAGCATTCCATAGGCTGATACAAGATCATGCGTGACGCGCATTCGATGCGGTTTCATTGGGTGACCAAGACCGTACGTATATGAACCGGTGTCACCTGTAATATTGGTTCGTTAGGAATAAAAAGTGTGGATTTTACAATGAGCACACCATCATAGTAGTAAGCTACCCGCCTCTTTGACATCTCTTGTGTGTTAATGGAAAAATAACTTGTCGTACGGGCGTTAACTTCAAATGTTTGAAGGTGGAATTGTCTGCATTAGGACTTGGAGCGGGGTTCGAAAACCTAACTTGGCGGCGCGCGCCGGCCCGCAGGGGTGTACGGTCGCACAAAAATAGGGTTTACAGAGTACAGTTCAAGCTGTCTCATATTGTTACTCGAAGGCGCAGTTACAAGGGTCGGTTAGAACTTATATGATTCGTATCTGAACTCCACAGACGGCGCCGCGGCTTCACTGACACACTGCATCATTCCCAAATATGTCCACCAGCGGCTGGCTCTACCACCTTGAGCCTTTCATCATAGAAGCAGGTCCTCATGAAGAATGAGAACATCCGCGCCGTTAGTACGTGAGTATCATCCGCTTTTTGCTCGGCTCCGTGGAGAAAATCGTATCAATTGGCAATGAATGCGCTGAGGGAATTATACCAATGGGTGAGGCAGATAGAGCCAATTGATATCTATCAACCAAGATCCGACTCAACGCCAAAATTGCAGTAGGTTTGCTCCAATAATTCCAGTTCTGATGCCAGCTGTATTCAAACTAGTACCCATGAGCGATATACGCGCGGGCGACCTGGTCTGGGAGGAGTAGAGTGCACTTATGCAACATTCACACGGTGCATGTTCCGGTGCAACGGCAACTTCCGATATGATAGCTCTCTCTGCAAAACCCAAAAACGATCGGAACCTGTGATCAGCCTTCCACCGGTTCCATACCGGCCCTGGTATAAACGTTGGCATCATATTAGTTGGCCAGCTCCACCTTTCCCTTCCCTTCTCTCCGTTCCTTCACCTACTCACCAAGCATGACTTGGTCAGATGTACCAATCTCGATAGACCCGATCATTTCTGACAATGTTTATATTGGAAAGTATGTGGCCTGTCGTTCAGTACTATGACCTTATCTGACATAGACTTCAGTCTTTCTGCCGCTCTATCAACGGATGTACGCGAGAGACTTGGAATAACACATATTCTTTCAGTCTGCACCGAGTATTCGTCTACAGACCACAACCACCTCACTATACCCGTGCAAGACTCAGAGTACGAAGATCTCCTTATACATCTACCTCGGGGATGTAGCTTCATTCAAAACGCTTTGGACCAAGGGGGAAAGGTTCTAGTTCATTGTGCCATGGGCGTCTCAAGAAGCCCCACGGTCGTTTGTGCCTACCGTAAGTTTACGTCACTTTGATCCTTGCTTTCTTTGTGGAGCACTTAGTTTGGCTCTCGCGTGTCAAGTAATGTTCACCCAACGGCTATCTGCTCATGCAGCAATACAATACGTACGAAAACGTAAGATTCAACCTCCCACTTATTTCATTGGACTCATGATCGTTCGGTTACACAGGTCGACCAAAAATTCACCCCAATTATGGATTCATGAAACAGTTGATTGCTTTCGGCGAGTGCCGTTATAAGCCTTCATGCACAAACAGCGAGTATATCGCCTGGAAGCGCAGGCAAAAACGAGAAGTATCTAAATATCTCGACCTGATTGCCGACACCGTACCCGTGATACCAGATCAATTATACCTTAGTAGGTGCGGAACTCGATTGTGTAGTTAAACCGCATTGCAGTTTACGCTTTTTAATACCCAGTGACTTCCCGGGAGATCCTGATGCTGCCGAATCACTTCTTTTGGACTTGGGCATGACGCATGTGCTTTCCATCTCATCTGCACAACTTCCGAAGCCAGATCTTCCTCTGTTTAATCACTGTTTTATTGATATCCCAAATAATGGTCGGCAAGCTTTGTTGCTAGAGCTTCCGACAGCATGTAAATTTATTGGTGATGCCATCACCGACGGAGGGCAAGTGCTCGTTCAGTGCCGCGTCGAGCTCAGAGCTTGTATCGTAGTTTGTGCCTATTGTAAGTGGTTCATCTCTTCCTTTGATATACTTTCTACATGGCTGTCAACCAGTTATGTTCACGCGTCATGTATCACCACGTCAAGCACTCGGACTTCTTGAATCTGGTAAGTTTCAAACTTTGGACACGTATCAAGCATACGTGTTTACGCGTGTATTATTCCAGCGCTTCCATTGTATAATCCCACAGACAACTTCTACCGTCATCTAGACCTTTTTGCAGCGTGCAAATATGTTCCAACGCCCAATAACCCCCTTGTCCAAGCATGGATCTCAGGAGGCACTCAGGCCGGTAAGCCTTCCTCAAAGAAGAAATCTACTACCACGATCCGACGCGATACATTATTGCTTGCGACCACGACGATGACACTTGCGACGGAGCCGAAGGTGTTTGATTTTGCAGCCCTCAGCGAGGTGCTGGCACGGTTTCAGTCGACTTCAACGAGCGTGGGCGCTGCGCGCACATAGTTCGGTTCTAGTATTTGCTGTTTAACATGCTTGTTCATTTGATTATACCATTCCCTTGGTCCATGAACAGTTTATCTCGACGAAATCATATCGGTGTCTATGAGAATCTAGTGTATGTAAAACCCAGGTCACATACTTACCACTTACCATCTACATGTACCAAGCTGAGTACAAGGCCTTTTACGCCTCCTTCCTCGGTATTCTAGCGTACCATCACGCACCCTTCCTATATGACTCTTCCTCCTCCCCAACCGTTCCCTCCGTATCGCCGTGGAAGACCTCTCAGGTTCTTCGCTCGCTTACCTAGCCATCGGTAATGTCATTTGAGTAATTTTAATCTTTCTGGTATCCATGTGTCACTAGCTGCTGGCTTAGAAACCGATATGTCACCGTATGGTTGGTGTCATTGGTACTGGAAGCATACAAATACTCACCCCACAATAGAAACCACTATTCAAAACCATACAGCAATTACTTGCGAGTGGCCCCCGCATTGGTGTTGGTCTTCTCGTCAGCATTCCTGGTTGCCGGTCTAACTTGCAAATATTGCGACGCTCTCTTGCTAAGCTCGTCCCAAACCTCTATGCAGCTTCGGCACTACATCAGACCAGCGGCACCAGTCCTGCGTCACGGCTGCGTCAAACTCCACATCTAATATCGCAAGGTATTACAATGATCACGTAGAAAAACACTTGACGAGTGACTGTGCAGGTCGACCTTCTCCGTAACACAACCGAACTCCGTGCCCATAGCGCTTGGATCAAACGCGCACATGCAAACCTTAAGGCCTGCCGCCTGACCAAGGTGAGAACACCACTGTACGCCATACCTCTTCCCACTTGGTCTGTCGTGCATCTTGGTCCAAAATCCCCTCTTCGAGCTCAACGGAGAGCTCTTTCAAGCAGGGCAAGATCGCCGAAAGCACAACCGCGACTGGCAATGGTTGTTCGATGAGAGAGCATCCGACCCAAAAGGTAGTTGCAACTCCTCCTCCTGGTTTTCTCAGCCGTAGGCAGATCGATCCATCATCGTCAAGCCATGCCACACAAGATTGCGAAAGATTGACCTTTCGCAGGCTGGAGAAGTGCACGAGGGGAGTGAGTGTGCGGAGCTGAATGCATAATCGATATGCTCACCACTCTTTAGTACGTCTAGGACACACTCCAGAGGATTCGATCGTTCAGCTTGCACAGGGAGCGCTCGACGGCAAGCACAATTTCAGGATGCTCGGATACCAGCTGCAGCCGTCTGTATAGAATCACCCAGCCTTCTATCAGGTTACCGCCCAAGATCAACTCGGACGAGTGGACAATTAATTTGTCCAGGCTGAAGGTACGAAATTGAGACTCGACGCGGGTGAGAGGTACTGCAATTCGGATATCCAATACTTGAAGGCCAACAAGACCACTTGGACAAGATAAAGCGTCGTTACTGAACAAGGGTGGTGATACTTCCTGCAGGTGCGTGAGTCCATAGAGAGCGAGCTCGCTGACTTGAGACGTCGCATGTGGTTCCACGGCTTCTAAACGTGGTATCTGCTGAGACCTGATATAACTGAAAACATGATATGCGCCCAGAAATCTTCTTCCTTAGATACCAGACGCAGACAAAGCGTCCCGAGGCTAGGACCCGGGCGGCAACGTATGCATGCATAAAGATTATGAGGGCCTTCTCCGCGCCTGAGTCCTCGAAGGTTAGGCGAAGAAAACCTATCATGGCATGTACGACTATGCCTCCGAAAAGATTTGAATTCATGTCTCCCAGAACTTGCACCCGAGATGTATATTGCTTGTAGGCCGACCAATCCGCAGTGGTTATATGTCTCTGTAGGAGCTGGCAGTTGTTATAAAGAGGCTGAGAGGGCAGGTAGCACGTACCAGCTTCCGATCACCTGTCATAGGTCTCCTAGAAGGCCAATGAAAAGCGGTTTAAAATTCTCCAGCTTGACCGATAGCACATCTAAAGCTATGTTTTTGAAGGCACGACAGATACGAGATAGAGCAGCTAGAGAACGTCGCGCCACTCCTTCAAGGATTGGGTTGAGATCAGCCGTGATACCAATCATGTAAACGACCGTCCGCGCCTAAGTCATAGATGTCAGAGAAAATGTGTTTTAGAACATCTGGGATGAGGAGGCAGGCATGGTACTCTTTCGTGCGGCGATACCGAAAAAAAAACTGAAGCAGCGCAATGGCAACAAAGTTCAGATTTACGCGGCTAAAATTTGGGTGGATGTTGCAGACACGCAACGGCGTACGTTAACAAACATATTACGCGAAATTCAATGTCAGAGTTCACTCTAGCAGTAAAATAATTGAAGATTGTCATGGCACAAATCAATCAATAACTTGTCTCTATGGTATGTATCAAACCGATTCAAACGGAATTCACAGTCTGGTAAATCCCAGTGGAGCAGAGTAGGCCTGCAGTGCCCGTCCACAAACCGCGTCTGCAAAATGACGCACGCGCTTTCACGGGTAATCTCATCTCGCTATATATATGACCTTCCAAGGATTTCATTTTGGCAACAGCTGTAGTCCCGGTTGCAAGGCTCCAATGAAGTCATGCAGAAGTCAGAACTTCCTCACTTACCACACCTCTGGATGACCTTCATCGATCTATAAAAATCCATTCTCCCTCGTCGTTAAGTGAGGAAGACTCGGACGACTCCGAGTCCGTGAGGTAAACAATGAGGATGTGTGCGTTGCGAAAATTTGTCACCAGGATATCGATCGAGCATACGGTTTTGAAGGTCCACTGATTCGGTCTTCAAGTTGTCGATGCAGCACGAATCTTGCCAGCTCACACGATGATACTCTCGTGGCCACTTGTATAATCCTTCGAGTTCTCGATCAAAGGGCCTAGAATCAATCATCACAACTACTAAAAGAGAGATGTTATGCACATGGTGACCTTCAACTCAGACAAATAATTTGACGTGTTTGACTTACATTGGTGACCGACGGTACTAGCCTTCTACTGACACCGTCTCTCGCTCTGACGGAGTTCCGCGCCCGACGCAGAACAACTCTTTCGCAAGTTACCAGCGCATCATAAGAAGATGATATCCAACTTCGATTATGCGAGACTTGCCTGAAGGATTCAAAGAATACCTATCGGTGTCCGCATGGCATGGACGCAAGAAGCATATTCCATCAAATCAGTTGTTGCAAATCGTGTGTAGGAGCACCTCTTCGGTATCAATACGAGCGATTGTCGCAAGGGTAAATCAATTATGCAAATGGAACAAAGCATACATGGGGGAATGTATTTGAAGCACAAACCAAAGCTTCTTCAGGTTGCCTTCTCGTGGACCAACGCATAAACGTCCTCCGTCGCGGATATTACCACCACTTCCCTTCAGGCTGGACCGCATGGCTTATCCCATAGTGTGGCTGTTCTGATATCCGCCGGGAAGGATCTGACCCTGATTGGCGGCGGGGTATGGGGTGTGATTGGGCTGGGGTGAGAGGGGCGCGTTGCCTGATAGAGTTGGGTAATATCTGCCAGGGGAAGGCTGGGTAATATCTGCCAGGAGGAGTTGGGTGATAGGGGGAGGCTGGGTAATCTCTGCCAGGAGGGGTTTAAGTGTTCATTAAAGCAGGTAAACCGGGAGGACAGTTGTAGTACTGTAGATCCAAGGGCTGGGCGGAATAGCTGTTGTACAGCTGCTATGTGAGGATTTTGAGGGTAGCCTTCATACCGTATAGTATATGGAGCTTGACCGCCGAGAACTGCAGTATACCGAGCCACAGGCAAGGCTGGAGTTAGAGGAGGCCTAGGCCCTAGGGGCTTGCTGCAATGATGGAAGACGTCCAGATTCCCTATCCACGGATAGCTTGGAAGATCGCATACGAGACGTTGGTATCGTAGTAGATGCAGGCTGAAAGAAAGATACTTTAGCAAAAGGCGACCGTTCATATACTCGAGACATACTAGAGAAGAATATTATAAATGCTGCCTCCGCTACAGTTTCCTCAGAACAAATCTGGCCAGTTGTGGGATCTAGTAATCAGGATTGACAGGTGGAAAGAGTCAGTCACGACTCGCAATCAGTGTGAATACGTCCATCAGAGACTCAGAAATAGTAGGTCGAGCGTGCAATAGTTTCAGCGGTACCGACCCATACCACCCACAGGACAATTGGGAGACGATCAACTAACAAGAAAATCGCCGCAACGTTTAACGCTCGGGACCGAACGTCAAGCGCAACCATAGAGACGAACGCTCCACAGCGCACACGACCCAAGCATATTACATATTCCAAGACCAGTTCCATCTTCAAAAAGTTTATTGGCACCCACAACCGTGACAGCGGAGAGAGACAATACATTGAGGAGTGCCACCCACAAGCCCAAATGCAGCAAAGCTTAAGTTAATATTTTATTATCCAGGGATGAGCGATTCGATGCGAGCACAGATGCGCCTAATGACTATGAGAGCCCTACTAAACTAATGGGTACAAAACACGATTAGGTTCAAGGCCCCATCACGGTACGACCACTCACAAAAGATGATGGCACGGAACCGAAAAAGGACAACCATTTTTTTGCCTACAAAATAGCAGGCAAAACGTTGAGATGTGAGGCAGGTGAGAGGATCACGAGACAAAGAGCGCGGGGAGGCGTAAGATGACGAAAGTATTTATGTATGTCTTGACGTTGACATCGCTTGACGTAGGGTTGATTGATCGACAAGCAATTGATTGAGCCCTGGTTTACAAGATACATGAGGTAAGTCACCGCCTCACCAAAATACACAATGCCGAGACCGCGTCGTGATCACTTACAAGGTTGCGCAACGAAACGTAAATATTGCGTAAGTGAGATCAAAAAAAAAAGTGAAAACAACTTAAAGTATAGGCACAGCATCAGCGCGCTGATGTGCGCGTAAGAGGACTCGAAGCGACATCGTCGGTCGGGGGACTCGGGGTTCACGGTAATAAACGGGAGTCGACGGATCGCGCTACAAAAATACACTTGACAACCATAGACCGGGCACCAAAATTTTCAGTCCTACCGGAGAGGATAAAAAAACTAGCATGAACATATGGGTGCTAGCGTGCGGTGGCCCGGTGCGACGCGGGTCTGGCCCCTTGGAGACATGATGATGAAGTGAGCTGAGGTGACATCTCACGAGGCCTTTATTTAAAGACTAAACACACAAATCAGACAGTCAAGCGCTTACGGTGCAATTATATGGTTATTTGCTCTACTTGAAGTTGGGCGGTCACTATATGTCATGCTTTTGGGCGTCTCTAAACTGGTGAACGAAGATCGAGGAGGATCCACAGGAGATTGAGATAAAGCCAGGCACTCTGTTGACCTCCATCTTGCGCCTCCAGCCAACCACGCTACGCCCACACGGTCCTTAGAAGCAACGGACGGTTTAAATGCACCGTTTGATGAGAAAGTCGCGTTTATGGCATGCCCAAGACACGCGGTAGACAGGCAGGCAGTTGTTGCTAAGAGAGCAACCTTCTAATCAGAAAGGTAAAAATTCCCATTCAAAGGAAGTAGTCCGCAGGAGGTCGTTTTGCCGGGATAGAGCGTACATCCTAGTGGCACGACATGATCAGATCACAGCGCTGGATGAAATGCAAGATTTCATCCCCGCATATCGCCTTTTGGGGGAGATCAAACCGCAAGGAACTTACCGAGGGCGCATGTTGAAAAACTTTGTATTCTTGAGCAAGGCGTTCATCTAGCTCGAGAATCGAAGCTACATTACCACACCTGTCATAAAACATGATAGGTTACGAAAGCGGAGACCCATGCAGGGTGCCCATTTGATCATAACTCACCGATAACAGTAATTCGGTGCGCTCCACACCGTCACTATCATGTTATCAAACATGAGCTTATATCCTTCCATGGCCAATTGATGGGCCCGGGCGATGAGGTCAATAGAATTATGGTGCGCGAAGGTTTTGGTAATGTCAGCGCCGAAAAGAAAGCCAGCGCCCCGCGGAGATAGGCCCCATCCAGTTATATCTGTTTGAAAGAAAGACATATTGTGTGAGCAGACATTGCCATCGAGCATGCCTAAGCAAGACTTAAGGAGATACATACCGTCTGGATCGGACCAAAGGAGGTCACACATCGGACCATCATGGGGAACTTCCTGTTTTCGATCAATAGCGCGTATCTAAAGGCAGAGCTAAGAAACGCGTGCGCGACACGGAGTAATGTAAACATAGTAAACGCACCTGATCAATGGCCTGCAGGTTTGGGCTGAGTCCGCCATGGACACAAAAAACTCTGCCGTCCACGATCGCGCCCAGCGCAAGATAGTCAAACACCTCACAACACCATCTCCACACGTTGGTACTGCCATATTTTCTCTGACATTCGTCGTAGAACCCATATACCTGTGTGATCTGTCGTGATTCGTGGTTGCCCCGGATTAACGTAATTCGCTCTGGATAGCGGACTTTGAGGGCCAGGAGGAGCAGAAACGTTTCAACGCTGTAGAAGCCGCGATCCACGAAATCACCTGTGACAACGGGACATTAAATATTCGACGGCCGATTGAAACGCACCAGGGCGCTGTACTTACCCATGAAAAGGTAGTTCGTCTCCGGGCAAAACCCGCCTACCTTGAATAATTCCATAAGATCAAAGAACTGCCCATGGATATCGCCGCAGATCTTAATCAGAACAGCAGAATAAGTATTAGCCTAGGAGAGGATGGAATCGAATGCGTTCACCGTCACAGGAGAGTCCACGACCTGGACATTGGCTTCTTCTATTAGGATCTCACGGGCCTTGAAGCAAAGCCGTTTGACCTGTTCCTCGGATATGGGTTCACATCGTGTAAGCTGGTCTATTTGCCTGTAAGATCAATGGGCGAGAAGTACGCAGCGGCCGGACGTGTGTCGTGCACATTGGATAACGCAATGCACAGAAGCCGGTTTTTGATCGCCAAATACACGTTGTTGCGGTACTTTGAGAACAAGTTGTGACAAAAAAAAGTGAGATTCTCACCTGTCGAGATCGCTGGGCATTGCAACCTATCTGATAGACCGTCGACTCGGATGGGCCTTCGACAACAAGTTGTAGTACGTGTGCACCGTGGGAACAACGTCACATCAAGGCACAGTTATTGCCTCAGTACTGCCACGTCAAATCGGCTCGGAATCCACGATGCAATTCTTATGAACAACATAATGTACAAAGTATGTATATGCAGTTTAGATACGCAGGTATATGGTATGTGTGCAGTGGCGGCGTGGTACCAAGCAGCGTAACGACTGCTCTAGAGATAGCAGGAAATGCACGATAGTAATCCATACACGAAACACAGACATCGACGGGAGCAGAAAAAAAATCCGGTTACGAGACAGCTATAAAATACGAAATTTACAACAGCAAACATGAAACAAGGTGTTATACATAGCCCGTTGAGGGACGCGCTCGCAGAACGTTATCTGACTTCCAAGCGCTTTGACCCAGGCCGACGTGCGGAGCATGATAAGGATATGAACTCTGCACTTGTGAATGATGTATGTATGACAGTGAGGCGGGCGGTGTTATCGAATGGTGCATTTGAGGGATTCTAATGTCCCCACGAAGCACCCTCTCGTCCTGGATCGGCGCTAGAACAGGCGGTGGCGAGTCGTATCTCGGTATGCTCGAATGATGCGACATAAGAGAGTGACTATATGATCCGTGGACGACGTTGTTTTGTGTGTTCATATAGTTGCTGGATATGTTTGAATGATCGGAGACAGGATCCAATATCCCAGAGCCGTTTTGGTATGATGCAACTTCGTGCGAGTCATCCCGGTAGGCTGAGTAGTTGGGCGTAGATATTTGGGAGTGCGGTGAGACGGAGTGCGGTGATTCCGGTGATGGCGTGCTGACTGCCTGGTACTGTGTAGGATAGGAGTGTGGATGCGAGATGTGTGAAATTGAGAGACGAGATGATACAGACGAAAGGTGAGCGGATGACTGCGGAGAGCCATCATGAACATTTTCCATGGGTGATTGATGAAGAGAGGAAGAATGAATACGCGACATGGATGGCTTCTCGCCGTATGCCTGAGAATAGTCGTATGAGTGATCATGCACAGCATGTCCACTGGAAGTCTGCGAAACACCCGCTGGGACGTAGCCGTAATTAGCTTGCGAGGATTCATCATAGCTTGGCGTGTTGTCGCTGTAGTGCGACTGGATTGGCGACGAATGCGAAGCTACTTGACCGTTGGACATTGACTGAGAATGTTGGTTGATCATTGGGAAGGAGTTGTCGGGAGGTGTTGGCGATCTACTTGATACACTTCCAGAATGCAGGCTATCTGAGTATGACGGTACAGAAAATGCTTGTACCAAAGGTGGGGGTGAGTCGGGCGCCGGGGGGATTGCGTGCTCGAGTGCCGGTGGAGGAGAGGGAGTATCCGACGAATTGTGTTCAGAGGACATCAATGAGGATGCGGTTCGGCTATTTTTTGTGCCAGAACCGCTAATGCCCACGGCACGGGCGATCGCAGCACGCGTTGCGGAGCTTGAGCTCCGTCGTGAGCCAGGGGAGAGATGAATGCGGTAACTGTAGAAGAAAGAAGGCGAAGCTCAGTTGTTGTACATGAAATGGAGCGAGAAAATGAGTTGAATAGATCATAGTGATAGAATCAGAATGGTGCACTTGCTGTGTGGCACCGATAGTACGGCAATAATAGACGCAGCGGCCGGCGATAAAGAATAGAAGAAGTACTCACTGTTGTTGTAAGTTGTCTTGCCTAGAACAACGTGTTTCGCATCCAGGAAAGGGACACTTATGATTGCGTTCACCTGTGTGAACGCGGAGGTGTCGGGCAAGGTGGCCACTGGTAGTAAAGCCACGGTCGCATGTCGGACAGACATGCTTTTTCTTTCCATTAGCTACCGCAGAAGACTGGGAAGACTGAGAAAGAGAAGAGGGTGCTGTTGGTGACTGGGGAGAGTGACCTGGAGACTGACTAGAATCAGATAGATACTGTGTAGAAGAGGAGTATTGAGTAGAATAGATCTGAGAACTAGCAGAATCATGCTTTGTTGAAGTATGGCGGGGCATATGGGCAAAAAAGCAATTTGCAGGGGTGGAGAGGAAACGGAGGATAGGAATGTACGGATTGCGGAGGAACTGGAGAACAGGCTTTTGAGGAGAAGAAGTGTCGAGGCAGTGACGCCCAAGAGGAAAATACGTAAAAAAGTGCGGTCGCACCAAATAAATGTTCTGATATTTGTTATATTGATAGAATCCAATGGGGAGAACCTCAATTTTATTTCAATTGAGGGCTACGTTTAGACTTTGGAATTGACATTTCGTAACATACAGTTGTTGATAATCACTTGCCGTTTCTTCCGGAAGCGTACCAAAAAGAGAATATTAATTTCGGAGCGGATGCAGTTTTAGACAAAACTTCCGGGGTTGATCACCGTCGTCCTGCAGATTCATATCTCATTTATTATACAGCTTCTATAAGATATACTAACCTTGCACTGGATTGTCCTCGATGCTTGCATGCCTGACCATCGTCTTCCTTTTGATCAGTCTATACTAAGGTTTAGTTCTGCCAGATCAACCGTGGAATAGACGCCTGGACTGACATTTCTTCCTCGCCCACGTGAGATAGTATGTTTGTTGAAATCCCGCACACTCTCCCCCCAAACTTCGTATCTTTACGCACAAAAAAACCGCTTCACGCAATTCAATTTTTGTACCCAGGCACCGTTATGAAAATGCTCTTTTCGGGACCGTCCAGACCATCCATTTGCGGTTTCGATCGCGATCAACCAATGTTCGCAACAACTTAGTAAGCCCTTCTCGTCATTCAACACACGGTAATCGGCTGAACACTGCGCCCTCTCTGAATGAATGAACCAAAGTCGCTCGCTCGGGTTGCCAGCTTACCATGGATACTAAATTACTTACTCCTCACTAGTGTACCACTCCACAAAAATGTCATGCAAAGTTTTCAATGTCCATAACAACTTGTCATACCAGGTCGCCGTTGACTTCGCTGATCTCTAAACATTAGTGTTCCGTCTGCTTCCGTTCAACGAGTTGCAGCCAAGGAAGGCATCTTTGACATAATTAAATAGCAAAAGCAGTTAGTCGTCGATAGGTTGAGTGATCGTCACTCAAAATTCTCTCACACTTAGTTCATCTCTGTCCAACGCCACAAGACTGCCTTTCTCTGATAACAGGCGCCGAACTCTATACCATGGTTGAATACACAACACATACTGCCAGTGACAAAGAAGCTAGCTCAATTGATCATATGCTCGGCCCATCAGTCACCATGTCGGTCGACGAAGTCCCGTGCACTCCCGTGCAGCTTCCGGATGGATCACGCATGTCAGAAGTCAGAAGACCACTCCAACGTCACTTCCCAGATCCGCGACCGTTAAGCATAAGATGAGAGCAACCCTGAAGGAGTTAACTCTGTTAAGGTCCACCGTGCCTCGCGCTTGTCTATGTCTCACTCAAACTGTCGTACGACGGAAATCATTCCGTTTTAGCGGTTCGGGGACCATTGCGGACGCGCCAATTACTACCGGGCATGTCCTCAATCACGTCGCAGCCTCGGGATCTGGGACAACCGTTATGTACTGATCTATACCCACGCAGAGACAAATTATGATGGATGGCATGTCAGGGGGTCAGGCGAAGTGGGTGCATCGCCTTGCGGTGCACTAAACACAGATAAAATGAAAGGATGGTTAGCTGAACTCCTTGATGCGGGATTGGCACATTGAACGAAGGAATGATAGACGGCGTTCAAGGGACCGATCCAGGGGCTTACGAGACGCATCTCCATCGTAGAGCGGAGCCGTTACGGGACCTGGTCAACGAACGACACAAAAAGGTCTCTCATAACAGAACGTGACATGCATACCTCATATGATAAAAATTCCTTATAGTGATCAAACGCTTGCCTAAAAGTAACCTGGTGTCAGACATTTGACTTATCATCCAGAAAAAAAAATCGCAGTTCCGTACATGCCGAAACCCGCAAAATGCCTATGACCGGTTACTTTCTTGACAGCGTCTGTCTGCGGCAGCAGACAGTCAATATGACCATCATAGTAGTAGGCCGTGGCTTGAGAAAGTCTTGATGGAGAGCTCCGTCAGAGACAAAGTCTTGGAACACATTGACTGTTTGGCTTCAGTGACTTTCTGATGCTGATGCTGATGCATCATCTTCTTTGGCAGCGCTTGGTTGAAGGTGGTAATTTCAGGATAATAACAGATTCTACAGCAGTAAGTCACCGCAGCACGAGTTGGACTCACCGAAACCAATAAGACTGAGCCAGCTGTCCTCTGGTAAATATCCGGACCAACATATTAATTTTAGTGTCGCCGTAGTTCCTTATCTGATTGAGACAGGACGCTTCGAAAAGACCGCCTTAGCGCAACTATCCTTCTGACAGATAAGAACTTTGCTTCTGGCAGTTCACCGCGAAAACGTACAAGAAAAAAATTCCCTTCGTATACCATATATGGTGATTATCATTCAAACTTTCGTTGACGTCGCGCAACGATAGAATAAGGTTTCGAGTGAAATTCCCATTTGGGAGCAAAGTAAGGCATTCCCCGAGGCGCTAAAACTCGTTGAATATTCTTCCACGGAAGCTCAATTTAATTATAAATGGAGCCAGTACGTTGGGAAGGGCGGGAAGGCGCGCGATCCCAGAAGGCTATGCTCTTGATCTTCAGGGCAATAGAGTCGCTTGGCCATCATGATGGCCCGGACAATGTAAAGTTGGCAGTGGCTGAAGAACCTATTGCCGGGTTCTCGAGTGGCGTAATCATTTTTCTCGAGACTTCGAACTGCGAAAAAATCGCATGACGGTAAGCACAGCCAGCCGCAATCCACTATGAATCCCTTCAACTGTGACGTTAGCAAAAGCCGCGATACTGCCATCGCAACCAGAACGTTCGGCGTCATAACTAGCTCATGATAATAGCAGCAGGTACATATAAATCCTAGAGGATAAAATGAAGCAAGAATCAGGAAGAAAGCTCAAGATCATGGCATCGTATCAGCTCCCAATCGGCTTCCCCACCTTCAAAGCCGTTGGTAAAAGCGTGCGGGGCTTCTTGTTTTGCATTACGATGCCAGATTGGCTCTCACCCAAATCCAACCCTATGCACACTACCAACTTAGAATAGACGAATGGGTTTGCCCATCGTACTCTTGATATGCAAAGACGAAACATTTTGCCAGTTCTTCTTGAGAAGCGAAACGAGGAAGTTGATGCCTAAGACAGCGTGAGAGGCTTGTTATCGTCGCATGACAGTAAAATTCATACTCATCATGACGTTCGCAAGAACCTGGTCATCAGTCATCTGGACATGTCCGACGGCAACACCCAAGCAAAGAACCTTCTTGAGCTGGAACTTAATCGTCGATCGGACTTCGTTGAGCTTGTTCGCTAGATCCTCAGCATGAGAGATAGGAGTAGGGAACTTTCCGGCTAGTCGATGGAGTTTAAGGCGTGAGATATTCCCGGACAAACGCTAATTGATTTCACCTTTAGAGAGACCAGGTCCAAGAAGACGAGGAATCTGCTTGATCAAGGCTTCAGAGGCCAAGAATGCGTCATACTTCTTGGCAAGTTTCTTGACGAGCTTCTTATTCTTGTTGAGTCTAGCGAAATTAGATCAGAAATGATATCATAACAAGCTTGGCATTGCTCACTTTTTTAAGTCGTCAACCGACTTGTACTCGAGTTCAATTTGCTTGGCACGATCAATGTCCGCAGCATCAGCAAGAATACAGATAGACATGCGCGGGCGAGGGACATTAGGCAGCCTAAGATATTGTCAATGACGACGTGTCACTCTCGAGGGCGGTACACACTTGACGGTACCAGAGAAACGCTTGTCCTTTTGAGTGTCGTAGTTCTTGAGACCAATTTGAAGTTCGATAGTTTCTACAAAGTTGCGTCTTTTCTCGCCATTGGCGTCAGCCAGAAGGTCCTTGACGGAGCCCCGCACGCTTGCCACTGATAGCTTACTATGTAATAGTTAGAGACGACGGAATCAAGATTTGGAAAACTTACGAGCTCATGCTTGGTGATAGGTTTTTTTGAGGGGGTGGGTCTTGAGGATGATATGAAACAATAAGGTTCAAGTGGCGGAATACATATACAGCGTGACATGCTTACGTAATGAAGGGTGAAGTGTGACGAGGTCGGCTGCATCTCCGTCCCGCGACCGTGAAGTCTCGGATCATTATTTGTGATGCTAGCAGCTATTATCAATACTCCATGTACGTGAACTATAGCTTGCAAAACTGCAGTATCTACGGCTATGCAAATATTGTGAGCTTTAGGCAAAACCAGACCGAAAGATCACTAACTCATTTTCACATTTTCAGGCACGTCAATCTACTTCAAGTTGTACGACATGATGTCGAGAACTGACAAGTCTAGCATTGCAGTGTGCACAGACGGAATCCGAACAAACCCTCCAGTAATTTACGGACTCGGAGGATAGCAGCCGACGTTGACGACGAATTGATCAGGCCTGGACACCGCAACTCAGGCCACTCAACATTAATCATGTCTAATATATCCGGCGTTCTGTTCGGTATCGCGCACTTTTATTAATTCACGGACATTTGCTATAAAATATGAAACTGTGTACTGACCTCTCTAACTCATCAAGCCATGCTTGCCATCGTTCTGCTGCTTGCTCTGCCATTCTGCACCGCAGAGTCAGCATCCAGTTACGCAGGATCAACCGTCGCTGATTCTTATCCTCCCTCCGGTGCCACTAACACTGCTGTTGACACTTACTTCCCGGATGCATCTCAAGTCGGTTATGCAGGTCCAACGCCTAGTCAGTGATAACTGATAATGTTGATTCGTGTTCTAATAATAATAAAATCAGGCGGTGCTGAACCTGCGGCCATCATCACTGCAGTCCCATTCTCTAAGGTCGAAGGCGTATTTCCCTTGTCGAGGCCTAATTCGGCAGACGGCGCAGACACTACTTTCAATGTGATGCATCAATGGGGCAACTTTGCGCCCATGTACTCCGTGGAGTCATTTGGTCTTCCTGATGCGTCCCCCGTCATCCCAGAAGGGTGTGGCATCAATGCAGTGCATCTCTTGATGCGCCACGGCGCCCGCTATCCAGCTTCCGACGAACCCGAACCTTCTCAGTTCGCCTCGAAAGTTCATGCTGCTGCATCGAAAAAAGGCTTCAGTGTCACTGGTGATTTGGAATTCTTGGCAACTTGGACATATAAGTTGGGCGTAAATGGCTTGACCCCTTACGGCCGTGAATCGCTGTACGTACGCTCTCCTTTACGATACTTCTACTGACGCTCACCTCCATCAGCTTTAGCCACGGGGTTGCCTTCCGCTACCGATATGGCAAGTTGCTTAATGCCTTCACCGACCTCCCGGTATTTCGTACTACTTCACAAGGTTTGCCTGCATCGAACGTTTGTTTCACAATACCCTCTGATGGTTTGCTTATGTCCTATAGATCGCATGTTGGATTCTGCGTGAGCAATTCATTCATATTTCTGCGTGCGCTGTGCCTAATAATGCTATGCGTAGCCTGAACTTTGCTGCAGGCTTTTTTGAGATCAGAACTTACGAGACCGACTATCACCAGGAGATCATCATCGAGGGGATCAACTTCAACAACACCCTCGCTCCTTTTCACGCGTGCCCCAATGCCAATTCCGATGATGTCGGTAGCTTCGGTGATATTCCGAGTGGTAAATGGGCGGATATTTATCTCCAAGATGCTCGAAAGCGCTTGCAACCAATGATCCAAGGACTTAATTTGACTATTGATCTATTGATTGATATGCAGGAACTGTGCGCCTTTGAGGTAGTCTCATCCTTCACGCGGTTTTTATGGATTCTGACATCCTGCAGACCGTGGCCCTCGGATATTCCAAATTTTGCGACCTTTTCACTGAGGAAGAATGGGAAGGATACGAGTATTACGTCGGTATGTTCCTCAAATGATCCTTGCTGAGCTCGGCACTGAACTCTTGCTTCAGATCTCAGTGAGCACATTGAGTGGTAAACTTGCAGCCTGAGTGACTAATGACTTGATTGTGAACAAAGATTTCTGGTACAGCTGTGGACCAGGCAATCCAACAGCAGCGGCGCAGGGCCTTGGCTATGTTCAGGAACTAGTGTCGCGTCTCACTCACACTCCTATCAATGTCTGGAACAGCAGCACCAACAGCACTCTTGACTCGAGCAACATCACATTCCCTCTTAATCAACCTATATACGTGGATTTTACCCACGATGTAGTCCTTGCAAGTGGTATGTTGCCACTTCCTTTCCATGGCAAGACTACTGACGGAAGGGCTCAGTCGCTACTGCTCTGAACTTTACTAGTCTAGCTGCATCTGGTCCTCTGCCAGCCGACCATATACCCCCTCACCGTGTACGCAGTCTCATAGACCACCGCTTGTCTGTATTTCTGACTAGCCACATCAGTCTTACATTTCTAGCCAGATTGCACCTTTTTCCGGCCAGCTTGTAGCTCAGGTGTTGAGTTGCCCAGCTTCAGAGGAACCAACTCATATCCGGTTCCTCCTGAACGATGGCGTGGTGCCACTGACGGGCATTCATGGTTGCACGGAAGATTCAAACGGTCTCTGCGCGCTGCCCAGCTTCATCAGCGGGATGCATGAACGAATTGGGCAGATCAACTTTGCGCATGATTGTTTCGCCAATTATACCATGCCTGATCCCGACCACATCATGGATGGAAGATGCCCTAGTTAAATGGATGGTGGAGTGTGGTCGTATAAACCCACAAGTTGCCACCTTTGGAGAGTGTTAATGATGTCGGAACAAGGTAAAGGACGCGCATTTTGTACTCGACGAGCAGGTTTCGTTGTTGCATATGATGTGCTGTGTGACCGCATTTATATAGAGGGCACTGATCAGAATGGTGTATAATATTAGTAACAGTACATGCGTGCGGTGTAGAGGTTCATATGGCGTTATATATTTATTATTTGCGCGCTGCACGTTTTCTCAATCGAGAGCTTGCGTGTTTTCACAGATTGACAGTTTTGTCCATACACTGATTGTCCTCCAAGTTGGTTGCAATCTCATGACCTTCCGAGTCTGTTCCTGCTGTGCATTCATGTTCGAAATCTGGGTCAACTGGCTACTAGGTCTTTCGCAAATCTATAAAGTAAGGGAGAGAGGTTGCGGGAGGGTATTTACTCGTCGTACGACACGATGTCGAGACCTGACAATGCGGATCCGAACAGACCCCCGGAGGATGCGGCATGCCGGTCGGAGGCTGCCGGAAATACGAATTCCCAGACTGTCTGGACAATCGGACATATCGAGCGCCTTCGGTGTCGACTAGCACAACAATTTCACAGGGCGCGCTCACAAGCAATATGCTCTCTGTCCGTTCCTTCTAACCATCAACGTTAAATATTCAATCACTTATCTCTTTATTTATTTCTTTTCCTTTGTTGTATACCTAATCATTGTGGTACGTGTCTTCTTTTCCTGCTACAGCTATTCTGACCGAGTCATATCTCCATTCCAAAGACATGACAGAACCTTGGGCTTCCCAGGGCGGGACGCCGCTGTAAGCCATGTTTCTCTTTGTGGTAAAGCAAAGTACTAAGAAAAATAAAGATATGATACCCCTGAATCTGATCTAGCATCTCTTTCACCTCGGACTGCCCTGCTATCGCCTCCCTACGAGAGCGCCGAGCTAACCAGACCGCGCCGTATCAACGGCGTTCCCAACAACAAATTCCGTCACGAGCGGGAGCGTGTTCACGCGGCTGCGAGCGCTCGTGACCTCTTACGACTCTTAGTAAACGAGGAGTACGAGGCGAAGCAGACTCGCAAAGTGCTCTATACTGCATTGGACAGGTTGGACGCCGAAAGTCGTCGTGCTGAAGAAGCAGAAACCCAGCTAACAGAGGCTTTGGAACGGACGCGGTCTATCAACGAGGCTCGCGTTGCTGCCCAGCAAGAGGCAGCTCGGGCGCAGGAGGAACTGAGGCTCTACAAGCTGCAACTCGATAACGCGCAGAGAGAAATTCTCAGAGCCCAAGATATACTGGGAGTCATTGAAGCCCAGAGGGATGACGCGGAGGCTGCCGCTGCTGACGCGCGCTCAAAGGCCCGAAAATTGAATGAAGAGCGCTTGATTGAGCTCGCAAGGGAGGAGGGTCGCAGGCTCGGGTATGAAGAAGGTATTCGACGCGGTCGTAATATGGGTTACCGAGAAGGGCGTGTCGTTGTTATTGATGACGGTCGGTCTCCAATGCGAGAAGCCGCTGCCGCTACCCTCTCCGACTTACGGGAAGAAGTAGAGGTAGCTCCTGTAGTTCTACCTCCTCAGCCTGCACCAGCCATACCCATGCCAGAAAGCCGAACCGCACCAGAAGTCCTTCGTGTTCCAACACCTGCATCATCTTCACTTGATGGCCGTCGTGACTCTCGTTCTCGTCGTGATTCCGAATCTGATTCGGCCAGTCGAATGAGCATGCGCGCTCCTGACCCCATAGTAATGCCTGTCATGGTTGAACACCCGCGACTTAGGACAGACCCCTCCATTACCAGTCAATCTTCTCGTTCGCATTCACAGCCCCAACCTTGGCCCATGTCAGATCGTTCTTCAGCTCGGTCACCCTCAATCAAACCAATCTCGGTGCTAAACTCTGCACCTAGTGTTCAGCACTCAGAGTTCCAAATCCCACCGGACGGCTACATACCAACCCTGGACAAGGACCAGCGTATCGTTCTTCCTCCCCCGCATGAACTTATCCGCAATATCTCTTCGCCGACACCGTCACAACCTGTCGCTGGTCCGTCCTCAGATTCTGTCAGAACGTTCGACTATGCTCGCCGTGCCTCTCCGGAGTCACAAGCATCAACGAAGATGTCTATGTCTCAATCCTCCACCATATCAGCGCTTGAAATCATCGGCCTGCCTAATATGACGAGCCGCGACAAACGTCGAGAGCGCAACGGTCTGAGTATCATCCATGAAGATGGAAGCATCGCAGCCGATCATGAAACCGTGACTGGATCTGATGCAGGACACCATTACAATCGCAGCGAAAGACGCAATGAAAGAGACACAGACAGTGAAGCTACCAAGCACTCACGCAGAGACCTATCAAAGCAGAGGCTTGCTGACGAGCTAAGATGGTCTAACCCAGGCGAGGCTGAGGAATGGCGTCGATATGGCGCAGAAAAGGTTTGCTTTCATACTACATGAAACGCAGTTTGATTTGACGAGCGACACAGACTCGCACGCAAAGTTCTAATGGTCCCCCCCGTCCTCGCCCAACGAACGTGACAATGCCCAACCCGCTTTCTCCTCTAAATTCGGATGACACTAACACACCTCTGCCTCGACATCAGCAACATTCAAGGACAGCATCCACTCCTAGTCAACGAGGATCGAATAGATATGATCACCGAAGGGTCGTATCGTCAGACAGCTCTGTCCCTGAAATAACCATCGAGCCCCCGGTAAGTGTCATTACTCTACCCTAGATAAATGCTAAAGCTAAGCCTTGACAGTCCCGCCCTCCCTCTGACGCTCCATCGAGACGTGCGTCCATATCTGGACTACTCAGTCCCGATCATGCCAACCACCCGCTCCCTGTGCCTGTGCCTGTTCCGCAACGCGCCCCACTTGTTCCTACAGTTCCTAACACTCCCGTTTCAGCGCCTGTCTCGTTGGTAGGGTCCATGTATGACATAGGACAGCTGCCAACCGGTGCACCGCCTCCAGGGGGTCCTGTCATCCCGTATATGAACGAGAGAGAAGCACCCTCGCAACGTAGTTCGCTTTACGCAGCCGCCCAGCCTGAGGGCAGGCGGTCACAGACCCCTCAATCTTACGTGGCCTCCCCAGTCCCCACTGGTGTTTCCTACCCCGCACCGCCTATTTCCAGGCAACCGACGCCAAACGGCTCCGTGCAGCGTGCAGGCAGTTCCTCGACGCATGAACGCCGGCCGAGTCTAAGCCAGATGGCGGGAATTACGCCTGGCGCACATCCGCGGTCTCTACAACCAAGTGGCGGCGAGACTTCGCGTTCGTCCCACAGACAACGATCAAACGCGTCAAGTAGCTCGCACCAGTCGTTCTCGCATTATGACCCAGGCGTGTACAATGACCCTGCGTATTTCGCGAGTAGCGAGTCATTGGTTTCTCGGACGGACGCGAATACGGCTGCGAATGGGGGTGGGCCGAGGAGGACCTCGTAGATGCCCTTACGTTCCCTCCATTTTGACATGGGAATACTCGAACGACTTGGATGATTTTGTGTCGCTCGAACTGTCTTTCTTGTTGAATCTTGAGCATGATATCTATTGTATCGCGAATCACTAACACCGAGTAATCAACTAACTAGTAGGTCTGCATATCCACCGCTGTTGTCTTCACCATTGCATTTCAATATGAATCAATTATATCACCATCAGGACGTCCGAGGATCGTGTCCCTGAATTAACAGACTGCTTGTCTTCATTTACCTCTACTTTTTTGAATGAATCAAAAAAATGGAGCGCCCGCAATGGAACTACAAGGGAAACTCCAGGCCAGGCCTCTATAGCGGGCATCTATCGACTCGAGCCAGGACTCCTGCCACTGCGCCGGGACCCTTGGCGCTCCCGAGGACCTGCGTCAGACCATTCACCCTACACCATCTTTCGACAGTCCACCACTTACTTTATGCCCTACGCAGCCTTTGTTTACGGAATGGTTCGTATACCCCCAAACGTAGGTGCTCGGCTAGCTGGCTCTACGTAGACTCAATACTGGATTTAGTTACAGCATTTCCCCGCGAGCAGCTCTTTCATGCTGGCCACGATAAAAGAAGCATTTACAGATGTACCATCATACGCAGACGACAGCCACCAGTTCAGTCACTGAGTACTGAGTTCCAGCGGACAACAAAAGTTCGTACTTCTCCACAGGGGTATGGTCAATTTATGTAATGATCAGGCTTAGGGGCGTGCGATTTAACCACACTCTTCCATCAATAACCACATCAGCGAAAATGGACTCGGACGCCTCATCAGTTTCCTCGAACTCAGAGCCAGAGCATGAGCTCTCCGTCTTCGAGCGCATCAGGGAACATCTCGATTCTTTTTCCTACTCTGATGTAGCATATGAAGTGAAAAGAGAGACCAAGCTCACACGTGCGCTCGACAACCTTGCCTGCAGTCCGTTCGTGTCCTTCAAGAGCCAGGTAGAGACAACCACATGTAAGCTGCTCGTCAAGGGAGAAGACGCGGGGACGTGGATGAACCCTGACGTCAGCGTATTACAAAAGCACGCCACCCCTTCGCCGTTCGGCAGGGGAGCAGAAACTGTCTTGGACCCAACTTACAGGAACGGAACAGAGCTCAAAGCATACCAGCTCGCTTTCAGTTTGCAGGGGGAGGGAACACAATATAGACAGTTTGTGAGCGAAGTCGAGGATAAACTTCGGACCACCATGTTCGTCGGGAGAAACGTTTTCCTCAAGTTATACAAGCTCGCCATATACGGCGAAGGAGGCCATTTCGACTGGCATCGTGACTCGACGCATAGCGATGCTCACCATGGAACAGTGCTCGTCGCACTTAACACAGAATGGGAGGGGGGAGAGCTTATGTTGAGGCATCAAGGCGTCGAGACAATCGTCAACATGCATCCAACAAAGCATAGCGAGGAGCTCCAGCCAGTTGTGGTCGCATTCTACACAGACACAGAGCACAAAGTCATGCCCGTGACCAAGGGCACACGTCTGGTGCTCCAGTATGACGTCGAACTCGCCGAGCAAGTACCTCGATCTTGGATTCAACTACCTAGTTACACTCCCATGCAACAGGCTTTTCTTCGTCACCAGTACGTTGCATCCCACATCAACACTTATCCCAACTTGGACCAGAAGTTGGTGCAGGCTGTCATTGATGAAATCAGAGAATTGCACAACGAAGGGATTATTGTCGTCGCTTTCCCGCTCCCTCATCTCTACCGCAAGGCAAGCGTGAAGAAGAAATACCTCAAGGGAACCGACTCGGCGCTTTTTGATGCCCTCGAGAATCATTTCAACGTCGTCCTCCATCCTGTTCTTATCCGCGCCAACGAAGATGGCGATCATTTCGACTGTGTGGAGCGGTTCTTTGCACACAAGTATCAACCGTCTGAGGAGAATGAAGAAGAGCCTTCTTCGAGTCGTGCTAAGAGACAGTGGGGCAGAGTTTTCAAGAACGCTTCGTTCTATCTTCCACGGGCCTGTGCAATTCTGCAGCTTTCGTTGCCAAACGGGGCGCACTATGGTAATGATACAGATGTCAGTGGGGAGGCAAGGTATTACGGCGCTGGCATGTTTGTGGAACCCAAGCGCGAAGAGTAATGGTATTCAGGGGATCCAGTTTCAGTATAAAGAGAAATCCGCGTTTAAATCAGGACTGTTCGAAAAGGAGAAGTGTACTAGTACTAGCAGCTTTTGAAAGCAACTGTTCAAAATACATAGTATACCTTGACATCAACACGGCATATTCATCTAGTAAGTGACAAGTCGTTCTTGGATATCCGCGTTCTTGGGCGCGCGAGAATGCACGAGTCGACCTCAGTTTCGCAAGATACGTATTTGTGCAAGTACGTTCCTTGATGCGCGACCTTACAATGATAGGAGTAGCCAATCGGTTCGACGTGATCAAAAGTGAGGACAACCCTCCTGAAATTGACTAAAGTAACTCGACTGTCAGGCTCGTGCGAGGTTCTGTATTGCGAGAACTGGTTCAAAATGCAGGAATTCATGATATCTGGAGTTGTATAAGTAGTGTCCGAGGTCATGCTAAGCTTAGGATCGTCGACGCTCGTTAGTACAGTCGGGGATCGTTGGTAGGGCATAACGTTCCATAGTTCAAACCGAAGACTCATGGACGCCAGGAGTATGAGCACGAACATCTTAGATGAAGACTTGGTATTGAATTTTGTGAGATGATAATCTAGCGGTGCATTTGTGAGTTTGGAGTTCTCGTTAGGAAATCAGTAGTATGACGGGACAGGACAGACCTTAAGATCAGATGTGCACATGAACAACCCTTTAGGGCTCTGTGAATGGTACAGTCCGCCATAGTCCACAGTCATGGTCGGGGTATTTGCATTTAGTTTGTTGATAGAGAAGCTGCACGGCTTGCTGAGATTCATCTCGCAGCCGCCGAAGATGTTGCGACTGTGAATGTGGGTAATGGGTAGGCGGAGTAATTCCGGGTGAGCGACATAATCCTGGAGGGGGGAACACACCAGCCTGAGTGTGGTAGAACTGGCCTGGATCCCAATGCGAACGTGGAGACTCGACTTGAATATTAATGTTGGAATACCAACTTCTACCTCTTTCCCTCAGTCCAACTCCATCGTCGAGATTCGACATGCTCGCGTTGAAGGAAATTCTCGGCAATGTTCGCATCTGAATCCCAAAACATATCATTGGACATACTGGGGAACTCATCGACACCCGGTCCCACTGCTAATCGCGTCAGCAATAACCACGCGGGCCTACCCAGAGTGGCAACTTACCTGAGAGTATCCACGAGGATTCGTCAAGAATAGTGAATGCAGATTAAATGCGCTTGCCTCCGTCCCTGATGCCACAGTTTGCCTTACTATTGTAGGAACGACATGGCCTGGATGAGCGAATGAAAACGATAGGGAGTTGGGTGGACGTCTATCGAAGCACTTGGGCTACATAATTGGCGGCTGCGCAGCCATATCGATACTCAGCATATTGGCGGAATCTGGATGAGTGAGAGGATATGGGGTTCAACTATTGGCAGTACTACATTCAGAGTTACCGCACAACCAGAAAAAAGTGAGACCCCATATTGTCGCCGTGTAGGTATATGCAGACATGGTAGTAAATATGCTCCCCTCAGACTTAGTTTGGAAGACTGAGTGGAAACAATATCGTACTGGGAGTAGAAAGGTAGAGTGACGTGAGCAGAAACGGGTATTGTGGATATAAAATAGATATATAGAACAGATGAACCGTGATGCCGACCACATTGTATCATCACGAACCCTCTTTTGTCCTAAGTACGAAAAACAATGAGTCACCATTTGGGACAGCGATAGAAATGAACAGGCAGACTGTACCTCTATGGTTACTCCACGATCCAATCCTAGTCGCCATCGCTCTGATCGCCGTTGCTATTGGAAGTATTAGAAGGGTTGCTGGTGTTGCTAACGTCGGGGGCCCGAACGCTCAAATAGTCAGCGTCACTACTGGCAGAATTGCTGGAGTGACTAGTATTGTCGTCGGGAGCCCGAACGCTCAAGTACTCGACGTTGGTATTAGCAGTGTTGCTGGAGTGACTGGAGTGACTGGGGTCGTTAGAATTACCAGAAGTGGTGGAAGGACCGGTGGAAGGAGTGTTGGAAGGAATGCTGGAGCGACTATCGTCAGGGGCCCGAGTGTTCAAGTAGTAAACGTCGCTGTTGGGAGGGCCGCCGGGCACGCTAGGTTGACTAACATCGTTGGGGGACCTAGTGTCCAAATAACCAACGAGGTTAGAACCAAGCCCCCCACGCTTAGCCAAAGCTGCATTGCATATCAATTCCACACCCATCAACTAGAGTTCGGTATAAGTTCTTACAAGAAAGCTCCATCACCGATGGTGTGGGATATGCTGCCGCAATAACGATAAAGGAAAGGAGTGTCTTGAAGACAAGCGAGGGCTGCATGACTGTAATTGAGAGGGATGGTCATTAGACGTCAGAGAGTTGCGAAGTTTTTATACCTTCGACCACATACAGACGTATCGTAAGAGCCCAGGTCAAAATATTGCGACGATAATCATGGTTCCGAGTAGTCAGAAGTTCTTTTATGTTATAATTTCGGTCTGGCCTCCAGTGGCTGGTATGAACTTCAAGTTCCTTCTCTTGCTGTAACGATTGCTTCGACTAGGTTCTGACGGGAAAACACAACAGCCTGATCAGATATGACAACGAACCAGCGGGTAGACTCAAAATGGTTACATCTCATCATGGGCATCCCTAGTGAAGTTGGGTTAGGTCACGAATAGGGATGGTACGAACCTCAAGCTCCGGAACTTCCAGGTGCTCTCGTTGAAGATGGTACTGGATGAAAAAGTCCAACATTAGGATCTGTCATACACTCTCGTAATGTTCGAACTCGAAGGTGAGTGGCACTTATTAGTAGCTTCGTTTATCTGAAGTTGCAAGAAGAAAAAATAAGTTCACAAATCACGTTAGGGTGCTTCATATGATGCAAAATACCCATAATGCGACCCATGCGATATCAAATACGGATGCATCAAAAGCGTCGAGGAAAATCCGAACGTTGGAGAAGGGCATGGTTCATGATCATTTTGATGGCTCTGCCAGCCTTCAACAACGTAGAAGGTATGCATAGTGGCGAGATATACTGGCTTATCGGGATCGAATCTGCTACATAGTCGTTAGCTGTCGTCTCTGCGACTTTGACAATCAAGATACAGAGGCACGAAGAAGTTCAGGTGCTGGCATGCGGCGATGTACGAGTTTCAAGATTACCAGAAAATTGGTAAACCAGAAGTAAGGCAGCGCCGTAACTTTCGAGCATTTTGGGTTCTATGTCATAGAACGGTTGAGAATCAGATGAATGATATCGGCGTCAAAAGTACTCTGATAAATTAGTGTTGGTCTTCAAAAATGACATACCTTCTCGTGCCGTATCATTTCACACTCCGCCCTCGGCTGGACTCGGCCGTTACAGTGAGTAAATCGCTAAACTCTCACTTGCACTGACTAGCTAGCGGCCATCCAGAACGACGAATCAATTCTCAGAATCTCCGGCGCCCTGTGTTGGCCGGTGACAGCCTTGATGGTCTCGAAACACTACTTTAAATGTCAAGATCGAAGACACTGAGGTTCATTCGGAGTATTAGAAGACCATCTCCAATACTTTCCGATTTATGCGCTCGCAAAAGCGGCATTGACCGTGCAAATGGTGTGAAAATTCTCTGCAGTCCCAAATGCATCATAAATGATGTATTATCTACCATTTTGTGAGCCTATAAATGTTAAAACGAGCTACTCTTTGAGTGTGATCTCCAGCTTTGCATGTAGTGTGTTATCGCAGTCTGCATCTGTGGAATTGCTACAATAAAACAGTCAGTTGAATTCGTCAAAGGAGAAGAGTGGCAAAATATGTCGCTTGCTGTATCACTGTTGCAAGACAAGAACCGAGTTGAGGAAGCAAAAGACTTACTCGTACGTCACCCACTGATCATTCAACCACCAACTTATGTTGACACAAGGCTTGCCGTTTACTACATCGCCGATGTATCTGCATAGCCAATGGAGGAACAACGAATAGTCGCATGGGAATCGTAAATGTATCAGTACCTCAGATTCGAATGTGTCAAGGCAGATTTGAACTTACTCTTTCGACACGAGTGTTTCCGTGAATTGTGTTTCCGTGAATTGTGTTCCTGCCCCCTTGAACACCCTTTTAGTCGGTGTCTCACGGCCGGGTTCCCCGTTTCCTGTTTCTAACAGAAGTGAAGGACGTGGAGAAGCTGGAAGACTAGGGGAAGAGAGACCAAGGCCAGCGGCCCATCTCCCCTTTTTCCCCACAAAAAAGCGGAACCACCATATACGTCCTGCAGGAGGTGGCTGAGCGTAAGGAACAAACCAAAAAAATGTAAATCTATACCTCGTGCAACAAAATCATAATTTAATTCTTGTGTAGCGCGTAGACGTTTCTGGAACATCCTGATACGGAAGGAAGCAACGAACTGGTGGTCGTCCGGTTCTCCACCATGATGTACTTGAATCTCATCTGGTGGACAACCCAGAAATCGTCTTAAAGACTCGTCCTTGGCTGAGGAGTGCATTATACATCAATACAAACATTCTCGATTGGGCATTGCAAAGGACTTACTATTAGTATTTTGGAAATTCAGCTGCGAGAATGATGCTTGGTCGCTAGTTTGCATGCACGCAAGACGTAGGTCTGAAGAGCATTTGGATGAAAAATTAGAAATGAATCCAATAAACGCCGAGGATACTTCTCGTCGGCGATTCACAATTGCCCAATATAGCGCCGTGTGACCCTCGATATTGGGTGTTTGCAGAAGGTCGGAGAGCTCTGCAACTGTGAGATCATGAACACATGCATTGATAATCGATTCAATGGAGGAAGGGGTGACATCTGTGGCGGAGACAAGATCACGAATGCGAGATAGAACGGTGGCACGTCTCTGCCTGACTGATAGAAAGGAGAATATAGATGGTTGTCTGCATTTGACTCGGATGTTAGAAATTGTGTCGTACGGGGGAGGTGAGCTAGCAATGGACTTGCTATCATCGATGACTTCGGATTTCGTAGCCATCATGGCGGGGTGAGTGATGCGAAGGGGGTGTTTCGTTGAGGTAATACAACAGAATAGGGGCGTCGTGCCAAGCATCCCACGGGACTCCTGTTGGTTGTATCAAATGCGTGTGCTTTAGAGTACATCCATTGCACAGTACTTTGTGGTCCGAGGCACAGTCGTTAGGAACGGTCATCTTCCACGGGCCTCCGGTTCCGGCGTAAAGGGTGCATGTTGATAATGAGTCAGAATATCGGTTGAGTCAGTATTTTGGCATAGTACGAGGCGTGTTCGTGAGCCAACTTGCAAAGAGTGATTCGGACGACAAATGTGACGAGCGGCGCGGGAGAGAGACACCACAAAGTAGCCTGGCCCGGGGTCCGAGGAAGCGATAGAATGAATTCAAAAATAATATTTGTAATTTATAATTACATACATCATTATGTCCAACCTGTTCTACTACATGCAACTTCAAGTTGCGTCCTTCCATCACAACGTCGACAGTCCCAGCGTTTTTTGAGTACGTACTTGCCCTTGAAGACTCGGTTTCACTGGCCTGTGGGACGCCTCATTGCCGGTCTTCTGCCAGAGGAAGTATTAATGGTGAAGCGAGGGAGGGAGGACCAGGATCCTGATGATGGTCAGCACGAAATTCCAACACACGCGTTGTACGGTCACGGTTCTCACATCATTTTTAGAGCAGATACCAACTCACCGGACGAAAATTCCCAAGCAGATTGATCGACCTTTATCGATATCTTCCGTTAACGTTGGAATTAGCAGCGCTGTTGAAAAAGATACCCAAAGTGAACTTGCAGATCCTCGTTCAAACGCTTTATGTCCAGCACTACCCGATGCCAGCGAAGATACTATCAACTCTTTGCTTGACCTAACTTCGTTATGCTCTCAGGATGACATATCGGCTCGTTTTGACTCGATTTCAAGCGCTTTATTATCCCAATATTATCTTTCAGTCATTCATGGCAGTTCTCAGACGGACTATGAGATCCTTGAACTAGAATTTTACCTCCAGAAATCAGGCTGTCACGAGGACCCATTCACTCATGGAAGTGCAGAGCAAGAGCACAGCGGGCAGTGGTGAGAATTGACTCTTGAGTTTTCGTATAAGAAATAGTTCAAATTGGCTCTCACAGGTATTTTCATCGTGCACCGAAACGCTCAAACTCGTCGCAAGCCAATCTTGTTGCAACTGTAGCAGGAGGCTATCGGGGTGGTACACGTAAAGGCCTTGATTTAACATTTGGTGGCCCGGCGTGCACGCAAACGTCTTCTAGCGCGGAGGTTCGCACCACATCGGGAACATTGCGAGGTGGTGCTCTTCTGCGCACCATACGTCGATTTCACGACCAAAAGGTCATCTCAGGGCCCTCACTCCTCGTCGATGAGATTCTGCGCGTATGCAATGCTTCGAACATCAGCGAGCTTGTGTCTGTTAAATGGCAAGGGGACATCGCTGCCCTTTCGGCCCCGAGCCAACCGAGGAGCGTTTATATGTACTTGCGCAAGCGACCTGCATCGAGCCTTGCGGCCTCGCCCGTGTTCCGTTCTCCACGCATTGGACTTGATCTTTCTAACCCGGAAACCAAAGCCAGCCCCACACATCCACGAGTTATCTTCGTCGGCAAACTGTATCGGTACTTCACTTATCCAGAGCTCCTCGTTGTCAACGGGCGCCCTCAAACGTTCATAGGACTATACGTGGCCCTTGTTGAAGGAAAGAAGTATGAGCCTGGCTCACTCAGGTTTCGCAACGAATTGAGTAAGCTGACGGGAATCAAGGACACAACTGTTGCCAAGTATTTATCAGACTATCAGCTAGGATTCGAGAAAGGGAAGTTGGCGAACTTTGTCGGGGCTATTGGAAAAGGTGCCTCGGCGTCGGCGTCTGTATATCTTAAGATGATGGGCACGCTCGCAAAGATGCTCCACGAGGCTCCATGAAATGACCGTATGTATTCAAGTATCTGTAAGTTTCACCTCGAGTCCTGCTCTGGTGCTACAGCTCAAATTTTTATATCTTAGATGATACGAATATGCTTTTGAATGGGCTCCGGTCACGTTCAAAACAACATGCTCATCTGGGAAGAAATATCAGCATCGATAGTGAGGAATGTGACGACATCTACCTTCGGAAATAGCGTTGAAAACAATCCCGACAAGGCAAATGATACGGCAGCTTTCTTTCCACCGACATGCTCGTGCATGTTATTGCTGGTTCCTGGCCACGCCGTCCAGCAGCATCCCAGTGCTTCCAGACTCGCTCTTTTCCTTTCCTCTTCTCGCATTTGGAGACTTGAGTCTTAACAGGCCCAGCCATGCGCTTGCATGGGCAAACATAGACGTATTGGGACTCTATGATTTCGCACATGACAAGGATAGTGGCGTGTTTGGGTGAGCACTGAAGGATAAGTTCTTTCACCTATGTTTGTGGTGGCGTGGTGATCGTGTTGTACTTATACCTCGAACTGGCGTGCATGCCATGCCACAAGACCCACTGGCCTTCAATGGAGGTGTGCGTAGGAGTCATCGCAGAAAATATGCATTGGCCTGGACCGTCCACACTGGCACGTCGCATTGTGCTTATTCATCAGTGGCTCGCTGCCAGATTGTAGTGCAATGCAAACCATTCCCATCTCGATGAGACATGGCCATGGCCTCCTGGGCCCATGTCTCATATGCATTTCCAATTGAGTTTACAATGCGAATATTTGTAAAGTTTCGAACACAAATCATGCCCATAAATACACCTGTCCCCTTCTTCACGAGTGCTGCTATACGCGGTATCTGTGAAGCGGTCATGAGTACGAGGTCAACCAGTCAAATTAAAATCTCCTTACATCAACAATATGCACAGCCAGGCAACCAAACTGAAGGACCGCGCCTCTGCGTTCCAGTTACCTTGCACAACGCCTTCCAGTCCTTGACATGCTCGACCGAGCCCTTTTGTCGAGCTCTCTCGATGTTTTTCTGCCATGAGCACACCTCGTCGACGTATCTATCATTTGAAGTCACGATCCGGCATTCGGTACAGTAGGTGAGCGACCATGAGGTTTTGCACATTATACTTGCGAAGACGGAGTAAAACGATGGTGAGATGGGATGGAGAAGCTCGTCAAGAACGTTCGCCTTTTTATACTCCTATGTTGTGGAAGCCTGTGTAGTGGATCATACCAATGATGGCGCTTCCAGGCTCTTTGCCACAAGATGCCCACAGCGCATGTTTTGCCATGGCCTGCGGATGGCGTAAAGGAAAGCTTTGGCGCCTCCAACATACTGAAAACAGTCGATCACGCCAACGACTGACATTGCTCGGACACAAGAGGTAATGATGTTCCGGAGGCTTGAAGCCTAGCTTCAATTGAGTAGTCAATAAATATGTGTAGCTGCGTGAGATAGCCAAGTTCGCCACCCAGGGGTTACCGTGACAGCAGCTTCCTCCTCATCTTTTCCTTCATGATCTCGGATCATTGCACCTTCTCCAGGTTTCCAAACAGCATCAGTTTGTAAGTCTACCTCAAGCAACGGCACGAAATGCTGCCGGATTCCAAGTCCGTATCGCTCGTAGATGGCGTAGCCGAGGTATAGGACAACGTAAAGGGCAACGCCGATGTATGTGGCGACGACGTTCTGGCGTGAATGCGGTGAGATGAAGGCTGTAACAACAAAGGGTGGCGCATACCTCGGCTTGCAATGGCTGTTCTTTGACCGCCGAATATCCTTCCGCGATGAACATCAGTAAGGCTAGTATGACAACTCCAGCAGGCAACAACGGGAATAAAGGCTGGGTATAAGGCAAATCCAACAACGAGCGCCCCTGAGCTCGATATGCCGCACGAAAACGCAGAGAAATGAGACCTATCGAGCACCACACAAGCAAAGCTGATATTCCTGTGAGATTGAGCAACCAAGTGAACACGAGCCCCTCCCCCCAAATTGTCGTAAGGAACGTCACGAATGATACTGCAAGCGCCATGCTACATCAAAAATATTGTCAACGTTGCATTCTACGGCCATAAAGCGGTAGTGCAAACTCACATGAGCGCAGGCACAGGAACGCCTCGACCATCTACCCAGCCAAAGATGCGAGGGGCTTGACCAGATCTGGCTAATGAGAGAAGCATGCGTGAACTCGCGTAGAAACACGAATTTGTAGCGGATAAAACCGCGGTCAAGAGGACAGCATTCACGACGTGTTCAGCAGCACCGAACCCAGCACGCTGGAACACCACAGTCAGTGGCGAGGCTGTCACGTCCGACTCTGATGGCAAATCGAAGAGATGAGTGGTGGATTCCGCTCCAGATTCATCACTCACCGTCTGCTGCACGGAGTAGGGTAGGGTCTTGCCAGTTAATGCAAAGTCCAATGGTTAGGATGGTCAAGATGTAGAAGAGGACTATCCGGAGGAAAGTAGCCTTGATAGCCCGAGGGACAGTTTTATGAGGTCGAACAGACTCTCCCGCGGCAACTGCCACCAGTTCAACACCGCCGAAAGAGTAAAAGGCGTAAACGAAAGTCTGAGCAAAATTTTGGAAGCCACCGATGAAAGCTTGGCCCTTCTGAAAATTCGACAAACCCTTCAAGAGGATATCAGTAGCCATACTGCTGACGAACGCCGTGCATTGCTTACGGGTCCAGGATGTCCTTTTATTCCACCCCAGTCGTAGATGAGCCCGACAAAGATGAAAACTATGATCATAAGGACCTTGACGAGAGCAAACCAGTACTCGGACTCTCCTGTTGAAGTTCAGTGTTAGGACAGCTAGCACACATGCTCACCAACTACGCACCGTAAGCTCGAACATGGATCAGTTGAAGTAAGAAAACAGGGACAATAATGACGAGGGCCCATTCCCAGGCTTGGACTTGCGGCGCCCAAAACTGATTAAACGTCCTATCAGCAATTTCCGGGAAATGGTAAGTAATAAACCAACTTACCTGTAGGATGATCGCAGCAGCAGTCAGCTCGCTGGCTAAAAACCACGACAAACGAGTAAGTCAATCACCTCTTCAAAATAACGAAATAGGACAGAAGTGATACTCACGTATTGAAAGACTCCTGAACAAAAATGGATGCATAACGTCAGAATGGTCAATGAACCTGCAATTTATCTTAGAAGTAGAAGTACCACTGAAACCAGTAATTCCATCCTGTTCGCAGAAATCCTCCAGTCAGCACGAGGAGACATCAAGGTGGAAGTACAGTACCCAACGTAAATCCTAGCGCGGGAGAGACGAATCTACTACCAAAGACGGAGAAAGCACCTGATACAGGGAACATGGCAGACATTTCGCCCCTTCAATTTTTTTCATTCAGTCCGAATATGATGATGTGATGTTGAAAACATACAAAGCGATCACGACGCTGTACACAAACATCCCAACAACAACATACGAGAGCAGAGCACTTCCTGGCCCGGCCAAAGCGATAGCCTTGGCAAAAGAGTTAAAGTAGCAACAAAAGGACGCGCTCACATAAGAACAAAGCACTCACAGATCCAGCGCTCAAGAAAATACCCGTCCCGATGGTCCCTCCGATTGCTACGTAGATTCCAGAAAGACTTTCAGTACATGACCATTGCTTCAAACGAATACTCACCGATCATCATCAGGTGCCTGCTTTGCATTGCCCTCTTTGTTTCATTCTCAGCAGGCGCGTTGCTGGACCCAACAATGAACCTCTTCCAACCACTGCTAGGCAAGGCCTTAGATGCAACTTCATCATCCACTGGAGCCTCGTCTGGAAGTTTTGCATCTTTTTCAATGTCGCTCATCGCAAAACGTCTCGGAGCTGTTGACTTGCTTCTAGTAGGTACTAGTCGACGAATTTCAGTGGAACTATTAGACACTACCTGGATTGATATAACGCCGATAAAGAGTCTTGTGCGGTCTTGGTGGTCTTGCGTGTCGAGTGGTGAAATTGAACAGATTCCAAGATCTCAAGTAGCACTCCAGAATCAGACTAGTGTCACATATATAGAGCGCTCAAGGATAGAGCAGTGTAAGGATGGATCATGGCGCTACCGAACAGCCCCCGTACGGCGTACGGGACGGCGTCCGATATCTGTTCCATTACGGCTGATTGCAAAATTAAGCGATCAGCTGCAGTAGTGACTCCGAATTTGCAGTGCGATTTCTGTCAAACTCACAACTACGCTCATCACATATAGCTACTCGACATATGTCACTGCATCAGCCGACTCTGCTTTCTATTTTCTTCCCGTTCTCGCATCTACCCATATCTACTGTCTCGTCACTTGACCTAAATACAGTTGATAGTAGTGTGTTTTGAACCTGACTTTGCGAACCATTCTTCTCTATTGCGCCGTCGCCTTCGAGCCTTACATACCATGTCAGGTTAGTATCCCGAGAGCACAGAAAGCACAGCTTCGGATACCAATTACAACGCGTAGTAAAATCACCTTTTAATTATATATCGATTTACAAGTTTGCACGCTGGGCTTGGCCTTGGAACATAAGCCGTTTGATGCATAAGGAATCTTCAAGGATTAATTATGATGTTGCTTGATGTTGGATACGGGAGTGGGACGACTATTAACGTGCTCCTCTCCGAGGCAGTCGGTTCTAAGTGGACAATATAGTGACAGAAAACGCTGGAATGGTAGTTTAAAGACCACTTTCCTAATATTCGGCCAGGACTTCGGGCACTAAACCTGGACAATGAAGTTAACTCAAGTTGCTAAAGTATGATATATTCATCACCTACTCCTGATGTAAAGCGGCGAATTATGCATCATGTTCTACGAGGCCACGAAGTTGAGTCCATCGGAGTCTGGGGTTACCATTCCACAAACAAAGTCAGATAGGACATCACTCCACACTAGTATCAGATGCCAAAACTAGAGACACAAAGTGGGTATTGATCTACATACATGGGGCCAGCCGAATACCATAGTAATACGATTGCATAGCATCGTGAAAACCAAGAGTGTATCCACACTACTACAACGAAAGCAGGTTCGACGAGGGTTTCGCAGGGTAGCCAGCCCACGTTGAGGAATATTAGCCGATTATAAGAGCTCTATTGACTAATGTAGGAATAGGAAAAGAATGGGGAGAAATTATGAGGCGTGTACGCTCGTGGTGGGTCGTAGTGATGGTAGATGAATCGCCGGAGAGCTCACTGAGCTCGTGGGACGAATGTCAGTTTGCATTCCATCGAAGCAGGAAAGATAACCTGTAGAAAAAGGCACTTGAGTCAAGTCCTCGGACAGTGATCACAAAGATAGTTAATTACAAAGGAGTCCTTGATTTCCATACTTCGCTCGTTGGTCTCAGGAGGAGCCACAACATCAAAGTTCCTCGCCACAGTAGCCACTGCGATCCTCAACATCATCTGCGCCAAATTCTGGCCTCCGCAGACGCGCGAGCCTGTTCCGAATGGCATGAGGAATTGTGCCATCTTGAAAAGATGTTCAGCGTTCCCAGGTCTTTCGAGCCAGCGCTCAGGAAGGAAGGTCTTCGGAGAAGGGAAGATAGATGCATCGCGGTGCATAGACCAGCCTTGGGTGGCAACGATGGTACCAGGAGGAAGTGCGTAACCCATAAGATCAAAAGCTTCATTAATGGCGCCATTTTTGGATGTAGAAGATGGAACGACGCGTTCGAGAATACTTGGTACGGCGCTGTACAACCGAAGACCTATGACATGCGTAATGAGGAAGATGTAAATTAAAGCGAAGCGCAGCCTGACCTTCTTTCACGAAAGCGTTCAGGTAAGGAAGCTTCTGCAAGAGAGTGATATCAGGGATAGCATGCGGATCAGGCATCGCTTGGTCCAGTTCGGCCTGAAGCTTCATCATAATATCTTGCCTGCGGCTAAGCTCCCAAAAGAAGTAGGACAACGAGTTTGATGTAGTATCAGACCCTGCGATCCTAGGGGTATCAATTTAGCTCGCACTATAGACAGTCGAATGAGAGATAAATGCATACATATGTCCCATCATTTCTGAAATGATATCGTGGTCGGGCATGGCCTGTTCAGAGGAATACTTGTGCTGGAGAAGGCGTCGTAACATCGGAATCTTCTCAGATTCACCAAGTTTTCCTGCATTTAACTCTGCTCGCATCTCGTATACGCGTGCACCAACGAACTTGAGAAGAGACGAGAATCAGCTTCATTGACCGCATTGAAGATACAGAGAGGGAACAACCTCGCCCATAATCTTATCAGAATCGCACATCTGCCGCCACCGGTTGTTGGGGATACGGCAGATCATATCCCACACCCAAGGGGGTACCACGCTTCTCTGCAACCCCTGTCAGTCTAATTTTGATGCAAGGTCGATCGCCTTACGATAATGCCTCGCTTTGGGAAATCCGCGATCGCAGTGGCCATAGAATCCTCCACACCCGCAATCCATTTACTGAGAGCACCCTGTCGGTAGCCATGGGAAGACGCAATAATAACGTCAACCATATAATGGCGGAACAATGCAAGACAATCCAAAGAATGTTTGCCTCCGATATGTTCTAGAACCTGGAATAGGCGCATCAAAAGGGAAACGTCATGCTCATTTCCAGGGGCATACCGAAACAAGCTCGAGGGTATAATCATGCGCCTCGGGCTGAAAAAGAGCGAGATTGACCGGGGCATAGTGAGGAGCATAGCCCTTTCGTCGTGTGACATGTCCCGCATGGTCCAATGTTGTCATACTGGTCAGAAAATCAGCATATATGCGCATTTAGCAGATTGCATTGTGCACTCACGCGTGATCATTCTCGTTGCTAAATGGACTGGTGAGCTAAAATCGGGTCAAATACAAGACAAACGCACGTTAAAAGACTCTTATAGAAGGTGCTCTTGTCAAATTTGTGGACTGAGTAGACGCTTCTCATGGATGTCAGATCTTTGAAGATGACCTTGTTTGGACCAATTCGAACGACAGGGCCATATTTCTCGAAAAGGCGGTGGTTGGTCTTGCACTGTTGGAGGCGCAAGACGTGTGTTGTAATCCAAAAGTTAGAGACGGCGGCAAACCAAGGACCGGGTATCGAGCTGAGCGGGGAAAGAAAGAGGTCGTATATAGCGCGAGAGACAAGGTAAACCAGAGAAAGAGAAAGAGCGGCGAGAGCGATGTTGTGGGTTATCCAAGAAACTGAGATGGGAAACGCAGCGGTAGCGGTGAAGTCCATGGTGGGTGTAGCAAATGGGAAATCCAACAAAGACAACAAAAAAGAGGCCTGCGTCGTGGGCGGACACAAGTGATAGAGGGGAAACGAAAAGAGAGGACGCCTATGAGGAATTCAGAATGTAGCTGGTATATATACCATCCATAAAGTGTGACTAAAACATATCCAAATCGCGGTCACACTTGGTCAATGGAATGTCGCCGATGGCGGTTGGACGTCAATTCCTCCATCCCAAAATGGACTCGCAAGTAATCTACTTCCGGGATACCATATACCTCTTCTGGCTCCCTCGCCTCCGTGACACTCGCTTTGGCTACGAGACGGAATTTTCATTAGTAACAGTCGCTCTGGGAACAAATTGAAGACGATAATACGTGCCAGTACATACAGCCAAGACCAACGATACGGAAGACCTCATAACTCGACAAGAAACGAGGACTGTGGAAGGACCTGACGATCACAGTAAATGGCAACTTCTCTAGCAAGTGATAGAATCGCCTTGAAGAGTAGGCTGCTATGCATCATGTTCCGGGCTATCATAGCGGGCGCCACTACAATGATTTGAACAGATCAAATGATCAGGTTGGCAGAACAGAAAGCTAGTATCCGTCATCAACAGGATGACATCACGTATCAAAGGCAACAGTAGAACACAGACGACACCGTATCGGACCAGTAAACCAGACCACGCCGTTAAACGTCAGCGATTCGTTTGCCATGAGGACTGATTCCGAGGACAACTGGTTTTAATTCTGGGATTCATCTAAGTCAATCTATCCATCCGGGGAAATTTGCATCGTCCTTAGTATAGGAAGCATCGCTTGTGCCATATGACGAGAGGTTGGAAGAGAAAGCAGCACGAGGACGAGCGGGGTGAGGCCGATACGCAACGCTCAGTACCCAACTTTGCCATCTATCGACGGCTCGCGGAGTTTCTAAACAACACGTGGTTGCCTTTTTCGTCTGGAGCTTGCCGAAGGCCGCAACCCCGGATCATATTCGCTCAACAGAGTGCAAGCAGTTCAACTTATAATGACAACTGAGGACAGCAGGCCTTTCAGTGGATTGGAGGATCACAAATTCGTCTGTATGGATGTAAAGTTCTGCCCATTCTTGCCTAACAATGACAGCTCGGCTTCGTGCTCCTGTCAGCATCGACACCGCAGGTCTAGTTAGTAGCCGCACGTTTGAAATTCTTGCCAGTGGTCATCGTATCTGATACTTGTGACGTGGATCCGCCATCGCTGAATCAAAAATGATCAGTAGGGCCCGACACCGCCGTATCCCCCAAACCAGCAAAAGCAAACGTCATGCCAATAATCGCGTCCAATTCGTTAACAGCCAACAGTAACCAAAAGCATTCATTGTCAATGAATCAATCCTGACAATGAAAACTCAGACTGTGTCCGCCTGCACAAATTGATTTCACATCATCAGCATGACACAATAGCCGAAGTCACCTCGAAAGCGCTAAGCTGCCCGAATGCATAGCCTATACTATGACGCCGCTCTAGGATGCAGCAGTTGTGAGTGTGTCTCCATCCCAGCAGTACCTGTCCATGCAGGTAGAGCAAATGCCACTTCTTTCCACTCCTGCTCGCTCCCTTGCACGGTCGACGACAGCGCATGCGAGACACGACGGCCAATACGGATCCTTCGTTGCTTCTTTCTCTGGATACCCCTGGGTCGCGATAACAAAGGTCTGGGTAAGCATTGCCTGGATCTCCGATGACGAATAGGAAGTTTGAGACGTCGAGGTGTTGGTGAGGGGAGCTTCGCCGTCGGGTGGACCACCATTAGCAAGGTATATGAGAAGCGGGGTGCTTGTGTTCAAACTGGTCGTTTTGCATCCAAAAAATGTCGGGCGCGTAGTCAGGTTTTGTGCGGTGTATTCTCCCATAGAAGTGGGAACAGGGGGGAATGAGTAAGCAGAGGGATAAAGCGAACTACGATTTTGCGTGGCCTAGCGAGGATTCAGATGCGAAAGTCATTTGATAATCGTGTATGCTCACAATCAAAGAGCTGCCATCCGCGAAGCCGTTGATATCATCGGTCTGAATTGAAGATCAGCTGAAGATCGCCATGTTTGTAGGAAGACTACTTACTGCATCGATAGCGAAAATGACATCGACGCCACGTGCCTTCACCAGGAGGGGTTGCAGCGGGATAACTTCACCATCTTCACCACCGTCCACCATATTCAGGTTCGTTTGCGTCGAATCAATAAAGGTGTCTGGCGCTACACCATAGAATGGATTTGGCCAAGAAGCAATGTCGTATTCAACATGGGGTTCAGGCATAAGATCCGCCATAAGAGCTAAAATGGGCCCAAACTCCGAATTGAAGGTATTCTGCCAGCTAGTTCAGACGTGCATAAACGATAAGAGAACAGAACTCACAGTGAAATTGGCCTCATTGAATAGCTCAGAAGATGACGCAGCAATAAACGCAGATTGATCATAGTTGGTGACACAGATACTGTTATTTGTCGTTCCCAAATATTTGGTTGGCACGAATGCAGAAAGCTGCGGATCAAAAGAACCCGTTTCAACTATTCAGATACGTTCAGGGCCCAGGAACAAAAAACTGTGACTTTTACTCACAGACATTGAACTCGATGTTGGGATTAGTTAAGGGGATGTAGTCTTCAGCAATAATCTCCGATGAGTTCTGACCCGGAGCTTGAAGGTCTGCGGTCACAATTGGGAATGGTATTGAATAGGACTGCGAATGAAGTCCTTTAACCAAGATCAGCTAACGAACTCACCAGAATGGGAGCGAACTCACGTGTTTGCAACAGCAGACCATAATATACCAGCTCCATGGGTGTACGAGTCGTTAAAGACATTAGACGAGAAGGTACCACTGGCAAAATGTCTGGCTAGCATACGCCCCCAATAGTCCGCAAATGTCACTACATAACCAGCGTCGTACTTTCCGAGCAACTCATCTGCAAGGTTCGTATAATATTGCGTATCTATGGCAGAGTTCGTGCTTGGCGTTAAAATATCATAGTCAGCGTTCCATCCTCCCCACGAACTGTTGGACGCTGTGGGATTAGCGGGTCCAAAGATGAGTTCTTGCATGGTAGGGAAATTGGCTTGAGCGAGGGATGTGATGAACCACGATGAGCCTGACAATCCTGACAGATAGGTTGCTGCCTGCAGCAACCCGCCCGTTCCAGCGGCATCGGAAGATGAATTCCGCGCATCCAGTGCGTTCAACACTCCTGCACCAAAGATTGCAGCCCTGTATCCTCCTCCACTCGTTGCAATGCCTAGAGTTGGGATCTCGGAGCTAGCGCCCGAAAGAATTCTTGAGACGTAATCAGGGAGAAAAGGATTGGTAGATAAGACATTTGATAGGTAAGTTTTCCAGGCTTGCGGAAGGACATGGGCCTTGCGATTTTGAACGTAGGAGGCTTCAGATGAACTGAGGGTCTGATTCCCAGGAGTACCAGCCATCCGCACCAGGTTGAAGCCTGCAGGACATCGCCCAGAAATAGGTGTGTACGCCTGAGATGCCGCGGTCTGAGCCATGGCGAATGTGTTTAACCACGATAAAAGGGCAAACAAGATAGCAAAGCGATTTCGCAGCATGGTCGGATACGCGACTAGGGAATGCTAATTTTCGTCGTTTGAGCCAGATTCGATACCTCAAGTAAAGAGTTGCATACGATGCCCTTTAAATGATCAGGACGCAGAATACACGTTTCAGTGAACCTCCGGGCTATTGCTGCGTATTACGTGTGAGACTAGCAGCTCCAAATTAAACACGTCTTGAGCTCGTGAGGCTCGCTGTAGTTCAGGACCCGAACTAATGGCGAACCAGCACGGTCTCACCAGTTCGCCTTCGCCGTACTCAACGCTACCGATGTTCTGAAGGAGCACTTGATGTTGAATGGTTTGAAAAAAGCCCTTCATTCCAGGGTAGTCGATGTTTGAGACTTGCTGCGAATCTCCCTAAAATGAGAGAAACAGGGCCCTCTCTGCGATTGTCGCATGGCGCCTCGCTCAGCAGATAAGTAAGGTGCATAATCACAAGCTTCTGGACCAGGACATAAATATAACTTACCTGAGAGGCAGCCAAAACTCAACGTTCGAAACTAGAAATAAATGCGTATTACATCCGCTTCGCAACGATTGGATACCGCGCCGAGCACGTTCATTTTACTTCGACGAGCGCCTGTTTGCCATGCATCCAATTGAATAGGTGAAAAAGTTGGTCAAGAAATGAAACAGTGGTGGGAAGAAGCGAGGCCTCCCATGTGAGCGTTTATTTACATAAGATGGTAGTTGAACGCGTGATGATGATCACGGTATGTAGCAGTTGGCGGCCCGCCGCGAGAAAAAGTTCAAATTGACAAAAGTGGTTCTCGCATGTAAGGCTGGTTATATATTGTCTTCCTTACAAACTGGGGTTTGTAAGGGGTTTGTAAGCCATACAAGACAATAACCAGCCTCACATGCGACTGCCACTTTTGTCGAACAAGTTGAAGCAGCGTGCGTATGAGCTCCAGACCATAGCTTGTCGGAGTATCAAAATGTTTGAATTTGATTTGAGGAGATGATACAATTGGCAATCCACCCGGGCTCGAACCCATGCCCTCATCATGATAAGTACACGGACGTTATCGACAGACAGAAACATGGTTACAACAATGCCAAGACTGTCGGGCGTCAGGCTTTCTGTACAGTTGGTTGTTGGAAAAACCAAATTTAAATGTACGTACTATACGACTTGTGAACTAAAGTACGACAATACCTAGGGATAACTTTGACAGGTCTACATGTGTTGTGTTGATTAAATGCGAGTGATAGAGAAGGCTAGGAGCTCACTCATCTCGGTAATCCCGCCAGTGTAAATTCATGTGCCATACGGATCAGATCAAGCTCGACACGTTTTCTGTCGAGAGGAAGGGCTATTCATCTGGAATCTTCATAACAACAGAGTCGATTATCCTGAGGGGTCTATGGTGTGTGTCCTGGAAATTACATGCAGGCTCGAGATTGGCTAGTGCATCTTGGGCTGTGGATGCGACAGATGAGTCACAGGGTAGATTCATACGCTTGTAGCTTATCTGACAACAAAATGTGCCGATTGGGGATCAGCATGTTCGACGCCTGACCCACCCGGTTATTCGGAGTTCATGAGTCACCTTCGTGGTCGGCGTTCGGGAGAAGAGGGTCACGCCTTCGAGAGCTTTTGGACGATCTCAGCCTTATTCCAGGACACTAATTACGCATCTTCGTCGACTCACCAAAGTATTCACAGTCACACTATTCTTGACCTTCCCCAGAATCCGAAGAATTCTATCATGGGGTCGGCCCTGGATAAAGCATGCGCCAGAATTTCGAGTGATCCTCATGAACAACTTACCGAGCTTCCACCAGCGATTGCCTCGCTAGATTTGCTGGCTTCTGTAAAATAAACTGGTTTCGAATCCCTCGATTGGTTGTCTTCGCTCATTGAAAATAGCTGTCACTGGTGGATAAGTTTGAGCGAAGCAGGATACGAGAAGTAGTTGGGAACAGTGAGTTTTGCGTCGTTTGAACAACCGCCCACACCCAGCGCAAAGGCAGCGCCGATGTGTTATTTCAGGCGCCAAAAAACATTCGGTGGCCGACATTAACTTGGAGGAGGCACTTTGTTGATCGAAGAGCGCGTCACGGACCCCGATCAAGCATACCACCACGGTCTTAGTCCTCACGAGCAAGGCTCAGCAAGCAGACGCCTCGTCATTGTGTGATGTTACAGTATCCCGGAAGAGCAGCAGAAGCCCCAAGCAGGGCCACCAGAAATACAGGGAGTTGTACTTGCAGAGCAGGTCAGTGAAGCAAGCTTTAGAGACCACAAGAGATGACCTAAACACAACGAAGGAGTAGACAAGAAGTCATCGGAACAACGACGAACCCAACGCGATTAACCAGATAAATTTTTGCGCGACGACAGAAACAAAGGGACTCCAGTTGGCCTTCATCACAGCAACCTGAATGACGAATTAGCGTGATATTCGAAAAGTGTCCGATAATGCAGAAGACAATTTGAAGCTTTGAAGTTTGAACCGAATCAACGAATCAACGTACACTTTGTTCATGTACATCACGATGTTATCGTTATCATCCGCTGATCGACGCATGTACAAAGTGTCTCAAAGTCTAAATATTAAATCGTGATGATTAGTACACATGCCATGTTAACGTTAAAGTGTCCGAGTCTGTTTACGTCTAATTTCGTCGGTAAGCTGCGTCGGACTTGTAAAATGTCTCAACGTCGTTACTCACGACGACGAAAGCTATAAGCTCATCGTCCTCAACAATCACTTCCTTTGCAAATAAAAATCATGCGTCAGTCTGTTGCTCCGAGTCGCATTTCACATGCTGCATCCCTAGCATCGCAGGCCAATAATGCAACAGCAACATCACGCTTACTGGAGAAAAAGAAAGAGTTTGAGGCCGTTGCTGCCCTTGAACGCGCTAGCGCTCTGTTCCTTAAACGCATCGAGGGTCTTGCAGATGATTGCGAAGTTATGGCCGATGCTGGCCAAGGTTTGTTCCCATCATCCTGATCCTTTTCCGTCATTAATTTTCTCGAACAGTACATGGTCAGGTGCTCGAACAATGGCCTCTCATGTTCCAAAGTTTGAGTTTGTTCTGTGAGCAAAGTTACGACCACATTAGCTTGTGATCTGATTATTCTGCAGTGAACAGCCGGGAACAGCACTTGTCAGACCCCAGTGACGCCACCGTACCACTTACCGGAGAACGGCTTGTTCGTGTTCCGCTTGACGAGCTCCAAGTTGATGCGTCGAAGTAAACCCAACTGCGTATTACTGCGTCTACTTCGATATACATATCCGTGGTGCCATGTCGCATCTCTACCCTGCCCTTTCCCGGAATCATCGGGCTCCGCCCATCTACATCTGCGACGACCACAATGCAGTCGATAACGACCCCTCCATTCCGCCAATGGATTCTGCATTTCATTTGCAGTGAGATGAAATCTTTACGCCACGAGTGCACGTGTCAGCAAGGGTGGGTACAACGTAACGGTTTCAAGCATGGTAACAGCGTATTAGACTTTCATGGGCACTTGAACCTGTGAAGCGGACGTTACACTTACTGAACAGACATCATATACGTTGTTTCCTGTACTAGTACTCGTAGCATTACTATCAATTCAAAGTATGCGGCCTTTGGACTTCCAGTCTTCCGCGGAGGAATAATCGTGTATCATACGTGTCAAAATGAATGTTTGTGCCGGTGGCAGTACTTGCTATTGTCTGCGTTGTAGCGGCAGACTCGTTCTTTCCGTGATCACTTCCACTCGACTATTCCGTATAACTTGAGGGTTTTATGGATTATCTTCGCAGCTTCGGTTCTGCTGCAGTGTCGACTCTAGTCCAGAAATCGGGGCTAAATCTACCGTTCTCGCTAGGTGCCAAAGTTTACTCCTGCGAGACTTTCTGGACCTTGTACGACGCTACCAAACGGGTAGGTTTGCAATTCTCATCACAGGTCCGAGTTGTGTCCAGGCTAATCTACAAGGCAGGAAGATGGTAGTCTGGTCTCGGTTTTCGAGTATGATCTAACCCACCCTCTGAACAAGTCCACCATACCCCTCGCCCGCAACTCCCTCCGCAAGCTACGCACTGTACGACATCCAGACGTACTTAGATACATCGATGTCGTAGAATCCGACTCAGCCATTTGCATCATGACTGAAAGGGTTCGCCCTCTACCCCTTGCGCTATCCCAATCATCCTCCAATGTTCCACGCGAGCGAGAGGACTGGCTGATTTGGGGGCTACACCGAATTTCAGTCAGAATTGTTCTTCTCGTCTGCATTCAGGCCTTAATTACTGACCTTCTGAGCCAGGTTGCTCTTGCTTTTCTCAACGATTCCGCTTCCTCAACCCATGGAAACGTTCGTCCAAATGCTATATTTATCACTCCTTCAGGAGAGTGGAAGTTGGGAGGTTTCGAGGTGTTGAGCAATCCAAAAGACGATCTTTCTGTCATATATGTGCGTATTTTTCTCAAGTGTGTCGTGCGTCTCCCCATAAACTTCCTTTACAGACCATGGGCGGCCTCATGCCAGACGCAATGGCATGCGCGCCCCCGGAAGTCAAGAAAGATGGTTGGTCTGCCCTCAAAGAGTGAGTTTTCAGTTTCCGACACTCACAACATCATGCAGCCACCTTTCTAATGAATGGACAGTGTATCAGTATCAGCTGCGGACGGATACGCTCTCGGTCTACTTCTACACGCTGTCTTCAATCCCACTCACCCCCCACCACCAACTGCTCAGCCTCCTCACCCACCACCTCCAGTCTCTTCCAGAGGTGCCATACCCCTGTCCGTCTTTCCCTCCTTCAAAAAACTTCTTAACCCGAATGCAAAATCACGGATGTCACCCAAAAACCTACTAGACATTGGTATGGCAGAGTCGGGTGGAGAAGGACATGGATTTTTTGTACATAACCGGCTTGTCAAGGTCTGCGCTGGACTGGACGGATTCACCCTGAGTAGTGAATCTGACAAGGCATCCTTACTACGGTATGTGTTATTTTTCAGATGCCCACCAATTACTCAGTGGCTTGGACTAGCACGCTAAAGGAATCAGCATCTTCATTTCCCCCCGAATTCGTCTCTTATCGTATTCTCCCATGCCTTGCCTCTGCGCTTGAGTTCGGTGGTGCCTCTGCAGCAACCATTGTCCCTCTCGTCCTCCAGTTCGGAAAGAACGTCGCACCCGACGACTATGGCTCAGTCGTTGTGGCCCCCCTCGTCAAACTTTTTGCGAGTGCCGACCGTGGCACACGCATTGCGCTTCTCGATAGTCTCCCCGAGTTTGTCGAGAAACTGGATAAGAAAACAGTTGTTGATAAAATTTGGCCAAACCTGGTACGAATAATATTCATGTTATTCTTACATAGCAATTCATTTCATCTTCATCCGCGCAGCAAACTGGCTTCACCGACACTGTTGCAATCATTCGAGAAGCTACTGTTCGCGCTATCGTTCTACTTTCCCCCAAGGTATGTTGACTTTGAAGGTGCGATCAATGTCGCTGATGATGATTTCTCAAGTTATCCGACCGTATACTCAACAACGATCTCCTCCGCCATCTCGCCCGCCTCCAATCAGATCCAGAAGCCTCCATTCGGACCAATACATGTATTCTTATCGGCCGGCTGGGCCCTTCGCTAGGATATAATACCAAGCGAAAAGTTCTGGTTCCTGCATTTAGCATGGCGCTGAAGGACTCGTTCGTCCACGCTCGCGTGGCAGGCGTTATGGCATTTATGGCAACCGCGGAGTGCTTCGAGATTGAGGACGTGGCCAGTAAAGTCGTTGCAGCTATCCTAGGCGCTACGCTGGATAAAGAAAAGTGAGTCTACAGCTCTCGTTCTACTACTTTGATGTATGTTGATGGCTGGATATGTACAGACTGGTTCGTGATCATGCATTCAAAGCTGTTGAGCTTTTTGTCAAGCGTTTAGAGGCTCACGCTTCGACTATGGTACGTCTGTAGTATACAACCCAGTTTGTATTGCTTATACCCCTTTTTCACAGCCAGAAACAGCATCCACAGAAGACGGCGGGGACGATCTAGCCGCGAGGCTTCCAGGTGCATACACACAGGCTGGCCTTGTAAATTCAGCGACGGGCGCTGCAGCCGCTCTCACAGGGTGGGCTGTATCGTCCCTTGGCAAAAAGGCACGTTTAATTTGTTTTTCTTGATATTGATGGCTTACAAAAATTTATCGCTCAGCTTGCCCCTGCTGACATGCAAACCACAATCTCAAGTACCATCGAAGGATCAACACTAACACCAACCATCAATGGTAGCGCCAGTCCTTTGCCTGTGACACCTATTTCTCCCTCCGCAAATCCAGTAAGAAGCAAAGGCCTGCAACTGGGCGGGAATAAAGCCCCAACTTCTACGCTCGCTGACGAGGTTGCCAACGAGGCAGGGCAGGGCAGTAGTCGTTTGTGGAACGACGATTTGATCGATATCAATGCCGACGAAGGGGATTGGAGTACGTCCTTTGACCTTTCAAGATATCACTGGATCCAAACTGAGGTCATTTCTCTTTGTAGGCGCGTTCGAGAGTGCTCCACCCGCTGTAGAATCAAAACTAGCAAGTACAACCGATAGTCTAGGATTCGGTATAACACTGCGGCCCAGTTCTCCAAGTATGTATTGTTTCCTTCTCCATAATGTCCCTACTGATTTATTTGATACAGTTCCAGACGAATGGGGTGCAATGGCATCATCGTCTCGACCTACCAGTCGCTCATCTACATCACATCCCTCCCAGATCTCACGCACGCTCTCACCACATCCCCGCAGATCCATCGTCTCTTCCCCTCTCGCACCAGCGTTCTCACCCGCTTCAAGCACTCGATCGACACCCATATCATCCCCTCGACCTCTCCCAAATACTGCTGACAACACGCCGCCGACTAGTATGGCTGGGATGTCTAAGGAGGAGAAGGCGGCTGAGATGGCCAGGAGGAAGGAGGAGAGACGGTTGGTGAGTGTTTTGTCTCTTTGTTTGGAGGTGCTGCGGCTTATACTTATTGACTTTTTGCAGCGGATTGAGAAGCTGAAGGAACAGAAAAAGAACGCTGCTGCCGCCGGAAAGGTTTGAGTATGATAGCGTTTTGAACACTCGTGCTTATGCGATGGTGCGCTGAGTGACTGGGAGAGTTTTATTTGACCACGGCATGATCATCATTTTATGGTATGAACCATCTGCATCTGGGATACGGCATATGTCCGGCGAGTTCCTTACACCATGCGCATTGTCGCCGAGCTATCATGATGATCTAGTATTTACCACTAAGCAACATTCAAGTCGCATACGGTACATCACAGTATATCCTTCAGAACACTAAATATTCAATTAGTACTATCACTCTACTGCACATCTATAAGTTGCCCGATGATCTCTACGCCAAATCTACTACAGCGAGCACATTCCTGCCCGCTTGACCCCGCTTCCTGTAACAGATTCTACCCAAATAACCGTTGAATGCCAATTTGACGTTCCACGTCATTCTCAAATACGAGGGGAACGACTCTGTCGCTTCAACCTCTTTGATATCGACCCCTGGCCCAACAACGCCCGAACAGGGCTTATCCATACCGCTAGCGTCGATCGTAAATCCGTAGAATTCCGTTCCATCCCTTTCGTTGTGAAGTACGCAGATACCACGTGCATGCCCGTCAAAAGACGTGGTAAACTTCATGGTGTTAGCATAGCCTGGAACAGAGAAAAGCTGTTCGGTGGAGAGATATATATTCCCCAGTTTCTGCCCTGGCAGAGGAGGGGATAAAGTTACTCGGTGAGCAAAGTACTTTGTCAAATTGAGTCTCATGCAATGGGTGAGGAATTTGATTTGGGTTTGCCCTGTGACAGCGTTGGTGATAGAGTCGCATAAGAGCGAGACGCGTTCGATATCGAGATAGCAATGTCCTTCGTGAGTGAGCTCAAGGGTAGGTGGGGATGCGCTGGTAATTCCCGCCGACGGGAGAGCGAATGCCTGGATGATCGCACGGCAGTTTCCTCCCTCGTCGAGCTGGCTGACCATAGTGAGAGGGGTAAACATTGCGAGAATGTGGGTTTCGGTGGCTATGAGACGCTTCAAGTATGTCTCCTGCGCGCAAGTGACATCGAATTTGGGGTCCTAATTTCATGATGAGACGCGTACGACGTCCAAGTATTTTATACGTACGATGATAGAGCTTGGTAGCGGAAAGCGGTACAGGACGCGGGTGAGAGTATCCACCGCCAAATTCAAAGTACCAGTCAAATGATCGCTCATGCACAGCAATCGCTTCCCAGCAGATAGCTGCGACATTCCCATCCCGATCACATCGCCAGGAATCACCATGGAGAATTCCAACAAAGGACCGTCAGAAGAGAAACGAATGGAGAGCAGCTTACTATCACAAAATCGTTCAGTGTATAAATGCGATGGTTAGGAGCAACTAACTGTGAGAACGACACGCTGTTGCGAGCGCTTTCCATGACGATGGCGTGCATGATACATCCTCCGTCCGCTGCCTCAGAAGTCGCACTTTTGAACGACAGTATCTGAGCGCCTTCAGCATGATATATGACGTGGCGCAGTCCGCGCTCCAGATCGTAGCACAGGATGTCGGGGCCGCTAATGTGCGGGATGACAAGCCACAAGCCAGCCACCACTTCCCAATGGTCTCCTTGCAAGGCGGACCATTCGGGCTCAAACCAAGTCGCCTTGGAAGTTATCGTTAGAGCTTGCTTGTTCCACTTAACGCCGACTTGAGTGCTTTTGACAAGGGTGATTTCTAAGAACTCGCGAGACTGAGAGTCGAGCGGTCCGAGGGGACGAGGAAGTTTTGCATGTGTATATGCATCGTGCCATATGGCTGTGTGGAATGTCAAGTCGCGAAGGTCTTTGCACGCCTATATCAATCATTACAAACACATTCAGTATGAATCAATATGAAGGGATATGATCCGCAAACGATGAGCAGTAGTTCCTCACCAGTCGAAGGCAGATGATTTCGCGGACGGAAAGAAAGGACAGGACACGGTACAAAACATCGTGTGGAAGACTGGTCAGCGTCATGGTCGGTGGTCAAAGATACGTTATAAGCGCGCCAAGCCCACGGCATGATGCATCAGGTCAACAGATGGAAGCGAAGAAGTGCCTATTCGCTAGTAGTATTGGCTTTCGCCAATATGATTTGTTTGCATTGCGTGTGAGCACCAAATTCGAAATTCAAGCTCAAGCGGCAAGCTGCGATCCGACTCGATCACGATCTGGAATAGTCTGCAACCAATTTGTCGATACAACTATAACAGTTCTTCAACAACCCGCATTCAAGAATGATCTTAGTGTAATTGTGTGTATTATGCGGCCCATCAGTCGCGTGTGCGTCCACAGCTCATTCGAACTGACTCAGTGCTCGACCTCAAGCACAATCCATAAGTCGACTTTCCGTGCCAGTGACTACTACGACAGATCTCTCCCGGGGTTCCCTGGTGCTCACCCAATGCTTAGCGCTCGAAGCCAATACAGCAGTAAATATTGCCATGAGGCTTGCGCGCGGTCAAGGGTATTGCTGTGTATTTAAATGGCATGAGGTCGCCGACCCTTTCAATTCCTTGTCGCACTCAGGCTCTACTTTGTACAGACTGATCATCGAACTCAACTATTTAGCATGAACAACCAAAACCAATTGGGGAACTCAAGGTCAGGTCCTTCTCCACACATCGAGACACCTAACGAACCAAACGCTACGGAACGCCCGGTACGTGGCTGATGTTCATCAAGTTGCACTCGAAACGCTGACTCTTGTCGATGCATCCCTTGTCTAGGGCCGACCCTGTGGCAAAATATGTCGGCTTCTGGGGAAGGTCACGAATGGTGCAATAAAAAGAATTTCTGTGAGTCGAAATCAATAGTGAGTGCACTGTGATAAGCTGATATTGTACACAAGCGCTCGAACTTGAGGAATTCACTGCAGCCGCGACCCTGTTCCTCCGATTGTCAATCGTGAAATTGTCTCATCGATTCCGAATATCGAGGTAGGCCGTCTTTCAGTTCATGCACTCTCCGTAAATTCTGTTGGTCACACAGGTTAAGGATACTCCCCCTGGTGCGGAACAAGGCGCCGACCTCCCATCAGCACCTCGAGAAGCCAACGAGGCTGCCAAAGGCATGAATGTACCGGGACCTGTGATACCTGGAGTTTCTACTGCACAAAATACACCAACAAATCTCAAGGATGCATGTTTTGTGAGTCGACATCGATGCTGAATTTATTGGGATAAGGCTGATATCGTGCACAAGCGCTCGGACTCGAAGGATTCACGCAACCTGTGACCCTGTTCTCCCAAACGTCGATTGTGAAGGTGTCTCATCGATTCTGCATATGGAGGTAAGTTGCCTTTCGGTTTATGCACTCTTCGTGAATTCTGTTGTTTACCAGATTCAGGATGCTCCCTCCGGTGAAAAACAAGGCGCCGATCCCCAATCAGCACTTCGAGAGGCCAACAAGGCTGCCAAAGGCATGAATACACTTTCAGGATGTGTGACGTCTGGAGTTTCTGCCGCACAAAATGCACCAGCGGATCTCGCGGATGCATGTAAAGTCGGGGACACATATCTTCAGCCTCTCAGAATATTTGACAGCGTTATCAGGAAGCTCACGGATGTATGGGCCCGTTTCTCTTGGTTGGAACCGGACTGATCCCTTTTCATAGGTGCACCCTTACGCAAAGATGACACTGGGCCTACTGTCTTCTGCATCCAAAGTACGCATTGTTTCACTCCGGGTCTTATCTCATGCTCAGCCGCCATCTATGCAGATAATTCTCGCTCAAACAGATCGTGATCAAGGGATACTCTGGCTTCTCGAGAAGTTAAGTCAAGTGTACGATTTCATGATGCAAGACAAGACTCTTGGCGGAATTCCGTCAATGCAGGGGATCGTCGGACGGATAGTTCAGCAGACTCTTGAGTGCTCCCAGTTCATCAAAGATTACTCTGCGACAAAAAACTTCTGTGAGGAACCCACGAATCATTGTGCTTTGCTCACTCGCTCATTATCTATTCTGTACTATTTTTGTAGGGAAGAGACTCGGGAAAAACATTATCTCAGAAGCAGAAAATACGACTCAGCAGTACATTGACATGTTGGATGCGCTCATGCAAAGCTTCCGGGACCAAGTCACTCACAATGTAGAGATATTCGTCCACCGTACGGTAAGGGTTGTACACGCTTCCGAGTTGACATCTATTCACACATCTCCAGGTGATACACTGGACCTCAGCGGCATGGCGTATGCAGAAGGTGCGGGCCTAGATACTGGGAAGCAATGCCTACCAGGGACGCGTACGAAAATCTTGTCTGAGATCACGGACTGGGTCAACAGTACCGGAGATGATGTTCAGCGTGTGCTCTGGCTATCTGGCCCTGCAGGCAAGGGCAAGTCGGCCATCGTGCACACGATTGCCAGCTGGTTCAACGATGTGGGAGGGCTCGGTTCGTGTTACTGCTTCGATCAGCAGCGAGACGCTGAGCGTTGTCATGAAAAGATTTTTTCTACTATCGCGCGCGACCTGGCGGACCGTGATCCGGAGATGAGACGAGCACTGGCAGAGGCGGTTAAGGATGTGAGTTCGCTGAAGACTACAGCGGACATCGTTCAGCAGTGGGACAAGCTTCTGATGAAACCACTCGGGAAGCCCTCAGGATCAATCGTAAGACCTGTCGTCATCATGATAGATGCACTGGACGAGAGCGGCGGAGTCGAGACACGGCTTCGTATTCTTCGCATTCTTGCAGGTAAACTAGGTGTTCAACGAATCACCGAACTCCCAGCCAACTTCCGGATCATCGTCACTTCTTGCCTGCTTCGGGACATCAAAGCTGAGCTCTCAGGTGCTCGGCATATCCGACGTATGTCCATGGACGACATTTCATCAGCCACAGCAGAGCGCGACATCTGCACTTACGTATCGAAGGAGCTTGAAGGGCTCTTGCATTTTGGGGACAGAGAATTCACAACGCTCGCTGAAAAAGCTGATGGACTTTTCGAGTGGGCACGTCTTGCCTGCAGATACATCAAAGAGTCCCCTGCCTTATCTCCAATCGAGTCCTTCAGTCATGTCATGTCACGGGATCCTTCCGAGCGGGCAAACTTGTTGTATGATATGTATCAGCTCATTTTGACAGGAGTTATGCAAAAGGATAAATCCACGCATATCGCGTCTCAGCACAAACAGCTAGCGAGATTTCGTTCTGTGATGGGGCAAATCCTTGGCGCAGCTGAACCCCTCTCTTTGGAGTCCCTCAATACGATGCGGAGCCATTTTCCAGACAAAAACGAGCGTTACGAAGTGCAAGTCATGGTGGAACATATGGGAGCCCTTCTCAGCGGCACCATTGACTCATCCACCCCCATCCGACCCCTTCATGCCTCCTTCCGCGATTTTCTTACAGACCGTGAATCCAACGGAGAGTTCTGCATTGATGTGTCAAAGGCACAACGAGACCTGGCTTTTGCATCGCTTCGAGTGATGGAACATAAATTGTCCTTCAATGTCTGCGATCTAAAATCATCGTATTTCCCCAACTCCGAAGATCCCGGTCTGCGAGATCGAGTTGAAAAATGCATTCCCCCGCATCTATCCTATGCCTGCCGATTCTGGCCCGTCCACGTACAAACAACTGACTTTGATCCAGACCTCGCCAAAGACATTAAATTATTCTTTGATCATGAGCGACTGTTCTTCTGGCTCGAGACACTCAGCCTTCTCAATGCGCTCAGCGGCGCAGTCCCCATCCTTCCGCTTATTGCCAGGTGGTTGAAGGTGAGCACATGGTTATTGAGTATCAGATAACATGCTTGCTAACATGGAATCGCAATTACAGGGTCAGACCGGATATGAAGAAGCCTCGTCCGCTGCAATGGACGTGCAGAGATTTATTCAAGTCTTCTGCGGCATAATCTTGCACAGCACACCCCATCTCTATGTATCAGCACTGCCATTCTCTCCCGTCAACTGTGCATTATCGAGAACGTTTTCTGCACGGTTTCCTGACTCTCTTCGTCTGGCATCTGGACATGATCTCAACTGGACGGCTGTTCAGACTGTGATCAGAGGGCACACTGATTTTGTTCGGTCAGTCTCATTCTCGCCGGATGGGACTCTCATTGCAACTGGATCGGATGATCGTACTGTGTGTCTGTGGGATGCAGTAACGGGGCAGCCAGTAGGCGAGCCCTTGCTGGGCCATACCTGCTGGGTTCACTCAATTTCATTCTTGCCGGATGGGACATGCATCGTGTCTGGCTTGGCCGATAAGACTGTGCGGTTGTGGGATGTAGTAACGCAGCAGCCTGTTGGTGAACCCTTAGTGGGGCATACTAAGTCGGTCAAATCAGTCGCGTTCTCGCCAAATGGAACTCGCATTGTGACAGGTTCAGCGGATACTACTATTCGACTGTGGGATGCAGCAACGCGGCAGCCAGTTGGCGAACCCTTACTGGGGCACACTAATGAGGTTAACTCAGTATCGTTCTTGTGGGATGGAACTCGCATCGTGTCTGGTTCAGACGATGAGACTGTCTGGTTGTGGGAAGCAGCAACGGGTCAGCCAGCCGGCGAGCCCTTGCTGGGACACACTGGTGCAGTTAACTCCGTCTCGTTCTCTCCGGATGGGACTCGTATCGTATCTGGTTCGGACAATTGGACTATTCGGCTGTGGGATGTGGCGACGGGGAAGCCTGTCTGTGAGCCCTCAAAGAGACATGCTGGTTATGTTCGTTCAGTTTTGTTCTCGCCACAGGCTATGCTGTCATATTCATGTATGATATAACTAGTACTGTAGTTATGTAGTCATGCATGTTTGTACTGTAATGAGAATCATAGATAGACCATGCATGCCACCATGCATGATGTGTAGAAATGAGAATCACAGATAGCAGACCATGCATGGTAGCATGCATGACTGCCACTGCGGCGGTCAACCTACCATACCATCATGCATGGCTCACGTGGATCGGCACAATTGTTCTCCCACTGTTTTATGCATGGTATCATGCATGGGGTGCTAGTACTAGTATTACTACTACCGCCACCTTACTATGCATGATATCGTGCATGACCCTGATACCATGCATGGTTACTGTACTTCAAGTTTTTCCTGCCCGGTTATGCGTGGCATCATGCATGGCCTACTAATCATGCATGATCGTCCGAATCTGCTGTATGTATATATGTAACACTACCACAAGACTTGTTTACTTAATTCCCCCATGTCTTACTACTGTCATCCTGCTATTACTAGCCTGTTATTGAACATTTACCTTCGTATGCGCGTGATAGCGACTCTCTCAAAAAGCTAGTAAGTTCCCCCATTCACAACTCGGATGCTACAAGATATGAATATATTGCTCAAGATTACATTACGAATATGTTTGCTACGAAGATACGGGTATGGGGATTATCAAGATGCGTCACTAATCACTTTCAAGAAGACAAGAATAAGTAAAACGAAGAGTCAGATACCTGTGCACTAAGCCTGGGCCGTGGAAATAGCAGCCACCTTTTTTTTCCTAAACCAACGGTCAGTGGCCATTATTTCCGATGAAGCGTACGCAGTACTTAGCAATAGGCTCTCCACCTGCTTCCAGTCCGTGTTTACGGACCTTTTTTCCCCCCACGGTGGCCGTATTTTCCTTCTCCCGCATTTCGCTGAGGGCATTAGCGCCAATGGCATTAGCGGTTTCGTTGCGAGTAGATGGTTTCGGTGGACGTCTGGACTTGCGAGTAGTGGGTTCGGGCTGGCTGGTAGAAGCTGCGCGTTTAGCTTTACCACCTGCTGCCTTCTGAGGAAGGCCTGCTGGAACCGAGGGAGGATCGCCTGTGGGCACGGGTGGCAGTGGTGGTAAGGTGACCGAAGGAGACGGAGTGGGAACGGGTGGCAGCGGCGGTAAACTGTCTGAAACAGACGGTGTGGGAACAGGTGGCAGCGGTGGTAGGCCGTCTGAAACAGACGGAGTGGGAATAGGTGACAGCGGTGGTAAGCCGTCTGAAAGAGACGGTGTGGGAATAGGTGACAGTGGTGGTGAGCCGTCTGAAGAAGACGAAGGAGAATTGTCGGTGGCAGGTGGTGATGGTGGTAAAGCATGGCTCAGATGGCCACTGGATTGCTGGAGGTAGCTCGCAGGCTGGGGGAAGTTTGAAGGCTGGTAGTTCGAAGGCTGGGGATAGCCCATAGGCTGGGGGTAGGGGTAGCTAGGGACTGGGTTGAAATGGTTGAAACTGTTGAAATTTTGAAGCGGTGAAGGTTCAACGATACAGCGAGGCACGAACAATGCTCCTGGTTGTATCTATAAATGTTGTAAGGTCGCGCGTTGCCTAGTCTGCTATACTTGAGACGACAAGTGCGTTCGACCCTAAAGGGGAAGCGAGTGCAGCAAGGATCTAGAGGTATGCGCTGAAAGCGCTACTGGTTGGCCAATGCGAAGCGCGAGAAAGCGCAGGTGCGCGCGAGGCGCGAGAATGCGCGAAGCGCGGGAATGCGCGCGCGTGTATGCGGAAACAAGAGAGAGTAAGAGTGAGTTTGCTTAGGTGATGATATGATGTAAGACAAGAGAAGGGAGATGCGAGGTGTAAACAAATAGATTTCTACTATGTTCTGCTAGGTAAATGATGGGTAGTAACCAGTAAGTCCTCTGTCGTTCTGGTGGGAGAGTAAGTGAGTCCCGGTGGGTGTGTAAGTTAGTATGTACTGCTGGCGCTTAAGTATGGCGCCTAAGCGCTGTCATGCGGAGCCGAAGCGCTACCGAGTAAGGTATGTAAAGATATATGTAAGTAAGGGTCCATGATAAAAATAAAGATGGAACAATATGCAAATGTGAGAATTGGAAATATACGCACTAGGGAACTTGGTGGACAGTGGATGGATGCTTCCGGATGGCTGGCGCTATAGGGCGCTACAGCGCGGGAAAGCGCGCGCGCATATACATCGTGAAGCGCGGGAAAGGTACGCGCGCATGGCGCGCATTGCGCGGGAAAGCTGCGCCTCATATAGAGATAGCTGCAGGTAGCACACAGAGTGATGCTACAAGTTCGTGCCATGTACTCCCCAGTGAAAACTGCCATATTGCACAATGAGAGGCATGAGTCTCTACAGCGGATCATAGATTGGTGGAGGGGCGAAAGTCCACAATTGAGGATTGCTGAGCAGTTGACCGAGATCCGCAGAGTGACCATCATTGCTGAAGTTGGTAGAGTTGGCGAAGTATGATGAGTTGGCATCATGCATGGCGAGATTTGCCTGACCCTCAGGCTGCTGGAGGCCATGCATGTTGATGGGTTGCTGGAGGCCATGCATGTTGATGGGCTGCAATGAGTCATGCATGGTGTCAGGCTTCTGAGTCGGATTGTCATGCATGGGCATAGCATAGTTAGGCGAATAAATATCGAGAATCTGCTCTTGACGTTCCTCCCTCCCGTCCAAAACATTCCCCTCACTCTGCGACACCTCTATTTCCTCCTCCGGCTCATCTGTGAAAGGGTCAGCATCTACTTCGTCTTGATCTTCAAGGTCCGTCTGGTCTCCATCCCCGGCCTCTCCGTTGTCTGCAGCTACCGCTCTTTTGGCATCGCCTTTCATCTCAGGTTCGGGGGAGGAATAGCCTACATCATTGTCGCGTAAGTGCAATGCCCTTTTGACAGTAACGATTAACTTACCTTGTACACCTTGAAGGAATTTCAGATACGTTCCAAGAAAGTGTTCCTTGAAGTCAGGCAATAATTGCGGGGCTGAATGTCCCAGCTTGGTGGTACCGACGTCAACCCTGCTACTAGTAAGCGCTCCATTTGTTCACAAGACATTCACAAACTTACAATGCGACAGAGATTTTGTTGTTGTTCGAGGGATCTGGCCCACCCATTAACACCAAGAACGAAAACCCAGTTTGGTGCTCGAGGTACGTGAGGATTGTGTTGAAGATAGCAGGTAAGTTTTCCTGTGCTCTGTTTGAATGACATGTTGCTCAACAAACAAATCAAAAAAAATAGTCGAGAAGAACGTACTCAAGCATATCCTCGGTGGTTGGTGATTGCTCCTCTTCATCTTCGTCCTCCAGAGCCTCGGCGTCTTCATCATCTGCATCAGTATTCGCCTTCCTCGATTTCTTCTTTGCTTTCATCCTGGCCTTGACGTCCGCAATAATAGTCTCATCGGCTTCTTGCTCCCAACATTGACGTGTGACCTCTCGTACAATCGTTAGTCTTTCACCTCTTGTTGTGGAGCCACGTTTGCTAACTGCAGCTTCGACAGTTGGACGGATATTGGTTTTATAATATAGTCGGGAGTACATTTCGGCCTCGCTCAGAGCTCTTGCACCCCGAGGCTGGAGGAGGTCCTTGAGTAAACGAGTGGCCCGTGTGGAAGATTGCGCCACTCTGCCTTTGCGAGATGCGGAATTACCCGAATGCCACGACATCCAGGTGCGCAGTTGCTTCATTTACTTTTCGGTTAAGATCTCAAGCTCACAATTAACTAACGACATCACCTTCTGACGCCTCTTTACTGCCTTCCCCTTTGCTGCCGATTGTATGGCATTCAGTGTTACGAACTAGGATAGTTCTAACAACGACAACTCAACAGAGTTCTCGGTCGTTGAGATTCTCAGTCTCTCAGACAAGAGAGAGTTCGGTGGACTTAGTTAAAGGAGTGCTTCAACTAAGAATCAAGGTTCTAGACGACTTAAGATTGGAGATCTTAAGCGAAGGATATTCCAGGTAAAACCTAGTAAGATTCAAGTAAAGAATACAAGCGTAATACATGTGCTTAAATAGGTCCATATGTGTGCACAGACCAAGTCATCGTGAGATAGTAAGTACAAGACCAAAAAGGGAAGGCATATTGCGCGAAGCGTGAAAGTATACAATAGTAAGAAACAGTGGTTGTAACATTCAGACCATCCTCATCGGGAAGTTCTGGCCAGAGCTCTTTATATATGGGCCATTGCTGCTCCCATTGCTCATAGATGGGGGGCCAGAACTTTGCATAGCTAGATTTAGTCGAGCACTTTTGATACCCGGGAAGCTGTGCCGTTAACCACTCCTTCTGCTCCTTAGATGTCCATTCACTAGCAACCATCTGTGAGATATATGTTAGGCAATTGTGTGAAAAATTGATCGGCCGCGCACCTTTCGCTCTCTTTGAATTTCGTGATGGGGATTTAACGTTTTGACGCCTGAGTGCAAAAATAACAAAATGAAAATTTTACAGCATCAATACAGCTCCATCAAGCCACAAGGCAATTGCCGAATGACATGAACACACGGCAGCACACGGCACGCTTGAGTCTATTAACCTGAATCTCATTGATGCGGTCACCCAATCTACACGTAGTACAGCTATCAACCTGTATCACTACATAATAATGAAATCGGATGTCAACTGATACCTAAGAAATCCTCGACTATGTGCAGATGTGATGTCATCATCTTCAAAAACACGCAAGAGAATGTCTTCAAGAAATAGTATGACTTGCCGGCACTGCATACCATCATCTCCACTTCTTGTAACTGCTTCTTCGGCCTCTTGAGCGATATCAAGTGCATCCAGAATAGGCCGCCGTGAGTCTTCGGAACGAGTGCTACCCGTATACTGCAACACCAGGTCATCCAAGAACTTATGGGTGGACCCATTGACAAGCCTATGGAATTTAATCTGTGGTTCAGATCTAAAGGTTTGTTGTCAAAGTGAGTTTGAAATGATATGGCGATTGAGTACATACAATCTAGTAGTGAGGTCGCTGGCTCCTGTATCGCCGCTGTCTCCTGTATCGTTTGACTCGGAGTTCTGAAGGGTTGTGCGTAGATACCTTGGATGCTGCGGATGCTTCGATGTACTATCATGATACTTTAATTTCATCTTTTTCAAGATGGCGACTTTGTTTCTGTTGGAGAATGCAATGAACACTAGTGACTGCGACTCGAAAGAACATGAACATACCTCTCATAATACACCTTTCTGTATCCCTTAGCAGCTTCTTGGCGTTCTTTGTTGGACTTGTGCAGTTTTTTCCGAGCCATGGTAGGAGTGTGAAAGAGGTGTTGAATGTCGAGACTGAGAGAGAGAGAAAGACTAGTAAGTAGTACGAATGATGCGTGATCACATCCGAGTCGCTAAGTTACCTAATTCGAGTTTGAATGCCTGTTCGTTGTATGCACTGCAAGACTCAAGAATACATGCTCAGCAACATTTTTTCATGCAACATACCAAGATAAACGACTGTATTCATGAAATAAACAGAGTCTGATGCAGGACAAGGCCAGCATTACATGGTGGTAGGCGTGTTGTATGTTTTACCTGCCGCAGAATACTTTCTTAGGAGATTTATTTATCAGTGCCGCGTTCGTTCAACTACTGGCCTTCCCTTCACTCGTATGTTCGATCAAGAGAACCAATTCAGTATTGCCGTGACTCGGATGATACACACTATGAACAACTACTTGACTTGTATATACAGTATATCACGCCCCCAAGTACTGACAATTATTGCGTTCAATGGCTGCATGGATCCGTGCAACGCCTACTTCAACTGACGGACAGCGGCTATGGATAGCACCACTGACCCCCGTGACTTGGGGAGAAGTGTCTTCCCTGTTGGTTGATTGTTAAGTGCGTAAGATAGAGCCAAAAAAAAGGCGTACCAAGTGGCCAAAACTCCAACACGTTTGCCTTTAATCACGCAGTAGAAGGGCCCTTCAGCAGACAGATCCGGAATCTCGTATGGGAACCCTTTATACGAAACTGATCTGGGCGGAAGCCCAACTAAGTCTGCGTTGGTCCCAACTAAGTCTGCGTTGGTCCCAACTAAGTCTGCGTTGGTCCCAACTAAGTCTGCATTGTTGCAGAGCGAGAGTTTCGCGATGGCTTCAGCAATACTGCCGATATCGGGTGCCAGTGTGGTGGAGGAGAGCGGTGGAGTGGTGGTGGAGGCTGGAGTAGCCTCAGCTCCCTCATCAGCATTGTCTTCAACATCACAATCGGCTGTGTGATCTTTCTGTCCAGGGTGAACGGCTGCTGACGGAATGGTCTGGCCACCATCTGCAATTGCTTGGATGATGGTAACGAGTGCATGGGCAGTGACAGAACTCATGTTAAGATTCATGAGTGCTGTCACAAGAGCATCTAGAGAGAGTCAGTGCACATTTTAAAAAAAATATCATAAACTTACCGACTGCGTGACTAGAAGACACCGAGCTTGGGTTGTTTGATGTCATCTAGTAAAGTAATGTTCGTGTTCGGGTTGAAGTGGAGTGATGGGAGAAAGACACTTACCGTCTGGCAGCTTATTTATGGTAGTACCATGGAGGCTCGCGACTGATTCTGGGTGGGAGAGGAAGGCGATAGATTCATCGCCCACAACGTAATAGTCATGGTGTATGCAAGTGTAATACTAGGTGAGTCTCAGGAAGGCTTGGCGGATGCGTCTAAATTCAACAGATACAAACAAACACTTCTTTGATTCACCACTGCAAGATCCTTGGATGTCGGGTGATGCAATTGATAAGGTGTGTCTCAAATTTATTCGCTGTGATGAATTCATTCGTTTTTTCATTCGTTTTTTACTGTCTGCATTCACAATGGGCAAGAAAAAACAGAAGTTAGTGCGTCATACTGCTGAGCAGCTTGCAGACACGCCTTCAGCCAACATCCACACGGCCTCCATGTACACATTCCAATCTGGCAAGCCCTTAGTACGCACGGAGTCCCTGGTTGGCGCCCATGTTGCTCCCACAACTGTCCCCCCTACGACTCTTCTCCGTAATGAGGATTCACCACCAGCATCTAACCAATGGCAAATATACCAAGCTGGCTCTTTCCTCGACTATATGCCGATTCCTGACGAGTTTCGCGTCGAGACTGAGACTTCGAAGAGGAAACGCACAGCCGGGGTAAGTTTTGTTCTTTATTCTCAACATTTTGCTTATCCTGTACCTACCAGGATCACCCCCTTGCAGCATGGCAGCCGGAATGCCCCACATTTTTGGACGAGATGATTCGCCTGGAAGGCCGTGGAGATTACGCCGAGGATTCTGTCTGTCGACACTGTCAAGAACATGCCCCAACCATCCGATGCGCAGATTGCTTCTTACAGGAACTCTACTGCCCTTCGTGTACTGTGGAACGGCACCGATGTCTGCCCTTACATCGTCTTCAGGTAATGTGATTCCCAAGATCTATACTTTAGGATCCGCTGACATCCGGTATTTACTATTATGCAGCGCTGGAATGGTAACTACTTCGAATGAATCACCCTCAAGTCATTGGGGTTACGCATTCAGCTGGGGCACCGTATCGGAGACACGTGCTGCAACCCTCACCGTGCGTTCAATGACGACTTCATAATAATCGACTCGACTGGAATACATGAAGTGGGACTGGATTTCTGTGCTTGTGGGACCATGCAAACACACGTTAAGCAACTGCTACGCTCTCGACTCTTTCCAGCAACCGTTACTGACCCCAAAACTGCGGCTACTTTCGGCGTGCTCGAACAGTATCACTTACTGTCTTTTGAGTCTAAAGCCTCCGCGTTTGAGTTCTATCAAGCCCTCGCGCGCTTATCCAACAATACGGGCATGGATCCGCCAAAGGTATTTTATTTACTTATTGCGAAGCACTGTGATAACAAGAACTACAGGACCGTTATCCTACATTCTTGCGAGTAGTGCACGAATGGCGAATCCTCAAGTTGCTCAAACGTTTCGCTCGGGGACACTGTCCGGATGGCGTCGTGACAACAGAGCCTGGACAGTGCACAGTGCTCTGCCCTGCCTGTCCGCACCCCGGAAAAAAACCTGCCGGAGAACTGGGAGAACGCCTCGCTTGATAAGCGGTAAGTTCCATATTGGTTCAAAATTCTTTACCTTCTAATCCAAACACAGATGGCTGTATGCTTTATTCGTTGGCATCGATGCCAACTTCCGTCTGAAGCGGAAGTTGGTATCAAGTGATATTGTTGATCCTGGAGTCAGTAAGGGATGGTCGTATTTTGTGGAGGAGAAGGCGTACAAATCATATCTAGAAGACAATAAAGACCGGAACCAGGAGGTAAGTCTTTTTTTGGTCAACGATTGTTGCAAACAACTCAGTCACCGATAGCGCAGTACATGCGCCAGTCACAACACTGTGAATATGGCCGATACAAAGAAGTCTAGAGGCCTTGCCGCTACAGGTGTTGGGACGGTGGATTGTGCCAGGCACAATATGAAACTTCGCAACGCAGTTGGTGACTTACAGAAGGGCGAGAAGTATGTATTCCCCATTGTTTATTTTGTCACGCTACCGCCTTACAACACTGCACAGGTACATTAATATGGATTACCTATTTTTTTCGGCAATGAAACACCACGACGTCATCGTTCTCAACATATCATACGATATCGCGTGTCAATGGTCCAAGCATCTGTGGTCGCGGATGTCAAAGCTTCCTTCCGCGTTTCATCTGGATCACGACAACAAACAGGTCAACTTTCTTATTCCAAAATTCCATCTACCGGCCCACATCGAGCCATGCCAGATTGATTTTTCTTTTAATTTCTCTCGGCATGTTGGTCGTACTGATGGCGAAGCTCCGGAACGCGGGTGGGCTAATATTAACCCGATCGCATCAAGCACCAAGGAGATGGGCCCAGGCTCTCGGCGTGATACACTCGATGACCATTTCGGTGATTGGAATTGGAAGCGTGTTGTCCAGCTTGGTAAGCATTGTCGTTGGCATTTTGTTCTTTCTACTAATCATGATGCAATATTGCACTTAGGACGACTCACTGCTCGAAAATTAGCAAACGCCGTGGAGCAAAAAGCCGATCATCAACGCGAGCTTTTGGAACTTGAAAGCTGCCTGCAAGCACAAGATATTTCCGAATGGAGAATTGACATAGAGGCTTGGGAACTGGATCGCATGCAGCCAAATCCATTCAAGGTCCGAGTAGCACGTATGTGTTTTTGTTCGTTTCAATTTCTCTCCGTTGACTTTATTAGCCGAGACACAGGCTGCTATTCGTCTAGAACTCGCACGTATTGAAGCTGCAGAACTTGAGTCTGGCACAAATGTCTCCCTTCATGCAGAAGTCCCCCCCTCGGTATTAATCAATTCCGCAATTGACCTAGAAGATCAACAGTAAGTTAACCAGCTCGTGAATTCACGAGCAAAGAACTAATGAGCACACAGACGACGTTTATCGCATGAGATAGCAGCACTCGGCGCCCATGCAACCGACCACCAACTCGCTAAGGTCCAGCTGCATGCCAATACATTACGCAGGAAAGTTGATGGGTGGCAGGAGATCCAATTGCTTTATATGCCATTCGTGTCTCGCCTACGCGCCAATGAAGATTGTGCACGCTCCTCTACGGATGCAACACCCGCTGTCGAAGCTATTAATCTGTGGCTACCATCTGCAGTCGGCCCAGACACACAGTGTCCTACTCAGCTTCATCGCTTCGAATGGATGTTACGCTACGCCCAAGCAAATGATGCGTTAAAGGACATTCGAAATCTTTTGCGTCTCCGCTCACACCTATATAAATTCAAGGATAACAACATCGTCGGCCAAGCAGCTAATACCCGCGCAAGAAGTACTATCAATAAGACCGATGTCAAAGTCAGCATGGCCGCTGAGCGTTATGAAGTTGCGAGGGCGGCGCTCACTGCTCTGGCGCAGATTCTCGATGAAGGCCCGGCCTGGCAAGATATATTCAAGCCTCTCAATCGCAACAGGGACCTGAAATCGTTGAAGGACATGTGGGAAAAGGAGACGGAGGGGACGAGACACCTGTCGTGGATCTGGAAGACACCGGGGGTGGCAGAGGACGCCAGTGTTGGCCTACATGATGGTAAGGCCTAATATTTTTCAATTTGCTTGCACTGACAGACATGCTTATGGTTAGCCCTTCGTATCGAATGGTGCAAGGCGCGCGCGCGCGCGATGCGATGGGAGGAGGAGGTCGATTTGCTGAAGGAGGAGCAACGGCGGGTCATTGCATTCCTGGACTGGCAGGCAGACTGGTGGTGGTGTCAAAGACAAGGCCGCGATTCAGAACACTTGGATGACTGCTTGAGGGAAGGTTTGAAGGCCTATGCCGAACGCCAGGCATCGCTGCGCAGGGCTTTATCGGCTCAATTTCAGGCATTGTGGACGACACCTACCCTCCCAGCAGCAACAAGCATCGACACAGCAACATTCACTGTTTGATTTTTGAGATACATGCTTGTACAGTAGTCACGTTTTATCTACTATGATGCATTTTGGCCTGCTATTCTCAGTGTGGTATGGGTGTCGGTCACCGTGAGAGGCAACAGTGGGCGTCGGTCACCGTGGGAGGCAACTATCATGCGTCGTGCATGATATCATGCAAGGCAGCGGCTGTCGTGCATGGCAAGACGCAATGCAAGACTGCGGCTGTCATGTATGGTGCCATGATTGTCATGCATGGGGTAACACTGCGGGTATCATGCAAGGCAGCGGCTGTCATGCATGGCAAGACACTATGCAAGGCGGCGGCTATCATGCATGACGGCAAGACACTACTATGCAAGACTGGGGGTGCAGCCAAGACACCATGCATGGCAAGGGACAGTGTAGCCTGATGTATACCATGCATGAATGACAGACTAGGATAGCAGTACAAGATGCATGACGTCTGTACTCTAGTAACAGTACTATCATGCATGACTACCCCACCATCAGGTGCTACCGTTGTCACACTTTATGATGTTGGGTGCGTCTTATCACAATCACTGCATCAGGTGAGTCACTTCATGACTTGGAGATCAGATTCTGATTTATTCTACTAGTATGACATCCTACCACCAACTATCATGAAGCGCTTGCGCTTCGCCACAGCAATGCATGCCTATGGTCATGAATGGGCCTGTCAACTTGAGTACAACCCATGAATGTGCCATGGCCTTGGGCTGTCAGATGGCAAGGGAACTGAAAGGTTGTGGTCAAGACTTGTTCGGCTGATAGGAATCCAGCATTCTTCCTCAGTAAGTTCTTTCGATGTTCTACTAATGGAATTTATTGACAGCTGGTCCTAGCATCAGCGTAGACTGTGGTTGCTTGATCAACAAGCAGCTGCTATTGGACTTGAAATGTGTACAGATCTAGGAGATTGGATTAAGCGTCGACTTAAATGTGGGGTTGGCGAGCAAGGCACAGCAGCGCAGAGCGTGCTTGAGGAATGTGGAGTGCCTATCAATGAGCTATGC